TCTTTATTTGCTCTGTTGTCATTAATTTCTTTAATTTTATTTTGAAATGCTTCTCTCTTATCACTCTCTGTAATTTTGTCAATATTAAATTTCTTACATTTCTCATACTGCTTGGATATTTGACAACTTATTTTACATCTATATTTAACCTGTACTAAGTAATGATCACTGTCACAGTTGGCCCCTCTTAATGTTCTTACATCCAGGATATTCGTCGCAAATCACTTCTCTATGAGGACATGATCTATTTGATTGAAGGTTACCCCATCTGATTTCTACATTGCAAAGTTACATTTACCATTGCATCTTAAGGTCAGGAGCCCATAATATTATTTTTGTCTTTCTGTTATATGTCACAAGGAAAACAAACATTGTACTGAATAGTTTTAATATTTTACAAAATCTTTTTATCTTGAATAATGGTATAACAAATATTTTGAAACTGAAATTACGCACAGGTACTTATACTAGTTACATAGTGAAGACTTGACCATTTTTGTTATTAAATGACAGAGGCAAGAAAATACACTATAACAGGTATCAAAGATTTTGTTAACAAGGTTCACACAATTTTAAATGAACTATTTTATTTGAATCTGTTTTAAGTTGAAATGCAGATAATTTAAATTTGGAGGCATGAGGGGTCCTTGTGTGTGTAATGTGTTGTCACTAAGATTTAAAACTTTCATCTGAAACACATTTTACATTTGGGGGTGGGGGATGATGATACATATACTGTACTGGTGAAAGCCTACATTTTTCTGTTCTTGCCTCATTTACATTCAATTTATCATTTTCTTACATAACTACTACAAAAGACACATTACCAATGCCCTGTTCCGCATCAAACTTCTTCTGTGAAGAAGGTGCAGTGAAAGGGTTACCATATGGTATTGGAAACACAATCGAGGCTCGTGATGAAGATGGTGGATGGGATGGGGGAAGAGACCTCTTTCTTTTCCGATGTCCTCCCACACCAAGGCCTCCATGACCTTGCTGCTGAAGTGATGGGGGTGACGGTGAGTTGAACAAGCTGTCCACACCACCAACTACAATTCCAGGTGTAACTGTTGGGGTGTGATCCACATGACTGGCAATATGAGGGGATCCAACAGATGGCACCAGCAGTTCATCAGGTTTTAAGGATGGTCCTAAAGAAATAAACAACTGTTTATATCTACCTGACATATTTTCTCAATGAAACTTACTTATATTCATTCAATTTTAAGAATTTTACAAATTATGAATATGGAACTGGTATAACTGGAGGAAAGTAAGGTGAAACAGCAATAAATCTGAATGTGTATGTTACAGGCAAGGTACAAAATTAAGTACTGTATACAATTTCGAGGTTGTGATAATTTTTAACAAAAAGAGGGTGCCTATCGATGAAGTGGCAAACTAACTGTAGACTTTTCAGTTCTGTCTATGAAATCATCCACCACAAACCTCATTTCTGTACAGTCTGTGCAAGATGGATTCTGAAATAACTCATGTAGCAGCATATACACAACCTTTTGGACATATGTAAACAACCTTTTAAACTAGAATTATCATACTTTTTTAAGCTGAACTAATGCTGGTGACAAAATGTGAATCCATTACACTGAGTCAGACAGTATGGAATGGAAACACCCATCATTCCCACAAAAAAAAATATCTCAACCAACAACAGGAAAGGTTGTGCTCTGGGATTCACAGAAACAAATCCTTGAGGATTAACAGGAATGGGTGTAACAATAATACACAATACAATGAACTTCTGCATGATAAGCTGAAGCTGATGATTCAGAGTGAACGCTGAGGGAATCTGACAAAAGACGATGTGCTGCTGCAAGAGAATGTCTGTCCCCTTACTACCACCACCCACACTGTTCAGATGGTTCAGACACTCCAGAAAGTATGATCTGAGATCTTACAATATCCACCATACAGCCTTGACCTTGCACCAGTTGATTTTCATCTGTATGGACTCCTCAAAGATGCTTTAAGAGGTCACTGTTTTGTCAGTGAACATGAGCTAATGGAACAAACATGTGATTTACATATTATTTCATGTGTTTTTTCATCCCAATAACAGTTTTCATAAATCAATCCAAGTATTCAATGAATATCTAGGCATTCTACAAAATACCTAGGCATAATACACAAGAAATAATCAAAATCTGTTAATTTCACACTTTTTCTAAAACTGTTTGACATTCTATACAATGCCTACAAATTGTGTACGATACCAATGTTTCACCCATTGCCTGTATCATATACAAAATGTCAGGAATAGTTTCACAGGAAACAAATTTACAAGAACAAATGTAAAAGATGGTTCAGCCATATACTAAGAATGGGACATGTGTATTTAGGAGTAATCAAAATGACAACCTTCAAAACCCTAACCATACCAATTACAGAACTGCATTCACCTTAATGGCCACTGTGTTCAAAATGAGACACAACTCATGAAAGAAACCATCAGTAGAGAAATGCTGAAAGTAGTGGACATCATGTTCCTTATGTTATGGCACATTCCAAAATAATATTCTTTACTCAAGACTGTATACCATTCTTGTACTTAAAAAAGGAAACATTTCATCAGGGTTGCATCTCCTTTTAAACTCATTATAGTATCACAACATTAGATTCAGTTATAACTTTTCACAGAAATGTAGAACTAAGTACACATTAGGCCCATGATGATTAACTGATTTCATCAATCAATTAATTCTTTAATGAACACCAATTTCCCTTAATCATTCAAATAATGAAGACATAAGCAGTGTACAGCTTTAATTCTGTAAACTAATATTTTGAATTAAAGTTGGAAATATGCCACAGCTTTGCTCCTGTTGTTGTGCTTATATTTTGCATGATTCCTATTGACAATTTTTGTAATCCTGAGTTTCTATTCTTAAAAACTTGCTGTTGAAATCTGTTCAATGTCTCTGTTTATGTTGATTATATTGTAAGTAACTATGAAGGAACATAATATCAAAATGATTAATTTAAAATTGTTGGAGTGTAACCTGTCTTAACTCTGTTATTCAGACTCCAAATAAAATGTTTTGCATTAGTAAGCAACAATTCTGTTGCGATAATGTAAACATACATTAATTTTGTGATCATTTAAAATATTAATACATGGTTAATTCATAGCCATAGTAACTGTGGTAAATCAGATAAATATATGTAGGACCTCCCTTAAAGCACTGTTTCCTATTGCAATACTACTGAAAAAGCAATGATTTCATGCAATTTTATAAATTACAAAATGACAACTTACCATTTCTGTCATGTGCCTTAATCACCTTATGCATGGTACCAGCTTCTGTGTTAAGAAGCATGGCACATTCATCTGTTACCTCACATTCCTCCCCAGAACCTTCGCCCTCGCCATCTGTTAGTACAATCTCCTGCAAAACCAAGTGCCAAACTGCAGAAGGTAAAATGTCTACAAGATTTACACATCCACCGCTATGTTAGTATAGCCACCAGGACCTCCAACCACCCAAAGCAGCCCTGCAAATTTCCCAGTGCCAAATTACCAAGACAGACTGAGGACCGAGAGGGAACTATGTCATATGATAGAAAGAGAACTAATAAGCATGAAAGTCTATTTTCTTATATTAAGAGGCACTCAGAAAATAACTCCCCATTTTTACATGTTCTTTGTATACTGAGGGTACTGTGTATATCTATCCACCTGTTTCCGATACAACTGAACAATTTACAATAAAATTTGGTAAATGGGGGTCTACATTAAAAGCTGTTAAGCAAATTTAATTTTTATTTGTATTAGCACAATGTAAGTAATGCTTTGCATGAAGCTCAACTCAAATTCTGTCAAAAGCAAATGATCACACAAAAATTGGTACATGAAACAAAACACAAAGTGTATTGAAATATTTGGCATTTTGGTCTATATGTAATGGGGAGGGGAACCTTTATTCCTAATTTGTTCTGAATACAGTGGACTTGAACGTTTTTCTATACTATGCCATCACTAATTTTTCACAAACAAGTTCAGCATGGATAAAAAAACTATTAAATGAACATCAAGTGGTGTAAGAAATTCACATCTGCAAACATGCTTGGATAGAGTGTGTACTCTATCAGGGTATACTTTTCATTTCTTGCTTTAATGAGAGTCAGGACAGTGCAGAAAAATTCTGCTTTCATGTCACTCGTTGCAAAATTTCAATATATTCTGAAAGATCTCATAAAAAGTGCTCCTGTCCATAACACGGTCTCTATGTGCATTTTTCACTTGTTCATGAGTTTCACCCCATGATTTTTATGATATAGGCCCAACGAAAATTTTAAGCTTTATAATTAGAAGCAGGAAGATCATGACTAAGCGACTTTCAGCTTATGATAAAATAATGTCCAAAATATATAGGTTACCCAGTTGTTCATTTTTGTGGGTTATTTAATGCCTATATAGACTATATAGAATTGGATGGCAGGATGACTGAGGAACCTGTATGGATTTATAAATTATATGATCATGAAGGGTGTTAAAATGGATTTTGAAACAGATGGTCATGGCCTATTTGATATTACCATTCTGGAATCTGTCTTTAAGTGACTGAAGAGGACCAAAACAAAACTTCAGGAAATGAGATATATCCTGATGAAGATATGCCTTGGGTACCTCTAGGAAGTTACAACTACACAAACCTGCTCAATGGGGAATTCCCTTGTTTCATTTTAAAAGAAGATGGGGCATTATTTTCGCATCTTTATATTTAGCATCACAAAATACATAACATAATAACATTATAAAAAGACAATGTAACTTAGTTTTAAGGGTGAAGCACTGGACTCCAGTGCCAAAAGTCTCTTGCATAAGTCATGTCAAATTAAGTGCACAATTTTTCTGCATGTCTTCCCCAGCACATTCTCAGCATACACTTTTGCAAATGTGAAGTACACCACATCCTTGCCTCATGGTTCAAAATCGATATTAAACCATAAATATTCTTTGCCAGCTACATTTCTATCACTGTAAAAAGCAGAATACTTTCCTTACGCATACCCCATTCAAAAGCAGATTCACTTGCTATGCAGCAGGGATCAGAAAGCTCATAATGTATATTATGTGATTAGACAAACTAATGGGATCCATAAGATGTAGATTATTATTTGTATTTTCAAACACACAGGAGGTATTGAGAACTGAAAGTTTGATTTCATTAAATAAGCACACACGTGTGCAAATAAAATGTACTTATATTCCTTTATTACTATTTATATTTAATATTAATACTCAGATTTGAAGTGTTTATATATTTACTTATTTATTATCTCAAGCCACTACATCTATAATTATTGAATTTATATTAATGGGAAATATATTTTTGCTTCCAGAATAATGTCATGTGGAATGTGATGATGTATATGAGTAGTTTGGTAGAAGTTTATCGATATTCCAGTGGAACTTACTGCTGCCATCTTCAGGGTTGAAGTGCAAGAGAGTGTGTTCTGCCACAGTCCATAAACTTCTACATTACACAATGCCACATGCCAGAATACAGTATTCTTCACAGTCACCACAATAAAGACCTCAAATCACTAAAATTTTTGGTCACTGAATGCCTTTTAAGGAATATATTCCTTCAGCAATACAAGAAATTAATGTATCTGAATTAGTATATGCCCTAAGTCGTCATGTTGCTTCAAAAACAGGACAAGCCTTGAAAGCTCCTTTCCATTCTGCTTAGCATTACTAACTAAAATATTCCATTGCGAATACAGCTGAAACATCCACACATTATTAACACTTCCCATGTGTCTGAAACACTCTTACTGCTACTAATTCAGGTGCATGTGTTCTGAGTGTGTTTTCACAATTTCAAAAGTAAAAAATGTATCTTTTCTAACTGCAAAATTGGCCTTCAGAACAAGGAAAAGGAAAACATTCTCTGTAACATTTCTAGCAGAAGAATGTTATTTTAACTGTATGGAGTAATCTCATATAAATCATGTACCCACATTTCAGTTACTTAGGGCAAGTCATTAATGCATCTTCAAATGCTGATACTTGAGCATTATACAATGTACAAGACGTAAGGAAACTTTATGAACTCTCTGATAACACATAATGGTAAAACTGTCTGCAATTAAGAACCGGATCATGAAGACATGAAGATGGATGCAGATGTATCCATTAGATAACAGAGTGGGTAAAACCCAGAGCCAGTCTGGATAAGGTTGCAAAGCGAAAAGTCCCTGCTCATGTCAGGAATCTTATCTTGCCACCTAGCCTAAAGCCAGTAACTTTACTGACTGATCTATCCTGCACAACAGCAATATGTATTGAAAGTTCTATATCCAGAGATAAAGTGGTTAGAGCTTGAGGTGATCACTCACTTCAGTCTAGTGCTAAGGAATACAATGCATGTTCTAGTGGTGGAGTGCTCATGACAACAGTGTTAGTCTGGCTAACATTTTGGAAAATGAAATACAAAGTGTTACTTTCCTAGTTCAGTACTACTCCACATATTGGCTGGAGAAATGATAAGGTAACACACCTTTGCCATCTCAAGCTAGTCAAATGGGTGAGTAAGTTACCCTGGATTTTGGGAAGATAAGCATTAAGGCTGGGAAATAGACTGAATAGGCCAGTATAGGCTTTGATATTAGCAGTGCTGAATCTTCAGGTTTTCTACCAGTGCTAGTTGTTCTTTGTTTACAAGAGTATAAGACTTCATTCCCTTGTTCTACAAGCCAAGTGACTGAATGCTACTCTCTGACAGCAATTCACTCTTGTATTTGACAAAGGCTGTGGAAAGAAATAAAGCAACAGATACAATTATCCCTGAACCATTGCATAACCAAACAGCATATATATTCAACATGAAGCACCAAACCAGAACACAAATAGCTATATAATGCATATTCCTTGCACTTGGCTAGCCAGCTTACTCATTTTCTTGAAACTTTCCTTATGCCCACCAGCAAGCAAACTATCTCGTGAAAATCGATGTGTAGTCTCCAAATGGCAATTACAGGTGCTGTTGAGTGCCTGATAAATTAAACCACATTTCTCATTCACAGTTTGGATTGTTTATAAGAAATTAATTTTTGATAGCAATATTCTCAGTAGGCATGACATACTCTTACTGCCAGAATAAACATCAAGTTCCCAAAATTACGGGGCTACAATTTCAACCACAAAAGCATAGCCATCAACATTACTAACACAGACATAAAACAGATATTTCATCTCATTACATATGATAGTAACATTTATCCATAAGCTGTTGACCCTTAGTGACTGAGTTAAGTCAATATTCCCGTGTTAATTCTTTACTTGCTGTCTGTAAGTGCTGAATTTCCAGCATTTTATGAAACCTGAAGGCTCATTACCATGTTTAGTGATCCCTATATTTAGCCAGATGAATCCAGTCCACTCTCTTCCATTCTATTCCTTTACGCTCCATACTCAACCTACTTCCCTAATTTGGGGGGGGGGGAAGGAGGAGGCTTATGAGATCACCTTGCTGCCTGTGTGTCCATGTGTCCCCTCCCAAAGCCTGAAAGCTAGAATAGTGGAGCCAGAAGAGATGACAATTTCTATGCAATAACTTAGTTAACATATTTCCATGGCAACACACAATAACAGAAGAACTGCTGGACGCGGTGTTTTTTATGCAGTCTACTTAATATCAAATAGGCCTGCTCAATAAGCAGTGAAAGAAAACAGGCGATTAGTTCTTCCTCAGAACTTCTTATAACATGATCTTCCTATCCATGCTTAGGTCTTGAAAGTGGTCTCTTCCCTTTCTACCAGAACTCTGACTGCTTTGCCTTTCAGAATGATATATGCCTTATCCATGCTTTGATCATCTTAATATTTGGCGAGGAGTAAAAATCACGAACATCCTCATTATGCAATTTTACTCAGCCTCCTGTTACTTCCTCACATTTTCAAACCATCTGTCAGCTATCTTTATTCCATGGTTCTAGCAATGAGATATGAATGTATACTAGTTTTCTGTGCATACACTTCTAGACCAACTTCCTTCCCAGCGTCAAATAGAGCTTCTGTGCTCTTTCTTATAATGTCTCTGTTTCTGGGCAATAAATTAAGGGCATCAGCACAGACAAGGAACTGATGTGTCCCATAGGCCTGACAGCCTACTCCAAAACAAAAGCTGAAAAGCTATGACAACAAACATCTCCCTGTTTCAAACCATTGCAAACAGAAAACACAGACATATTTTTATGTACACAAACTTCAATTCAGATTTTATGTAACCCATATTAATATGTTAAAGGAGTGTTATGGGGTTTCATGGATATACTAAACTCAATGAGAATACCATTCCCTCTTAACTGAACCATAAGCATTCTTGATGATTACAAATGTCTGATGTACTGTTCAATTGTACTGCCACGTTTTCTATGGTATCTGAAGAATACAGAAAAACTGACCATTTAATTTAATTTCATTTCATTTCATTTCAATTATTCACCTTCCATAAATCCTGTCAAGAAGACATTCTCATGCGGATGTGGAGATTGTCCTAGTCACAGTCACAATTAAGAATTACAGTTGTCATACAACAGCATACACATTTGTAACAAAATACTGATAAACATATACAATATAATAATGATCTATTACATCAACATCCACAATGACAATCCCCTACAATTTCATCTCTTGCCAGTAGCATGCAACTGTTTATTTACGAGTACTATATTCACAGGTACCCTCCATGTCTGGAGGCCATTTCCTTCAGCTGCCGCCTGAGGATGTGCCATGCTGTGGTTACAAGGGACAAACATAATATGGCCATAAGTGGTGTACACAATATTTTGAATTGGAATGGTAGATGGCAGTGAAAGGTACCTACAGTTCAATCAACAATGCAGTGTCCATCTTTGTAAAAAACAAATATCCATTACTGATCGTGAAATTATAATTTAGTATATAAAGAGCTAATAAATGGAGAGGACATCCGCAGAAAGTGCGGCCAGAGATGGAAACTGTTTGAGGTTCTCCTGCTTGTTGCAATAGTGATCATTCAAAATACTGTATGGTTGCATAACAGTACTAGATTACAAAATGTACAAGGGGAAAATGGAGTTTATGATAATGATGTTGAATTAACAAATTTTGTAAATTTTTTCAATGTTTATTTTGTAGCTGAGAGTTAAATCACTCAAATTCAATTCAGACTCTACTCAGTCACCCTGATAAAGTTAATTAATGACTTTCGGCTAGGTACCCACCTCAGAATATATCAAAGTAGACCAGTATTGTTCATGTAACTAACTGGTGTTTTCTATTGTAACCTGTAATCACAGCTTCATATTGTGACGTGGATGGCGTAGCAGGAGGTGGGGGTCGCGTGAACTCTGTGATGTCACATACCCCCACTCCGTCCATCAGTGTGCAACGCTCGGGATACACCCCTTTCCCCGCGGTGACGTAACACGGGACACCGCAGTTGCTACGTAGACGTAAACAACTCTTGGCAGCACTGCCCATTAACGCCTTTGTAAACATGGCGGGGAGTCCGTGCAACGACTGTTCCTAGGTAGTCGGTAAACACGACGTTACACAACAGTGGTGCCTATTACGTAACTGTTTTCTGTGTTGTCCGTAACGGGGCTAAATAAAGAGCAGCGAACACTATTCACAGTCAGTTACGAGTTACGAGTTAGCCAGCAGTGAGTCAGTCAACCAGTCAGTTGTAGTCTAGCCTTCGCAGGCTACTGCAGATAGCAGTAGTTGTGAGATTGTAAATGGTGTGATTGTAAGAGCGAGTGTGTTCTTAAACTGTGCTGTGAAGAAACTGTGAAATACAATGAAACTTCAACTGAAAGACAAATAAAACTTATTTAGTTACATAGTGTCAGTTTAACCATAACACCCCCAAGCTGTCTCATGCACTCTGACCTTACCTGGCACAAAATTTACATCTAAATCCACCTCTCTAATCTTAGTTTGTATTTTCATCATATTGACACACAAACAATTTAACTACCCTCAGTAATTGATATCCATCAATATTCATTATTGACAGTATCCCTGAGAGGGTACACAGAAGTGTCAGGTAACTACCAATACCAATGACATTAACAATTTCACAATACTGAAGTTATCTAATTCTGAAAGCATATAATATACTTGTCAATATCAATATGACAGTAGTTCTTACGGTAACACACAACATGTTCCTACCTCATCTGGTTCAGGAACTGCAAATGTAACATTCAGAGGTTTGATATGTTTACTTTTGTATTTGTGATCCAGAAGGAGAGGTGTGTACAGGACATTCTTCCACTGACGACTCAGCACAATAACACCCTGTAAATAACACAAGTTACAACAAAGTAAACAAGCTGAATTCAGTACGAACCATCTGTAAGATCACCAAGCAGTTTCCTTTGACATTTTCAGGACTTCTTATTTCAGTGTGAAGTTATGAAATTTTTGTGAAAATCAAACTACGAAACTAAAATCTTATTCTTCTATCACTAAATTCTCAATACTTTTAACCACATTTCACTTTGAGGAAAGGACAAGGTGCTGAAGATGACACATTGCCCCAATAGAGATGAACTTACAGGAAAATGAGGGAAATTATGTTACGAAGAATTTCAAAGTTCATACTTTTTATCTAATAACTACATACATCATTTTTTGTGTGTGTTGATGATACTGAAAGTGACTTGTGCAGATTATTTGCTTCTTGTACGTACGATGATATCTGTTTTAAATTAATGGTTATCAAATATACTGTATAAATGACGCTAAATGTGAGGCACAGAGGAAATGCAACAATTTGAAGGCCAATATGTGACAACTGAAAAAGATCAAGGACAATTACTAGGTGCAAGATCCGACATTAGAAAGTTCTGTAGTCATAAAATGATCCACAATAAAGAGATGGACAGAAGAACTCAGCATGTGAAGGAGAAATGTAGCTAAGAATTTTGTCTGAATTAGTAATACAACTATTATTCCTTAAAATTTTTTACTCTCTTATCTGAGGTTCTTATAAATGAATAAATCTATATTACCATTTGTGTATGAATGATAGGATATTTATTAACATACATACCTGTCGAAGTGTGGATAACAGAGGAAGATCAGTTTCACGCAAATTTGCTTCTATTGTAGCCAGATCAGATTGTAGCATGTATTTCTGAAGCACATTACACAACTGACAAGAAGGATCTTCCTGCAGTGTCTTTGCTAAGGGTGTGTACCTTCCATATCGACTCTGTAATAAATTAAAATTTCAACACACACGCATATATATTTGTTCACATACCAGCTTCATCCTGTTCCTCATATACTAAGAGTAAATTACTGACGACTAACATACATGGAATCTTCAAGGCTGTTTAATAAATATTTCTCAAGGAATTTTCTTATGAGTATAATGACGATGATCTAGCATCATCATTGTGATATTTTCTTTGTACATTTAGAATTTTATTAAGACAAAGACTGTAAATGAATGAGGAGTAAGGTCCATAGCTCAAGCGGTTAGTCACCGGCTTCCCAATGTGGTGGCCCGGGTTCAATCCTGGGTCTGGTCAAGTGGGATTTGTGGTGGACAAAGTGGCGCTGGAGCAGGTTTTCTCTAAGTACTCCGGTTTCCCCTGCCAATCTTCATTCCACCAACTGCTCCAAAATCACCCTCACCTATCATCTGGGGCTGGTACAATAGGCCAGAAGTGGGCACAGTACAAGGGACTTAGTCCCACACCACTAGCAATAAAAAAAAGGTCCATCAGGTGCAAGAAGTTTAATATGGGATTATAAAAGATTGCTGACACATGTTTCAGCATTTGATTCATGTATTAGGAAGTGTAACAGCTCAGAATGTCTCTTAAAAAGACAAATACTGTACTCCATTAAACCTACTTCATAAATACACAATTTTAACTGCGTACACAGGGTGAGGTATTTTTCATATAAAATATGAGAGGAGTTTAAATGTGACAAATGTGACATGGACTTTATTCCTTTTTTCAGATCCTATAATTAAGACAAGAAAATAATATTACAGTCACTTTCTGAACTCCTCCTCTCAAATAAACACTTTTAACACTTTTAGTACCGTGAGACATTTTGCATTCCAATTTTGAAGAAATCTTTCAGTTGATGCCGACATCATTCCTTGCCTGAACTTTTCACCTTATCACTCAACCTGAATTGTGTTGGTAAGAACAGCTTGAATTAAAAGAATGGCTAGTAAGGACTAAAAGAAAGATGGAGAACATCCAAACTCAATTCAGTCAGTGTCACATGACCAGACTGGCAATGTACATAGATATGCATTGTTTTGGACACAGGAAGAAACTGGACAAAAGACATGGTTGTATCTTCTTTACAGCTGGTACCTGGGAGCTTCTGAGAGTGCAGTAGTAACCAGTAGTAACTGCTAGGTCTTATTCTAGATATCCACATCACTAATTAGCATTCTAAAACATAGTGACCATCATCCCACTTCTGCTGTCATGATCTTAAATATGTCAGTGAATGTTAATCTGTCTCTCTCCAGTCCATATAGAAAAGTCTGTTTTTGGAAGTAAAGTGATGGACCCATATATCTCATAAGAGGTTATCATATTATTTAAGAAGTCAATATGCCTTTTCCTCACAAATGCCAAAATTTAAACATATAAGTTTTTGATGCCAGCAGGTAAGTGGCATGAAAAAGAAAAGAAATGAATAGTAAATGATAACATAATTATGAATTTTTGGAGTCAGGATAGGCCAGGCGGTATGGGAATGAGCTGATGGCCTGGGCTCTAATCCCGGCAGTGCAAGATCTTTTTCTATTCAGCATACCATCCAGGTCAGCTCTGGGGTCCACCCAGCCTCCTATCCAATGGGTACTGCGGGCTAACTTCCTTGGGGTAAAGCGGCAGGAGCGTGAAGCTGACCACACCCCTCCATTTAATGCCAAGGTCAAGTATGGTGGTGCTATGCCACCACTCCGTCATATATCTTCATGGCATGAATGCATGATGGGTGGGCCATGATAATCTGGCCCTTGCACCGTGGCCATCAAAGTTCTGTTGTTCTTCCCCTTTGATTAACCCTTTATTAATCCTACAATTAAAATGAAATGTAGGATTTAGTTTATGAGGGTGTCATAGTAGTCACTTGGTTCCATGAAGAACTGGCCCAGGTGATGAAATCTTAAAATAAGCTATGGTCTCACACAATTGCATAGGATATTTGTAGCTGATTCATCTTCTTCTAGGCGCCTTTCAGAAGTGGGGTCATCTGTCATTCCCAGTTTGAAAAGGTGTCATTTTAGGTGACAGTGTCCTGTAAATAGTCCTGTCACCCATCTTAATTGGTCTCTGTTTAATTTCAACACTTCAGTCTTCTGGCAGAGGGCCCTGGCATAAGTCCCTTTGCCTGCTTGAGTCCAGTTCTTCATGGCATACCATTTAAATAATTAAGCACAGGCACAAGTTTACAACACTTGTGCTCTAGACACAAAACACAACACAACAGGAAGAGACACCCAGCACCATAAAATACATGAGTGCATAGATGGGACTACACATTGGATATAACAAATTATAACACAGAAGCACAGCAGTTTTCAGACACCTGATCATGACCTATGTCAGTTGAAACATGTAGTGCAATGTACAAGAGCTTTTAAAATAAGGTCAAAAGAAGCATTGTGTGGGTGTAGGAAACATTTAAATAGGTTTTAGAAGCACATGTTGCACATAAGATGATGAACCAACCAGTGACATTTGTTGAATGATTACTACATTACAGGAAAAAATAAAAGGACATACTGAACGAATGAGCTCTGGTAAGATCCTCCAAATTATAGCATAATATAACAAAGATGTGTTTTGTAATTTCAATAGCAGGGCAACCAGACTTCATATTTCAATGCGATAAGGGGCAGCAGTGACGGTGGCAGTGGCAATAATGATGACGTGGCAGGGGCCGTGGTGGTGGCGGCAGTCATGGTGACAATTATGACAACAACATTTGCAGTGACAAGATGAAATAATTACCTTCATGGGAATGTGGATCCCTTGGACATCTAATGCTTCTGCCATGAGGCAAGCAACAATGCCTGTAGAGCGTCTGTACATACTTCGAATCATGTGAACCACTTGAATTGCGAATCTGTTACTTGGATTCATCCACGCGTTAATTGCAGGTGATGCTGTACTCAGCAAGTTCCAATCCAACCTAACAGAAAATAATAAAATAATGAGGATTTACACTTGTCATATCAAGGAATCTTACTTATACTGAAGTCTTCAATGCCATACAACATATGCAGCTGACTACCATTCTGCTTGGAAACAAATGTATGCACTACTATGCCACAGCATTTCTCATGTTACGTGTCAGACCAGGGAAGCAGGTTGGTTCATAACTCACGTAAACATTTCAAACACACAACGTGTGTGTGTGTGTGTGTGTGTTTGGGGGGGGGGAATTACAACTGTTAGCACTGCCAAGCTGTGTGGTTGTATATCTGCATAACTCAACTTCTAGACCAGGATTCATCACTGACCAATAAGTAAACTGAGTTAATTATGTCACCGAGCAGCCTGGGGGGGGAATGATACCGAGTCCACTTGTTGCTGTTAAGCCTTTTGTACCAACCATGGAAAACAGGTGAGTATGAAGCAATAGGTTGGATGAGAATTGGCAAGGGAAACCAAAATACTAAGAGAAAACCAGCCTCAGTGCTATTCTGTCCACCACAAATCACACATGACCTCACCTGGGATCAAACCCAAGTCACAACATCATGAAGCCAGTGAATAATCACTTAAGCTATGGCATGGCCTACTGAGTACTGTACTTTGAGAGTATGAGGTACAGGCTGGAGCTGGTATCTGAGAATGTATAGTGTGTTGAAATTTTAATTTATTACAAAGTTGATATAAATGATAAAACACCCTTAGCAAGGACACTAAAAGAATATCCTACTTGTTAATTGTGTAGTGTGGTTCAGAAGTGTATTCTGCAGGCTGACTTGGCTGGATTTGAAGTTAATTTGCATGAACTGATCTCCCACTGTCATCCACACTTCAACAGGCACATATATTCAGTAGTTGCCTACCAAGCACACACATTGAATCAGTGAGATTACAGCTCCAATGTCTGTGTAGCTCTACCAACTGTGTGATTTCCTACATTGGCTACCTATACAGTAATGTTCCGTATTTTATAATTAGACTTGAAAATTCGTACTTGGTTCATCCCACACTTATCTAACTACAAGAAAATCTGACATATAAGACAAACACAAAAAGGTCATAGTAGAACATTTTAAAAACAATAGTTTTATTACTTATAGACATAAAATTTGTACCATTCCATGCCACTAACATAATTCTTATATTCATTTCTTCAATAGGTCCACAGAATACTTGTTTCACATTTTTGCACCCAGTAACTTTCCTTTCACTTTATTTTAAATTCCATAGATCCTTTTCAGGTCACACATGCCATAGGATATAGAACATGTCAAAATACATAAACACATACATAAAAACAATGAACCCATCAACATGCAATACAGTCACAATACAAAATTTGTACATAAAATATTCAAATATGATCAAATTTATACAGATATATGATTATCGTTGTCACCATCATAAATCAATAAAAAAGACCTATTCATAAAATAGAAGTTTGATGCAATTATTTCGGGCACATACCTACAAATACTTAATTTAACAGTCCAAATATAGTACATTTCATCAGGATTTAAAAATTAGAATATACAATAAAAATTCAGTATATACAATCAGTCATTTCATAGCAAGAACCTTAAAATTTGAAAACTATTTATTAACATATTCCTCTACAGGATAAAAGGAAATGAGCTGTGAGTAAACCATTCATGACCATCTTAATTGTATACAGTCATATGTTATTTAAGGCAGATGGTCTATTACAATACCATACTACCATAAAATTTACACCCTTAAATGCTGAGCAACTAGTCAGTGGGTAATACATCATGTGTAAAATTTACCTAACAAACAATTCAAGAGAATATCTGGATTACAAACCTATGTCTTCTTTATATTGAAAGTAGAGTAAAAAGAATGATGACATAAAAACCTCTTTAATGTAAATGTAAAGCTTTTCTCATCATTGACCAAAATCTTTATTGATTGTGGAAGTTGACTGAACACTTTAATACTTGTTATATAGGCTCCTTTATTAAATTTTGAAGTATTCACACTAGGTACATGTAAATTACCTTGGGATCTAGTTGTATATTCATGAATCTCGTTATTAAAGTTAAATGAATGTTTATTATTATTTATATATAAAAGTCATGAGTATATATACTGAGAATATAATGTTATAATTTCCAATTTCTTGAAAATATCCCTGCAAGGTTTAGTGTTCGTTACGATTCTAATAATTTTCTTTTGCAAGATAAACACTTTCCTGGCATGTGAGGAGCCACCCAGAAGATTATACCATAACTCATGATGGAGTGTATGTAAGCAAAGTAGATTGACCTTAACATTGCAAATGATACAATATGTTTTATATTTCGCAATGCGTAGCACGCAGAGGATAATCTACTGATCACTAGGTCAATATGCTGTTTCCAAGATAATACATCATCAATAATCAAACCAAGGAACTTAGTTTCTGTTACACTGGAGATACTTTCCTGATCATAATTAATTTGTGTCATTGTGTTACAATTCATGGACCGAAACTCTAAATACTGAGTTTAAATACTGAGTTTAATGCTTAAATATAATATACTGAGTTTTATTGAAATTTAAAGTAAGTACATTAACAATATTATATTTAAGCATCCTGTTTTATTGAAATTTAAAGTAAGTAAATTAACAATATTATACTTAAGCATCCTGTTGCACTCTACACAATAAATGATACAAAATCCGTCCCAAGTGCAAACAATATATATTATATGTCCTTGATCTTGTTATCCTCTACACTACATGTTTCAGCCTCTAACGGCCATCATCAGGTGTATACTCTTACGTTACTGCCACACTGAACCCAGTCTAAAATTTAACATTTAAAAAACACATTGTTATTTCTTCGTTATTATCAACATTTACCTCGTTGATATCTGTCTGGTATGTAGATTATTTTGCACACGTCAATTTTGGTTTTTCTGTACTAGCACTATAAAATCTTTAGTTATAATTTTAAAATCCTTTAAAAATTTCTCTAAATTTTAAATTTAAAATTGTTAGGGTTACTCGCCCTATGTCTAAGTTCTGCAGCGGCTAGTTCTTGTTTCCACACTGTACAGGTGTTATTCTGTGTAGTCTTCCTGTGTGCATGCCGCTGCTTGTCTTTACTACATGTGCTGTCTGATGTATTGTACAATGCACATTGTTTTCTAAAAAATACTTTGCTGTTTCTTAAAATAAAGAACCATCTCATCTACTCTTTTTCTTCACCCAAACAGCTCATACATTTCTCATGTTTAGATCAGTCAAAACTGTTATTTATTATGTATATTAAATACATTACTTTTTCTTCCACAACAGCAAAAGTAATATCTGTACATCAATACCTCTAAGAAAACTTGAAATTTACTTTTGACTTGCATCTTGTTCGAAGCAAGCCATGTTAAATTAAGTTTACTGTTGATACACTTTAAAATCAGCGATTTGGAACACAAAAACGAATACATTTTTAACATAAAAGACGTATTAATATTTCATAAAGCCAGAGAATACTGTGCACACAAAGCCCAACTAAGTTCCCTATGATGACTTCCATCTATCTTGCCAGAGACAACACGCTACTGTGCAATCACTTTCTCTGCATATCAACCATGCACAGCATTGCGTCAAGTTAGGCATGTCCTTGAATCATTAAAAATAAATATAGCTGAAAAGTGTCCCTTTCTGTAACATTAATTTAACCTTATGATTAATTAAATTATATTTGTAAATATAATTTATACTTATAATGTAAGTGCACATAGAAGGCACAGTCTCAATATCTTTTACCCACCTCTGCAATCAACCTTTCTGCTGCTGTTGGTGCAGATTAATCCAATGAAGGTTTATTTTACAGAAAATGTTCTGACTAGTTAATTTAAATCTTTGCTGAACAGTTCTGACTGTTTACAATATTATATTTAAGCATCCTGTTGCACTCCATACGATAAATGATATAACCTCCGTCTCAAGTGCAAACAATATATTCTTGTGTCTTTGATCTTGCTCCCTACACTACATGTTTCGGCCTCAGACGGCCATCATCAGGTGTATAACACTCACGTCGCTGTCACACTGCACCCAGTTCAAAATTTAACATCTAAAACACTCTCCCTGTCATTATCAACTTCTACTTCGTTGATAGCTGTCCACCCGTAGATTACTTCACACACGTTAATTTTGTGTTTATTGTAATAGCACCATAATAAAATCTTTAGTTCTAATTTTAAACTTTTAAATTCTTGTCCAAATTTTAAAATTTTAAAATTGTTAGGGTTATTCGCCCTGTGTTTGAAGTGCTGCAGCGGCTAGTTCTTGTTTCCACACTGTATAGGTGTTATCCTGTGTGGTCTTTCTGTGTGCGTGCCGCTGCTATTCTTTACTACGTCTGCACACGTAGTAAAGAATAGCAGCGGCACGCACACAGAAAGACCACACAGGATAACACCTATACAGTGTGGAAACAAGAACTAGCCGCTGCAGCACTTCAAACACAGGGCGAATAACCCTAACAATTTAAAAATTTTAAAATTTGGACAAGAATTTAAAAGTTTAAAATTAGAACTAAAGATTTTATTATGGTGCTATTACAACAAACACAAAATTAACGTGTGTGAAGTAATCTACGGGTGGACAGCTATCAACGAAGTAGAAGTTGATAATGACAGGGAGAGTGTTTTAGATGTTAAATTTTGAACTGGGTGCAGTGTGACAGCGACGTGAGTGTTATACACCTGATGATGGCCGTCTGAGGCCGAAACATGTAGTGTAGGGAGCAAGATTAAAGACACAAGAATATATTGTTTGCACTTGAGACGGAGGTTATATCATTTATAGTTCTGTCTGTTTCTCACAGAGCATCTATGAAACTCGTAACCACTGAAATGCCTATTACAGACAACTCAGTGGGAAAATAATGAACTTCACAGAGATACAACTATTTCAAAAAATAAATAACAATTAAGAGTTACCTAGTGAAATCAATTTTCCTGGTGATAGGCGCATGTGGTGGTGCTGCAAAATTAAACCAAACTGTACGCAGTTCAATGACACAAGATGAGGTATTACCACGTCCCTCTTCAGTTGCCTGGTTGCCTGTAGCAGCTGTAGTGCTGGTTCCTGGAATTTTGGCATTGTTTGTGGTCGTAGCTCTGGTACCAAGCTCACTGCTGCTTTCAGCTGTAACTGCATTCACACATGTACTCTCAGCAGCAAGTTTTGTTGCTGTTGCTGCAGTAGATGAAGCTGCACCATTATCTAGCTGAGTTAGACCTGTAACATGAATTTGTATTTATTAGGTTTCTACTGGATATAGCAAAAGATCATATTCATTAACAGACTCTGTCAACATTTACATCCTATCAACCACCTTTGCAGAAAACATCAACATATTATTCTATCCAACAGGCTGAGCAACAACTAAAGCAGGGGAAATCTGTCAACGGTATACAACTGAGGACTTTTTCCTCACATTACCATGGTAGCTGTGAAGGTCTGACAATAATATTTCTTGGCCTTCAAAATTATTTGTCAAAGATACTGATCCACAGATTGGAAAACTGATGGACAGACTCTTGGTTATTTTATATGTACGTACATATACACATACCCATACACACATGTGAAAGCACACACAAAAACACATTTTTTTCTTCTTATCACTCTCAGATACTTGAAGTCATCATAGATTTGTATAATATGGTGAAGTATGGAGACAGAAAATACTCAGATCATGGAAGGTCATTTTATACCACCATTGCATGAATCACAAGGGTTTCAAATACAATGAAGGCATGTTTCGAAGTTACTAGGAAACATCAGTGATAGAATAACCAGGAGAGAGAGAGACCAAGAAAAAGCCTTAGCACAGGTAATGCAATAAAAAAAAAAATGGACTGGTTTGGCAGTGCTATTCCAAAGGAAAGAGACGCAACACAATAAGAAGGTTAAAACTAGTTTTATACTGCACTGGCAACCTTGCTGGTCTTTATCTACTTGGGTGAAGAAATCCATTTCTACAATGGGAACAAACATGATATAGATTAGGCTACTCTTAATGATGTGACAACTGTGAGAAAGGAGGCTGGAAGAGAGGACCTACAGATTAACATGGTACTCAAAACTACAGAAACAAATACAGAAGAAATTATGTGAAAAGTGAAAAATAGTCTTGGAAGGTGATAAACCGCATAGGTGAAGCTTTCAAGTACATCAATATTTAAAATAGTTATCCCAAAATAAGTAATTACTTTAATATCATAAAAAGGCCACTCAACCTACCTGATGTTGTGTTCGCTGCTGGTTGTTGCTCCAGTTCATCTTGTGATCTCACTGTATCGGTGTGACCAGCTTCTGTCTCAAGTTGCTCTGTCTCTGTCTTTCCTTCATTGCCATTTTCACCCTTCTCAAACTGGGATCTTTTGACAACTTTGAGTGATACGCCTTCAAGTCCACATTCAAACATTATGAATCCAAGCTTCTCATCAACAGAGTTAGCAGACTCATCACTGCTGTGAGGATTCCCAACATGGCGAATCTGAAAAAATTATCACAGAGACAGATTAAATAATTATAAGACTAAAATTATGAGAAAGAGAAAACATTCATCCTTCGTGCAAAAATGATTGGTGAAATAACTGTATCTAGTGAAAATTTATTAATTTTTTATTGCAGCTGCATTTACTCCCTATTCAGGGAGATGACTGGGAGGCACACCCCATTTCTTGGCTAGGCCTGCCATAAAATCACCCATAAAACACCCTACTACAAACTACAATATACATTACAAATAATAACATTCTGGACATTACACATGTTCAAATGAGAATTTTCGTTGTTTCAGGAAATTTACAGCACCACCTTACAAAAGAAGGCTATGGCAAGAACTCACTCCACTGTCAATAGATTGAGGTTGAACCTGCTGCTGCTGCTGCTGCTGATGCTGTTGAGCATAGAAGTCAACTCCTCGCATGGGAGAAGTTACTCTAGCACAAGTGAAAAATACACGTGAATAATGACTTGGTATTGCTGTGATCACAGCATCCTTCAGAACTGAACTCTCATTTTTCAAGCGACGCAGCTGTGCATGAATTTTGCCTGTATTAACAAACAAGCATTATTTTCATTACAAGAGTGTATCCTGCTTACATCAGGTTAATGATATACATGTTTTAAGGTAATGTACATATTCACTGTATGAAGAACTATCTGTAAGAGAAATGATCAATCTCAGCTACACCTAAAATATAGGCTATATTATCATTATCATTATCATTTATTTACATGTCAAAAATCCTTTACAAGGTCATAAGACTCAGGATATAGACAATAGTCCAATATAACAATTAAATATAATAATTACAAAAAATATAATATGTGTTAAAATATTTATGTAAACATAATTTAAAAATTATAAAATTTGTAATTTAACTTTTCATTACTTATGTATATAATCCCAATGAAATCAATTATCAATCTTTTTAACCCTGTAATCAAAAAATTCATCAGTTTAGTTCTTGCCAAAAGTAAATTCAACCAATAGGTTCATGTACATACTTCCCCAATATAAATTCTCACCTAAACTGACCAATAGTTTCAGATGAAACAACAGCAAAATGACTGAGAGACAGAGATAGATAAACAGCCAGGCAGGCAAACCTCTCTTATGAACCTGCATAGTGAGATCTGAAAATCCCTACATTTGATTTTGATTTTGTCAGACATGATGGCTGAAGATGGAAGGAAGAATAATTTGCATTGGATTTGAACAATCCTGAACCCAACTTCTGGCCTTTGAGGTTTGTGCCTGCTCTTAGATAACTGTTAAAAGTACATTTTTTTAAATTCACTTAGTGTGGGGTGGAGTTCAACTGGGTCCATTCGGCACAGCACCCACTGATTGGCCTACTGGAGCTTGCCCCGGGTGATTATGATGATGGAGAATTTGGTGGAATGAAGATTGGCAGGGGAAACCGAAGTACTCAGAGAAAACCTGCCCCAGTGCCAATCTGTCCACCACAAATCCAACTTGACCAGACATGGGATCGAACTCGGGCCACCATGGTGAGAAGCCAGTGACTAACCGCTTGAGCTATGGCACGGCCCTAGATAACTGTTACATGTGCAAATTCATTTTTGTTTGTCATTCCAATTTATATATCATACCTTGTACAACCTATAAGGTATGAAAGCTGCATTATAACTTACAAAAGGGTGTGTTTAAAAACAAATAGAAATACAGTTCACAATGATATTCAGAGTAAAATAAATTTAAAAAAGAGTTGTTATTCAAGAGTTCAAAAATTGTATTTCCATATATTTTACAAATCACTGAAAATCAAAATATACAAAACAATATTGTCATTTGTTGTGTGATTCAGAAATTTGCTCTCCAATATTTAGGAAGAACATAAACTGAAGTAAACACTTACAACAAAGCACTCAGGAAAACAACTAGACCTAATGGGACATTTGTGGTTTGTATTTACTGTTTTCTTTTTTTTTGGAAAGAAAATCCTGGAAGTTAAAATGGATTAAACATGCAACTCGGTTATGGGAGTTCAGAAATGCATAAAAAATATTAACTTGGATCTTAGGGAAATAGAGTAATAGTACAAGACGTGGATGATGGAAATGCCTCAGAGTCTTGTACCATGTCAGGATTTGGTATTAACAGTGCCGACCCTCAAGGTTTCATTGCCAGAGAGTTGGTTAGTCAGTTAGTTACAGAGTCACTTAATTGAAAGCCCTGAACGAAAAGTAAATGATTTTAACTTACTAATATTAAGAGTGAAGACCATTTCTTCTTGCTGCTTCTCTGATGTTTCTATGTATACTGGTTCTACACCTGGCATATCTGTGGTTCCTGGTGTTGCCTGATGTCCAAGGAGGAAGGGTTTACCTGTTTTACCGCTTCCACTAGATTTCTTATGTCCGCTAGGAAGGACAGTTGGGTGATGGAATGTCTGCACAACTTCACGAACCTTGAAAAGTAAACACCAATTACAATTATAATTAGTTACTTATTATTAACTAACTAATTCTGTTGAGCAGAGTCTTTATTTAGCAGCAGCAGCTGCTAAAGAATCCCCACCTTCCAATGAACCTGAATGTTCATTACAGTACTGACAAGAGCCCACCACTGTTCCCTACACCATTCTACCCTGTTTCTTTAAGATCCATTTCAATAGTGTCATCCAATCTAATTATTAATTACTTAAAAATCTGTGGCAATGGCTTCACTGATGCCAAGTCTGAGCATTTTATTTTTATATGACATGGGCCAAACAAACTCAGTTTAGTAAAGCTAAAGTTAAGTTATAAGGTACATACTTGTTTAGAACAGTGGAACCTTGCTGTAACGGCATCAAAACACATAGCAAACAATGAAACGCAAGTCAAATCTCGAATATTGTCTAATGCTGAAAAAGATATAATTTCTTCCACAACGGAGGCTTGGAGCACCGTTATGTTCACCTGTGAAGAAAAAAGAAAGAAAAAAAATGCAAATGTGAATAAAGATTATGTATTGTATTTACTTGATTATAAAATAAGACTTGTTTGTAATTACAAAAATAAGGCATCACCTTACAAGTGATACAACAGTTTGCAGAGGAAAAGACATTTTTGGAACTGTGGCATGTCTTGAAATTCGTGAACTTTGAATCTCTGCCAGGAAACTCGCTATCCAGACTGAGCTTTCTGGTGGTATTCCTCAGTCACTCTGGGAACATTCCAGGACAGTACCTCAATTAGGGAATGACCACTTCCTTCCAAATCCTTTCTGATTCAATCTTCACCAAGCATCCTATCATTCAACAGTATACAGTCCAAGATGCTGACAGTGTCATTAAATATATGTATTTTAAAACAACAATGGCAAGCTTGTCTGAAAATGTATATGGTCTGTAATGAGTTTGACATATAGATGGGATATGAAAAAAGGAAACACATGCCAAGCTTTGACAAGGTGTAGAAAAGGCCAAGGTAAAAACAGAATGAGAATTTTAACTCTTCATGACCTAAACCCTAAACTAAGTATTTTATTCATATCTTCTACTGACATCTGTTAGAGAGTCATTCATTTCTTGATGGTTCAACAGATCATATAATGTATGGGGCTAATGTTACTTTCACATATTGGCTTAATTGTTGAGTTATTTAGCTTAACATGAAGTAATCTAAAATAACAAATGAGTTAACCAATATTCCAATATTTTTACCTGCCTTCATTGTCACTTCCCACATATAAGATGCTTTAATGTATAAGAAGCACTGTGATTTTTGAGCCATTATTGTTAACAAGAGAAAAGTTTCTTGTTCATTCATTCATTTATTCACTTTCCATAAATCCATAAAGAAAACAATTTCATAGGATGTGGAAATAGTCACAAATAAAGCAGTACAACATACATATAGTCATACACATCAGAAAGTACATAAGAAAGTAAGTGTCAACATGCACATTACTTAACATAACTAAAACAATTTGTAAGTTATCGTAGTATGAACATAATAGTACTCCAGTAATAAAAACATAGTAATTGGGAAATGTAGGGATAAAATTTGACAAGCTCTTCTTAATAAAACTCTATGAAAGTAAACTTACCACATACTAACTGATTCTTACATCCAGTACTGATTCATTCCTGTCCTTTGTTACTGGTTATTACATGTAAAATATGTCCAGACACTTTAAACTGGTAATTAACAATTCTATGAATGACAGTGATAAAGATTACCTCTAAAACCAACACACTTCACTGATGTGAAAGAGATAACAGAATGGGAAGCGTTGCCTTGTGAACCACACCTACCAAGAATTTACCCTGAAGACTTAAGCCACAGCATCACCTCATCACAGCACATTTGAAGGAAATGAAAACATGAGAAACTGAAGTAAGAAGTCAAATTTGGGAAGCTAAATAATTTTGATATACAAATGTATTAAGTTAGTGAAACACCAGTTCTGTGATATCTGTTACATGATTTTTAGGTGGGAAATCCTATTCAATAGGAAGTGTGTTAAAAAAGGGTAAAATACACATAAAACATATGGGAAAATTCTGCAAACAAATTATTTTTAGATTTAAGGAGGGGAAATATCTCAACCAATAGTGTTTTAAATGGGTATCACTGCAGAATGATTCAGACTACTTATTTGTTCCAAGTAGCAGTGTTACATACCTTTGGAAGCATAATGGTTCCTTGAGTTTGAGTGGAAACAGATTCCTCATACACATTTGCTTGCAATAACCCTTGGCCAGTGGGGGAATTGACATTTCGCTCAGCTGTACTGCGTTTGCTACTTGCTTGGAATTGACTTAAGTATGACAATGACTGGTCACGTTTCAGGATATTCGCAGCCTCGACTTGAGAGATGCATTCAGCATGAAGGTGATTTAATACAGTCAAGGGATGTAAGCTGGCCAAAGTTGGGGTTACAGCATCAATAAATCTGGAGACAATGTAGAGCATTAAACACAAGTTATTCGGTATACAAACAGCTTAAATTCTTTATTACTACCAGAATATATAATATTGTTCTGATCTTGTAAGTTCAAAGAAGAATAAAAATTAGCAGCACCTGTCAGTAAAGAAAGAAAGAAAAAACTCTATAAGGACTTTCATAAAATTTGATTTAACTAAAATTAGTTCATATTTTATGCTGATTCACGCTGAAGAAGAAGACTACTATACTACATGAATTATATGAGAAAATGTCCAGGCTTTTATGAGAGATCACTTAAAATAAACATCCGAACCATATGAACTAACAAGGATGCCTGACACTTCCTGAAAAACAAAAATTACACTTAGGAATACTACTACTTCGCACCAAACCTCTTTGAAAGTGACCACTTACTACACAAGAAGAATATGGGAAAATAACATAAGGCTGGGCCTTGGGGAGAAGTTATGAAAAGGAGACATGGATGAACTGGATTATGATAATGTCCAACGGTGGTGTTTGGTATTAGCATCAATTATGAATTAATTTCAGGGTTTTAATATTGTAGTTGTAGTTGTTGTTGTTGTTGTTGTTGTTGTTGGTGGTGGTGGTAGTAGCAGTGTTAGTAGTGGTAGTGATGGTATGTAGTAGTAGTAGTAGTAGTAAACTATTATGCTACACGACATGAAATAAATGAAAAATAAAACATCAGATTGTGATGAAATGTAATATTAGCACTTCTAAGCAAAATTTAATCCAACAATATTTTCAAACCTCATCAACTTTAGCTGGCAGTTGCCTCAAAGACAAAAATTCCAAAATTACCAAAATCTCTGCCTTGACATTTAAATAAGCTACTTCCTCAAAACAATTTAACTTAAATTCCTCTTGTTCATTGTATTTTAGGGGATATATCCAGTTTTAATGGATTCACTGCTTCATGTTTCAGAAGATTTACACACACCCAGGATCTAAACTGCCTATAAATAGTGGCGTTACAGCATTAGTTTTTCACACTGTTATGAATTCTTGTTGAAATAGAATTCCACTGTACCATGTTCTGAAAATCATTCTGCTTTCACAACATTCTTCTGGCATACATCAATAAATCTAGCTGCTACAGAAAAATGCTTTATTTTTTCCACATACCTTTGCAATGATTCTAGGACAAGTGGACTCAGCATTATGTCCAAATCTCCTTTGAGTTTTAATATCACTGTAGTTCTTGTGCCATATTCATTCTGAAGTGACAGCAGTTCCTCTTCACAGCCTAGACAAACATACACAAAAACAACTAATTATTTGTCTTCAAATTCTACTTAAAACTGTAATCCATAAAGTGTTATATTGAACCAGTACTACGCTACAGAACATACAAAATCAACAGGTACCACTGGCAACATTTACAAAAATATGCCTGATAAAAGAGAGAAAATAAGAACATAAAGATGATGATATTTCAAGAAAACAACTAAATGCAATTTTCAGCATTTCATTGACTTCGTAATCATATATTAACGTTGGAAAAGTAAAAGTAAAAAAAGTAAAGCTATCCCTGTAACTGGCCATGAAGGCCTATAGGGTTGTGAGATGTTGAGGGTCCCACATTATCTAGACAATCGGCTCAAAGATGGCGGTAAGGTTGTCAGCCTTACACGCCGGCCGTGCTTTACTCCCAAGGAAAATTATTTAATTCCTGGTACTCATTGGTAACAACATATTTATTATGACAGTAGATTTTCTTGTGTTAAGATGATTGTATTACCACCCTTAGAGCACACTAAGAGAAATGTAAAAAAATACACAATGCAAAACAACCATGTTTTCTCAATGAAAGAAGCTACGTAAGCTTGTTATGACAAATGACTGTGTTGTGAATTTCAGGGTAGTTCAGGGGTTATAACACAAAAACACAAAGTGTATAACATCCTGTATGGCAAGATACTATTTTTTTTAAACAGTGGAATTTATTTCAATAAACAACACTTTTTGGACTTCTATGGTTTTCAGGAATATCTATGTTCCAAAAACAGAATGGTAACTACAATGAGGACCAAATTTCTAAGTTACCATCAATATTTCAAATAAATGAATTTCCTTCTCATGAAAATCTTTCATGGGAGGATTAATTTTACATTTCAGCAACATCTCTGTCTGCATAATGGATTCCATAAATACATGACAATATAAAAGTACATCAATACACTGACTAGCAAGCGCTATTCTTTGTAGTGTTCCAACCTGTCTCTAGATCATCTGATTCAGAGCCTGAAAGAGCCGTGGCATCCCAGGCATAAGGATGGGTGGGAGTTTTACTTGATGGTGGAGGTGTTGCATGATGTTCACCAATGGTCCTTGTAATCATCTTCAAAGATGTAAAGCCTTCTGTTAATGTTTCAAATCTAGGACTGTACCGTCCACCTGAAAACAGTAAACATCTAACCATGACATCAATCTGAATATATTTCACATCATCAGATAAAATCTTCATTAATTACCAAAAAACAGTAAATATCTTCATTAACAGATTCACTATATAATTTAATTTAATTATCACAAAATTATATCTTCTTTGTTTTAGTTTAAAGTCAATGGATTCTCTTAATGTACATCCTCATGGTCTATTCAACATGCTACCAACCAGATATGGGTTTGAAACATGAATCACTGAACGGCATAAAGAATTTTAATACACAATGTTTGTAATAGACTTGAAAGGATTCTGACAATGGGATATACTGTACTTCCTTTGGCTCATTTTGGACTTCGTCCATCGTCCAGTATGTAAAACACAAAAGAACATGACGTTTCGGAGATTGGATCTGTCTCCGTCTTCAGGTGGGTAGGGAAGGATAAATCTACTCAGTTGGGCCCATTAGAAAGAGTTAGTCTCAATCACTGGTTAGGTTAGGTCAAATAATGTCAAAAAGTTCACCTAAGGTCAAAAAGGCCAAATAACCGAATGAAGATAAAACAAGGTCAAATAATGACAAAAAGGTCAAATGATGCCAAAGAATGTCAAACAAGGTCGTACGTCAAAAAGTTCGCTTAAGATCAAACAGGTCAAATAACGGAATTAAGGACAAAGATTAGGTGAGGTTAGGTTGAGGTTAGGTTAGGTTGGTTAGATTAGGTTAGGTTAAGTTAGGCTAGGGTAGGTTAGGTTATGCTGGTTAGATTAGGTTAGGGTAGGTTAGGCTAGTTTAAGTTAGGGTAGGTTAGGTTAGGTCAAATAATGTAAAAAGTTCACCTAAGGACAAAAAGTTAACCGAATGAAGGTCAAACAAGGTCAAAAAATGTCAAAAGTTCATCTAAGGTCGAAAAGTTCAAATAACCAAATGAAGGTCAAACAAGGTCAAATAATGCCAAGAAGTTCACCTAAGGTCAAAAAGGTCAAATAACCGAATGAAGGTCAAACACGGTCAAATAATATCAAATAGGTCAAATGATGACAAATAATGTCAAACAAGGTCTAATGAGGTCAAACAAGTTCACATAAGGTCAAAAAGGTCAGATAATGGAATGAAGGTAAAAATTAGATGAGGTTAGGTTTGTTAGGTTGTTAGGGTAGGTTAGGTTATGTGAAATAATGTCAAAAAGGTCACCTAAGGCCAAAAAGGTCAAATGAGTTTAAACAAGGTCAAATGTCAAAAAGTTCACCTAAGGTCAAAAAGGTCAAATAAACGAATGGTCAGACAAGGTCAAATAATGTCAAAAAGGTCAAATGATGCCACAGAATGTCAAACAATGTCAAAAAGTTCACCTAAGGTCAAAAAGGTCAAATAAACGAATGGTCAGACAAGGTCAAATAATGTCAAAAAGGTCAAATGATGCCACAGAATGTCAAACAATGTCAAAAAGTTCACCTAAGGTCAAAAAGGTCAAATAAATGAATGGTCAGACAAGGTCAAATAATGTCAAAAAGGTCAAATGTTACCAAAGAATGTCAAACAAGGTCAAATAATGTCACTGGACCAGTGATTGAGACTAGCTCTTGCTAACGGGCCCAAGTGAGTAGGTTTATCCTTCCTACCCACCTGAAGACGGAGACAGATCCAGTCTCCGAAAGTCTTGGTCTTTTGTCTTTTACATACTAGACGATGGATGAAGTCCAAAATAAGCCAGAAGAAGTAATGTTTGTAATGTATGATATTTTTCTATATGTAAGACTGTTTTATGAAAAACTTTTAAGAATATTTTAAAATTTCTAAAATTATGCACATATATACATTCAGTTTTCTTTGTGTTTACTTCTAGATTAACATCCATTGTAGTGTGTAACAAAGATTCTGTGTACCTTTGTTACGGTATTTATATTTTAATCAATAAATTAATATCTGCATAGAAGTGAAGGTGATGTGTCCTATTCAACTCCATCTCCTGTGAATTTTTTTACCATCCTGGTGGCATATTTGAAAGCTAAGTTGAAAAACAATGGAATTAAAGCACCTTTTTAGATAATTCTGAATACAAAATGCATTGAGAATGTTCACCTATACAAACTTTACTCTACATTTTAGTTGAACATATTTAATTACAATAACTAATATGACAGTTACAACAACTTTAATAAAAATGTTGCACAGTACTTCTCTCCCTAGTTGTATTCACACTTTTTCCCCCAGTATCTACAAATGCAGAATATCTAATCAGCAAAATATGTATTCTGTCCAAAGAGATTATGACAATTCCAAATAATTCTGTCTAAACAGGAAAAAAGAATGTTAAGACAAGACTGATATGATCTACCAGTCACTGCAGTTGTAAACACCCTTTCTGTGCATAGGTACTAGAATAACATTTATTCTACTAACAATTCTTCCCTATTCCAAACAAAATGACTTAAGTTTATGGTAGTCACACATGTTTTATTTCTTTTTAGATCAATACTGCTAGAATTTTATCAACACCTACAGTAAATTTACTCCAGTACTTAATTATATAATCAAGAACTGTGCCATGGAAGAACAGAAATATAGCTACACCATTCTTAACCTTGGTACTATCAATACCCAGACATTTATACCTTGGAAACTTTTCCATTGCAATTCCAGCCTCAAAAGAAGTAGGTTTCAGATCTAATGATTTAGCTATCTGAATTTCAGCCTGCCTAATCTTACTGATCATATGTATACTTAATAGCTAATTCATGATACAATGAAGCATGTAAAACTAACAAATCTGTACATTATATATGGGAAAGCTGGGTAAGATGATGAAGTGGATAAGATGACAAATTACCTTTACTTTGAATACTGACACTATGATAGCAGCTGACAATAGTAATTTACAAGATGAAACAAGTTACAACACGTGAAAAGAGTCCATGACAATTCTACTCTGATTAGCGGCTGCAGTGAAGATAAGATATACTTGTAACAGGCCGTGAAAGCCCACAGGGTTGTGAGACATTGAGGCTCCCACATTTTCTCTAGATAATCGGGCTCACAGATGGTGGTAAGGTTGTCAGCCTTATGCAACAGCCACCCTTTACACCCCAGGAAGATATGTGGTACTCATTTCTTTTATGGCTGAGTCGACCCCAGGGCCATAATGTAGCAGGAAGGATTAGGTCAATCAAAAAAAATCCACCTCATCCAGGACGCCAACTGACAACCTACCAGCTTGTAGCATAGTGCCTCAACCAACTACACTACCACACGCCAGATAAGGCGATATATTCCAGTCTTTATATAATTTTTCCTTGTTGTTACATAAGATTTATTCATGGAAACCAATCCTGAATTTAATTATATTTTGTACATTATCCACAGCATATATTTGGATTATATTTCCACAATAAATTATTTGTGGGGCTTAAAAGATGTATCTTAAGTTTGTGCACTGTTTTAGGTTACATGTGACAGGGTAAGACAATGAATCTGCCTTACTCCAAGCAATATACTGCTTCTAATTATATTCAATGTTTGCTTTGAAGAACTGATAAAATTCCATGTACTTATGAAAGAAAAGCAACTGGGGCAGTTAGAAAGAATAGAACACTATTGCTGTACTCCATGTGGTACAGTGACAAAGCGTACTGCAACTGCTGAATCATCTACTTGGTTTGTCAACTTACCCAGGGTGTGGGTAAGCTGAAAAGAATGCAACATGTTATTAAATATATTTTCCTGGAAAAGTAGACACAGTATGAGTTCCTGTACATTATGTTCTTAGTTCAATAACTGAACCTACAGATATAAAAGTAATCATTTTCATACATTTGTGCTATAATTTGATAAACTTCCTTAGCATCGCCACCTTACCCCACTATAACATGCATCAATTTGAAACATAAGTTCATGTGAAATATGCTGTAATGACATTAACCATGACAACATAGTTCCACTTTATATCGGCTAGACAATACATACCAATGTATACAAGTCTACCCTCTTCAGTACGGTGAAAAAGAGAGATTCTGAATGCATCACAGCCTGAAGGGAGAGAAGACTGTGTCCAATTGTTGCAGTTTACCTGAAAGAATTACAATTTATATTTCAATAGAATAGGATGGTACAACACCTAACAAGATATGGAAATTTGACATGTGGGCCCTGGCTTCTTGTTCCTTACCATAAGTTTATTACATTGCATAGCAGATACTACACATATCAGGGGGGGGATTACCTTTGAGCTAACTAAATCACTTAATCATAACAGTCTTCTGGCCAGTTGGTAAATATTTGTCTGATTGAGAGATTTCCTGATTTTATGGACAGCTGTTATTAATACTTACCTGTGAAAGATGATTTACATAGCTGGACATAAGCAATGGAGAGTCTATGATGGGTTTATTAACCTGCATGTGCAGGTTAACTAATGCCATGTCCTCCTGTGATGAGACAGCTGAGATGAATGATGTACTGGATACAGAGTGTGTGTCAGATGAATCCAGGAGTATTCCATCTTGATTCTGTAATATCCACAATCACACAGCAGTTGCTACTTATTTGTAAAATTACAGCTGTTTCATAAAACATTTACTTCACATTCTAGATGCCTCTGAATGTGGCCATCAAGACAAAAGCAAAGTTACCATTTATGTTCTTAAATGTATTTTGATAAACATGTCAAACCTGATCATCTTATGCAATGAGGTACATTTATATCAAGGCTGTCAGTAGCTCAGACCATATGGCATTGAATGGTAGGAGGATCCGTCACTAGTTAATTGGAAAGGATGTCTAAGAAAGCAGCAGGTTGAACTAAGCTTCATCAGCAAACATCATGTACAAGATGTTGGAGATTTAGGCAATAAATGTTTGACACCACTGAGAGCATGCCATTCTTTTTTGCATATCATGAAGCCTGAGTTTCTGGACAACAGTAATACAGAACTAATGTAACCTTCCTTTTCTTGCTGATATTTGTCGTGGCAAACAGGACATACCAGTTTCCTACAACAGCCAACATAAGTACTTTGCATGTCAAGCCAGAAAGTCATGTTACACATCCTCCACTCATGTTACAAGCCATAGCAGGCCAACTTCTTCCACGCTCAATGCTTTGGCAAAAATTTTTTCCATACACTTGCTTTAACATTTCATAGACATGGTTGGTTCTTTTCCAAGTCTGTACATGAATTTCTTGCTGATCCTTCATTCAAAATGTTCATCACTCGTTTCTGTTATGAGCTGTCCAAATACTACTTCAGTTAAAGCACAAGAGCTCTGCGCTCAGCTGGACTTGTCAATATAAGATTCCTATTGTGTAGAGTTCAGACACACAACATACATCCAGCATGCACCATGAACCACGTACTGACTAACACTTCACAAGGTTGCCAGTCTTATTATTTAATTTTTAGATCTTGTACAAATATTAATTTTGGTTCTCCTCTGACAGAATGGCCCTGCAGATAAAAAGCAAGGGGCCATATGACAAAATTTATGAAGTTTGTGTAGTTGTCTCTCTGGAATTCAATGATATTATTTTCTATTATTAGACACTAACATAATTGACACAAGGCCATATAACATGATGTGATATAAGCTCTGCCTTAAAACTCCATGGTGGGCAAAAGGGGAATATTGCTGACATGGAGTAAAAGCCATAGTGGACTTATAACGATTAAAGATAAACTGGGGAAGAGAGGCTGGACAAACAATGGGGAGGAACGGGAAAACTGGGGTAGGATATACAAAGGAATTAAAATATGGTACAATGATATTCAGAAGACAGTATATGGCTACATAAAATAAAGGCTTCATTGATTGAATACACTAACAAAAAGAGAATATCAGGGAGAGAAGACATGCTGTAGTAGGCTGAAAGAAGAGGATGGGTGTGGTGGTGATTAGGATTGTGGAAGTTAGAAGGATGTAAAAGGCTGTCTGGAAAGCGCAGTATCCTATGTAAGGAGGGAGAAGGGACTGNGATTTTTTAAAATGCATAAAAAAAAAAAAATAAGAATTTAGGGAACAAATATGAAATTTAAGAAAGGGCTAAGTGTTCATATGAAAGGGTTATTAGCGTAATAAAGGAATACATTACAGTTAAATGAGGAATGAGATGAACATAGTTCTACCTCTTTCTCTTCTTAGTTCTTTATTTAGTGATGATGTGAGTATTGAGACTATTTAGTGGTGGAACACAGTTCTAGATATTTGTATTCACACATGCACAGACACACACAACATACACACATTCACACAGAGGATGTTCCATGCAACAGTACAAAAATTCACACCATGGATTCTACAACTAAAATTAAGAAAAAATGTTCCTGACATCAATATTAGTAACTTTAACCTCTTCTCAGAGGGAGGTAATAATCATAAGCAAATGCTTTCCACAGCATTATTATTGCAGGTAATTCTCATAACATATAAAAATACAAAAATGGCATATCAATCCTTGGTAAAACAAAAATCACTTTTCTTCTTACAGCTACAAAAATAAATTTTGATTTAGAAATAAAGTCAAGGAAAATATTTGAGTATCATTAGTATCATTACATTCAAAAATTTATCTCTGTTAGGGAGCATCAGAAGTTATGTAAGGAATTTCTTTCTTCTTACTTTTAGTTACAGAATCCATGGTGTGTAGCTTTCCACTGTTACATGTTACACCCTATATTTAACATTACATTCATCCTATTTCCACAAAACCGTTGATTTCTGTAGTTTGAAGGATAATGTAACATGCAAACAACTCAATAAATTACTACCACCCCCATCATAACAGAATATCATACACTATCACATTCATGCAGCAGCTATTTACATCTTGGTATGGTGCTTATGACAAAAAAGAAACCTTGGTTACAATTAAAACTTCACATGTGTCTGTTACACAAAATAATCACATACATAAACAAAGGAACAAATCCAGCTGCATATTATAATGCTATTGACAAATTTATTATCTGCTGACTCGAATTTTATACTAGAAGTTCTACATGTACCAAAAATGTCAGAATCTACTGCTGTAATATGTCTCTGATATGTGGTATAGGGAAGCCCTGCACAGCCTTCAACTGACAGCTGGATGCACCATAACATGAGAGGCACACCATACTCAGACGCTGTCTGAGGGTTGAGGTATCAATCTTCGTACAATGTTATTTCACTGACCCGTCCCTCAGAAACATCATGAAATCCAGTGAGACTATCTTCATTACTGTAGGCCATGTAACGGGGGCTGGCAGCTCGTTGCTGAGAGGAAGAAGCTATGTTACCATATCTTCTATGTGGAGTTGCCATATTTAGAATTCCTCCACCTCTTTTGTCATCCTCTCCTCCTGACACATTCTACAATACAAAATTAGATATTACATATTTAAAGTATCATACACATTCTGGGAGAGCATAGTCAGTATAGCGACTAGCTATTGGCTCGATGATTGAGCGGTTGGAGTTGGAGTCCTGGTGGAATAAAGAATTTTCTCTTCTCCAGGTCATCCAGACCAGCTCTGGGGTCCACCCAATCTCTTATCCAATGGGTCCTGGGGTCTCTTTCTTTGGGGGTAAAGCGGCTGAGGCATGAAGCTTACCACTCACTTCCAGCTAGTGCCGAGGTCAAGAAAACATTGATCTATACATCCACTAACCCATACACCTTCATGATGTAGTGCTTAATTAGTTAAGCACTCGGACACTTTTACCTCTACCTTATGTAAGCAGGGCATCTGGCATGATATAAGACCTACTGACTCCTGCTTCAATATGCAGTTGCCTCTCACTTCAAATGAGAGATGCCATGTAAATATACTACATAGAGAACTTAAAATATATTCCACATTACATGAATGCTTGTGGAAAGACAAAGAAGAGTAAAAAAGGATTTGTAAAAAGCAGCCAACCCTAGCACAGATGTCAGTGGATGACAATAATAATAATAATAATTATAAGCATCAGTTAACTTCACCATGTACATTTGGTAACATATTTGTAACAGCAATAATATTGGTGAGGATGAGGTATGAAGATGCGATACAGGCACTATGTTTGTCTATATCCAGGGTGTTCAACTACTTTTACTCAGGAGTCAGACAGGGCTCCTTTCAGTTGACTATGGTCTGGTGACAAAAAGTGCACATTCAGAATATTCTTAATAATCCTCAATTATATATTTAATAACTGAACATGCTTTATACATAAACCAAAAGACATAAAAAATAGCATGTTATCTAATTTAACATGATGTTTCAAATTCTGTGCTCTCAAAATATGGCACAGTAAACCAAATGTGCAGCAACCCTCAATTAACTTTCTAATACACTATCTAGTGCTAAGTAAAGGAAAATGGTAAATACATAATGTCTACTAGGGTTCCAAAAATTAGCATTTCTGTAACAAATTATGATTCTTTTGTTCTAATACAAACAGGTGAGATAACTTAGTTACTGTGGTTGCTTTCACCCTAGTGTAAAAGATTAGCCTGTGTTCAAATGCCTCCCAACTATAAACACATGAAGGAACTATTTATTCATTTTTGACTTCCTTCTGACTCACTCAGAGGCTCTATATTGGAGATGGACCTCAAACAAGCGTGAATGGCATACTGACAGAAAGATCACAGTGGCAGATCATCATTGGTCACTGACCTTAAACAAGTGTGAATGGCATACTGACAGAAAGATCACAGTGGCAGATCATCATTGGTCACTGACCTTAAACAAGTGTGAATGGCATACTGACAGAATGATCACAGTGGCAGATCATCACTGAAACCTGAACTTTTCAGGCTAAGAACCACCTTGCTGGGGTGAATGTTTATAAACAACACATACCAGTAGAGTATAATATAAGTCTGTATACAGCAGCAGAGAAAAATATAGACAATAGCTGCTACAGGATGGCTTCAAATAAAGGAATATTGTAGTGCTGTGATATTAAAATGTACTTCCAGCTGAAATGAGAGTATGCAGACACAATAGTGTGCCACACAATTAATAAAAGTTTAATTATAACATTCATTCAAACCAGTCCTCAAAAACAAATGGCATAAGTGAAAACAATGAGCCATATTCAAGATTGCCTGTAATAACAAGGACACATACAAGTGTGAATAAACTCAAAGAAAATAAAATGAGAAGGGTACACAGTGCTACATTTTATACCAGATAAGAAATTGTCCTTATGGTAATAAAAGTAAAATTTCATGGTAACAAGAAAGAAAGTGCAAGGTTTACCACATCTGGGCTTCGAGCAAGTTGCTGATTTCGATGTTCTGGGGTGTGAATTTCATGATCACTGCGATGACTAGAGAGGTGGGAACGTGTTTCTGAACATGTAGCTGCACTTGTGGCTGCTGTGGATGGCAATGTCTGAACAGCACCTGGCATTATGCTTAATTCACTAGAAAACTTCTTCCTGCAAAATGTAAATATAAAAAACATGTTCAATTTACTTCATGTGGAATATGAAGAGAAAAGTAAAGAACTATCAAATATAAAGTATGGCATGACGACCTCAAAGTGCACAAATCAAGACATAGGAGAGGTGATATATTTGGAGCTCCATTCAAACAACATAAACAGGGAAGATTATTTCTCCCTGAATAGGTCTGAAGAGGAAGGACATTCTCTCCAAAGACAAGATAGTTTCCTCATCCTGATACAAAACTCCTATTCAGTGCCCTAAAAAAGAGCTACTTTCCTAACTTTTCAGTCCATAGTACCTCTGAAAATGGTGTTTTTTCATACTCTCCCATCTGCACTGACTACAGAAAGGGTAGTTCTCATTTCTTTTATACTTTCCTGTTTACTGTTCCTACTGGCCTGGCGAAAGATCTGCCTCCTCTCTCTCTGAGGGCATACGTGGGCCAGCACTTTTCTGCCTCCTTTGTTGTCCAAGTTGTCCTTTTATACAGCCTAGTTACATCTAACCTATTCGCTTCAAGCCTGAATATGGAGGAAGCCACCTCTTTCAAAATGTCAGTACTCACCTGCAAGATCACATGATGTCACAACACAGTATACCTCAATCTAAATCAACACATGGTAACCATGCTGGTAATGACGAAAATATATAAAAATTATAACATCAATGGTCTTATATTCATGCCTAATTTTTCAAACTGATTCTAAAATGATCATAGGCACTGATTCATGCACACGCCATATGCACATCCATGCATGAAAATGGAAAAGTGCACACACGTACATACACAGAGCACATTATTTTAAATGGTCATTTGTGTACATATACCAACCAAAGAAGATTATAAAATGCACACTACAGCTTCTGTATATTGTCATGTGTATGATTAACTATAGATGGGGTTTGGATTGGTAATTGCATTTACTGGACTTTTACAACTTGTAACTACAATTAAAAGATTATGTTCCCACTGTTCTACACACTATACAAATCACTATAGGACACACTAGGTCTTCTCAGTCTGTTACATGTCTCCACTAGCCATTGCTTGGTAGCAGCTTCCAACAGCAGACACTCCCCTTCCTCTGGGTCCCCAAACTATCACCAGCCTCAGCTGCCAGCTTCTAACAGAAACAGCTCACAATGACTGAAATGCAGTTCTCTGACTAACTCACTAGCTCACCAACCAACTCTTCACTCCATTGTCACTAACTGTCCTGCTTATAACATCTCGGCATGGCCCACACAGAAAACACCGCTCCCCTGTTGCCGTTACAGGTCATTGCCTAGTAATGACCACTGTCTGTCTGTTTCCCAGTCATTGCCTAGCAACCAGTCTACATGCCACAATATTAATACCCACACTAAATTCTATGAAGTTGCTAAAATCACTCACTGCACAAAAAATACTAATTATAATATACATCTTCCATAGCTATTTATATCTACTATACCTCATACCTAAAACCTACTCATGTTTCAGGTTGATGTGTATTTAATAGTTATTTATTTTGGTCAAAAAAGTGTCAGTTAACATAATAAACTCATACTTAAAGTTAAATTTCAAGTAAGGGTCTCCAAAATAAAATTTAATTAAAATTTGACTTATGAATAAGAAGTGAAAGACATGACTGTAATACAAATCATGCCCATAAATCATCTGAGTTTGTGGTTTCCAGGACGACTATCTACAATGGCTGGAAACAAAATAGTCTCACCTAGTTGTTTTCGTATCGATATCCTCAACAACTAATACACTGCAATTGCTGAGTGAGGAGGAACAACTGGTTGATATGCAAATATGCCTCTTGCCATCTTCATTGGCTGGGTAGAAAACTTCTCCAGCTGTAGCATTACTGCTGAGGCTATTCTGTCTATTTAACATAATAGTGTAGCAGATAAAAATCATCCGTCATGCTGACTGAAAATAATATATTAATTCTAAGTCTCAACTGAAGTTACTATCTGATTCTATTTATGCAGCATCCAGAATATTTTGTGTAACATGCACATCTTGCCATTCAATTATACCTGTCATGGCACACATCAAAATAAATTTACTTCATTCACAAAACATTACAAATGCAATCAAAGCAAGAAATAATGTTCCAGTATATTTCCTACACTCACACCCAGATGAAAGCCAAATTACACTATTCTTTCAGCCCAGTCATTTTGTCATAGAGTCAAATTTTGATGCAAATTTTTTGAGCATATACTGAAATATTGATATTTCAACTACATCTTTCTACATGTTGTCAGATTGTAATCTACTGACTGCAACATAAACTACAATAGCAAACATTAAACTCTATGCAAAAATGGAAGTTTTCAGCTGTTAACATGTAAAAGAGAAAAGTTACACTGTAAATTTAAAACTGTGGGTCTGAATGTGTTAAAAATAACTGCCAGTAAACCACATACAACAAACTCTGCTGCAAATTTATTACAGTGTAAAATTATACTTATGAGATACATGCAAAAGCTTTGTTAAGTAATTTCATGTAGACAAAGATGATAAAAATTATTTATGGAAGGGGAAGGACTATATTATTCTGCACTGAACCATATATGAGTAAAAAAATTATTCATACACAAGCACTGGTCACTACAGCAATTTAATAATACCTCTACATTGACTGTAATGCAATGACATTACGCTGACACACCATGCTCTAAATGAAATGTAACTCATCAAAAGTTATAACTTTACCTGTTTGGAGTGTTTCTTATGATCTGTCCACTATAATAAAACATAACTTACCTACTGGTAGTGTTACTGCCACTGCTATCCTGCCTTGTCAATGTAATGGAATGACGAAGTGAAGAGGTACGACTGGCTGACATTCCAATGTGCTGACTAATATCTTCCTCAGCTGAATAAAAGGCCTCCGAATGGTTTTCACTACTCATTGACACAGTACGTTGCACTTCCTTGCGAAGGTTTTCTTCTGCAGTATCCACAGATAAAGAATGGTGTGATTCTGATGGATTGACCTCCGAGGAAATGGCAGGCTTTGAAACCTAGCAATATATATATATATGAAAAACATGGTCAACTAAATGTGCAGACTTACTACTGGCACACACCTTGTTGCTAAACATTCAGAAACCAATGAGACATCCTAACAAAAAATCTAACTTATGAAATAAATGCAGAAGATAAGCCACTCCTTGTGACACTGTCAGGTTGGGAATATATTTCATAGATATTACTGAAGGAATTTCTTTTTAAATATGCTAAGTAGTAAGCCCTGTATGTCCTAATTATATACATATAGACACACACATAATACATATGTGGTCTGTTCAAAAAGTTCTGGAACTCTATTTTATAATTTTTTTGGGCATGCCTGCAACTGGCTGAGCCTTATCACATTCAAAGTACTCCCCACCTGCATTGATGCACCATTCTCAATGCATTGCCACTTCTGGAAAGTCCTAATATGCCTTTCTCAGGATCACATGTAGCTCCACCTGCGAATTTTCTATATCTATTGAATTGTCTGAAATCGTCATCCTTTCAGAGAGGATTTCAGTTTGGGAAATATGAAAAGGTATGCTAGAGTCAGGGCAGGTGAGTAGGGTGGCTGAAGAAGCACAGTTGTGTTTGTGTCGGCCAAAACGTCGCCAATCAGTAGCGATGCATGAAATGACGCATTATCATGATGGATGAACCAGGAGCTGTTTCTACACAACTGAGGTCTTTTTCTCCTGGCACTCTCTCTTAGATGTTTCAGCAGCCTGAGATAGTACTAGCAATTCACTGTCTGCCCCTGATGTAAGAAATCATGATGCACAACACTCCTGACACCAGAAAAAACCATCAGCATGACTTTCACATTCGACCTGACGCACCGTACCTTTTTTGGTCCTGGCAAATTGTTTCCAACCCATTGTGAAGTCTGCATTTTTGTTTCCACGTCACATCCATAAACCAATGCTTCATCACTGGTTAAAATTCATTTCAGAAAGTTTTCATCCTTGTTAGCATGATCCAAAAGTTCCAGACAGATGGCAATGCGACTTGTCTCTATGATCCTGTATCAGAAGTCATGGAATAAACTTTGAAACTTCCTAATGCATTTCTTATTTTGTTTTAAGAATGTCATTCCATGATCCTATCTATATGTTGCACTCTTCTGCTATTTCCCGCACTGTAAAACGATGATTAGAGTGCACAATTTCATGAACTTGTTCAACATGAGCATCATCACATGATGATGAGGGCAGTCCCAATCATGGCTCATTATGTGTTGATTGCCAACCGTCCTTAAATCACTTAAACCATTCATAACAATGTGTACGGCTCATGCACTGATCGCCATAAATGTTTCGCATCATTTCATGAGTCTCCATAAACTCTTTCCCTAGTTTTAAGCAAAATTTAATGTTAATATACTGCTCATGAAAATCAGCCATCTCAAATATCACAACACACACTCTATACACACGTGAACAAATAGATCTAGGGCGATGACTAATCATAGCAGGATGACTTAGCAAAAAGATGATAATTAGGAAGCATGCCACTAGGTAAAACAACTTACCTGACATTGCTAAGAGGTTAAATTGGCTCACTATTTCAAAAGTTCTGAAACTTTTTGAACAGACCATGTATATCGGGTCCTGAAAACCATCTGTTATAAAATGAAATATTTTAACTAAAGTATAAAACTGACTCTACTGAACAGAGTCCTTCTTCAAGGAGGTAGTAAAAAGTATCTCAGAACACCCCTCCCCCCCCACCCAAGCCATGTATGTGCACGTGCACCACATAAGAGGGTCAGTCAAAAATTTCCTGGAATGGTGGTATAGCACTCTAATCGTAGGACATACGGCAACACTTACCTAATCACCTTCAAAGTAGGACCCTTGCGCACACACACACTTGCTCCATCGATCCTGCCATTGTTGGAAGCAGTGGTGGAAGGCTTCTTTTTTAATCTTCCGGAGCTCAGCCGTCGCATTCGATTTGATGTCATCCATGGTTGTGAAACACGTCCCCTTGAGGCCCATTTTCAGAGTGACAGCCAAAAGTCACTCGGAGCGAGATCCGGAGAGTACGGTGGTTGAGTGATGACAGGAATGTTTTTCTCGGCAAGGAATTGCTGCACAACAAGTGATGTGTGGCTCGGTGTGTTATCGTGATGTAGAGACCACTGTCCCTGCCACTTGTCGCGCCACTTCCTCTGAACCGCATCACGCAACCTCTGCAAAACTTGCACATAGAAATGGCCAGTAACAGTACCAACTTCTTGCTCCAACCCCGCTATGGTCATTCTTCGATCACATCGAATCAGTTGTCGCACTTTTCCAATAATTTCTTCGGTTCTGGATGTTGAAGGTCTCCTGCTGCGCTGGTCATCCTCTAACGTCTCTTGCCCATTCTTAAACTGGGAAAACCAGTCTTAAACTGCAGATTTCTTTAGTGCACTAGTAAACTTCCTGCAGGGCCAATAGCGTCTCTGAAGCAGATTTTCCCAATTTGCACATGAACTTGATGTTCGCACACTGTTTGAACTGCGACATTGCGCCAAACGACCAACACTCATGTCTAATTCACTGCACACTGAAACCTGTCCAAACCTGTTGCGCCGGCAAGCAGACATGCTGAGCTTCCCACCACAACAGTGTGTGCACTATCTTATCACTTGTTCTCCATCTGCAGGAGAATTTCAGGAACTTTTTGACTGACCTATGTATATAGATGCCCACACACGCACGCGCACATACACATACCCCTTCTGAGGTGGCAAAATGACATTTTAATACAAGAGACACCATGTACCACTGCCATATGTAAGGGGAGAACAAAGGCTTTGAGCATAGTTTAAATAACCTTTCTGTTTGAAAGAATCTCACTAACATCTATAGATTTCATTTTATATAGATCAAAAGGCATTACATTGAATTAAAAATGTTCAATTTATGTTTCTAGTTCAATGTAATGCAGTTTATAGAAGAGAGATTATAGTTTTACTATTAGAGAAAAACAAATATGCTGCCACAGTGCTTTGGAACTGTATGCCCATGTCATTCCCTTGAACTTCATGGATTTTATAAGAACCAGGTATATCAAAATATACAATAAGAGCCTGATGTTGTAACAGCTGACTTAAACAAAACCATAAAATTGAAAAGCTAACATTATAACATGTCCATATTAAAGGTTCAGCAGCATATACTCACTGAACAAAACACAAAATACTTAGAAATGAATTCATTTCTTTCCTGCACCTACTATATCCTGGCGTATAAACCCTTGCTAATTGGTGACTCTGTAAACAGCAGACGTTGATAGGTAACACCCACAACATACACATGCAACAATAGAAGAATTGTTTTCTACATGGCCCGTGCTGAGATGTTACAACCAGGAGGTTTGGATCTTAGTGCATTTGAGTTCTGCACGAAAGGGAGTAAAGAGAGTGTGAAGTTGAAGAATCTGTTGCCAGAAAATGGCTGGTGAAGACACAGCAGGATGGAAAAGGCTTAGTAGGTGCTGTGGTGATTTCTGATGTTTGGAGATTAGTGGTGGTGCTGTAATTAATTGAAGTCCCCAGCTGTGTGTATAAGTGGTCCATAAATCCATTCATCAATCCAAACCCTGTCTATAGTCACACACAATACATGACAATATTACTGATCCACTCTATATTTATACTGAAACTGCTTAGGAACAAGAAGCAAGTATGGTCAGGTCAGCTCACACTACAGTGCCCAGACACATTTATTACCTCAAATTTTCTTCATAATGTCACATATATGGTGACTCTTGATGGGGTTTTGGATTGGATATTGGATTTATTGGCCACTTTAACATACTCGTACAACTCATAATTCCACTTAATTATAGTGCCAATGCTGATCCCCATACTTTACAGTTCACTGGACAACACAATTTAGTGTTCTCAGTCTGTTACTAGCTGTTTCCTGGTAATGACTTCTAATGAGGGCTATTCCTCTGCCTCTGGGATCAAATCCTCTCTGAATGGTGGCTCCCTTCCAACTGACTATCTCGCTTCAATTGTCCTCCTTATAACCCCTTTGCATGGACCAAGTAGAAAACCCCATTCAACAGTATCTCTATTGCTAAGCATCGATTTGTTGCTGTGGAGACATTTACTGAGCTGTTGCCTAGAAATAGTTCTGGCATATTTGCTTTCTCATGGTCACTGCATAGTAATGGCTCTACCTGCTACAATAAGTTTGCATCTGTTAACTGCTTTTCCATTCCTAAAAGTACCTCTGTAGTTACAAACCATATCCAACACTCTGCCATATGCACACCTCAATCCCAGAATGACAAGAAAAAGCTAAGACTGTTAACAGCTTGACTTGTCTAAGGGATGAGTGAAAGTAACACAAGATATCAAGATTCCAATAAAAAATTCATACTTATTACCATTCTACTCTGACGGTCTCATGATCTTGAACACAGCAAGTAAGCTGGATTGAGAGGTGATGTTTTTGGCTTGTATTCAGGAGATCTCTAGCTTAATTTTGATTGGCACACAGGATACTCTGAGAGGTTTTCTGTGGTTTTTGTTAGTCCCTTCAGGCAAATGCAGAATACTATATTAAATTAGGCCTTGACCTCTTCCTTCTACATCTTTTCCAATTTATTATTCATCAACATCGAACCATTCAACAATTTACAGTCTGAATCACTGACAGTGCAATTATATAAATTACAGATGAATTATATATATAATCTCAAACAGACCAGGGAGTATATACTAATAAGCATGAAAACCAATTCAAGGTAACTAACAGATGAGCACCTGCTTAAAAAGTATAATAATAATTACATTCTGACAAAATTTCCTTATATTCAACACTATTAAGTTTTTTTTTATTGCTAGTGGGGTGGGACTAAGTCCCTTGCACTGCGGCCACTTCTGGCCTATTGTACCAGCCCCAGATGATAGGTGAGGGTGACTGGGGAACAATTGGTGGAATGAAAATTGGCAGGGGAAACCGAAGTACCCGGAGAAAACCTGCCCTAGCGCCGCTTTGTCCTCCACAAATCACACTTGACCAGACTCGGGATCGAACCCGGGCCGCCGCGGTGGGAAGCCAGTGACTAACCGCTTGATCTATGGTGCAGCCTTACATTATTAAGCTGGTAGTACAGCAAACGATGCTTTTCATGGAGGATTTATTGTTACAGCAATATTCGTAACTGCAGACTTCTACTGTAATGCTAAATTACATCTTGTTTCCAATCATCCTGATATTTTTAAATTTCAAAATGGATGTCCTATTATGAGAGCTATTTGAAAAGTAACCTCCATTTATTTTAGGCAACTAATGTAGGAGTGGGGTAGAGCTACACATGTGATGTAGTGTCACATGACTCAATGCCTTGCAAACCATCACACAACAGGTCACCTTGAGTTTGTTCTTGTTTCTACAGACTCGGTTATGATGTGTGCTGGTACTGATAATCCCACTGACTGTGGAATTTGCACTATTATCAGTTTTCTTCATGCTAAAAGCATAAGTGTGCTGGAAATCCATCGTGAATTATGCATGGTTTATGGTCAAAAATGTAATGAGTGAAGGAACTCTAAGATAATGCTGTAGAATGTTCAATGATGGGTGAACATAGTGGTAGGCCATCTGTAATGAGCAAGTGATCTTGTTCAAAGTGTTGAAAAAATAATTTGTGAACGATGGCACTTCACAATTTGAGAACTTTCATGTCAATGTCCACAAATTTCACTCACTGTTCCTTATGGAATTATCATAATATGCCTAGGCTATCACAAGTTTTGTGCAAGACTGGTTCAGAAAATGGTCATGGGTGCACATAAAACACAGAGAATGTCTTTGGCTTGGTGTTTTTTAGAGCGATACTGCAAAGATGGTGATAAATTTCTCGATCTCATCATATGAGTAACAGGTGATGAAACCTGGGTTACATTCGTGAATGCTGAAACCAAAGAGCGGTCAAAGCCATGGATGCACACACATCCACCAAACAAGCTGAAAAAGCTTAAACAAACGTTGTCTGCCAGAAAGCTGATAGATCAGAACTGTTTTCTGTAACAGGAAGGGGGTGCTGATGGTGGAATTCATGCAATAAGGGACCACAATAAGGTCACAAGCATATTGCAAAAGACTGAAAAGACTGTGTAGGACCATTTGGAATAAAAAGTGTAGATTGCTGACATCCAGTGTAGTGCTCCTCCAAGACAATGCTCGTTCACATACAGCTTCTTGCACTTGAGCACTGGTGGAGCATTCAACTGTGAGTTGCCTGACAACCCTCCTTAAAGCCCTGATCTTGCTCCAAATGACTATCTCCTGTTTACCTACCTGAAGGACTGGTTGAGATCATAGTGCTTCAGCAAAAATGAGGAGCTGATGGAATGTGTCAAAACATGACTGAGCTCACAGGTGACAGACTTCTTTGGCACAGGCATACAAAAATTTAAACCATGATGCAACAAATGCTTCAGTTCTGGAGATGCCTATGTTGAGAAGTAGCTTAAGCATGTATGTATTTTTTGTATATAATAATTTTTTCTCATTGTTTGTTTTTAACAGCTCATCTGGGGTTACTTTCCAAATTGCCCTCACGAAAAGGCCTTCTTGCAAAACCATCTATGCAGCAAATGTCAAATTTGTTGCATTAATAATTTATGATTAGTTCCACACACCAGTAGCATATTTGCCGTTCCTTGCTGGTAGTTCTCTTTGGTTGTGGTTGTGTTGAAATAGTCAACAGCCAGCTTTGAGTCTGAAACACTACTCTTTGGTGCTCCCTCTGTCTCAGGTACACTCAGTATGGACTTGCTTCGCTCTGCGTTCAGCATGGAATCACTATCAAGTTTTGGAGGCAAAAGGTTGGTTGGGCTATGGTCCACTAGACGAGCATATGGCACATCACGTGTAGCATTGCTTCCACTTCTGTTGGAATGCATGCAAAACACTATTAATCACTGTGTTCAAATATATCTTGAAACAAAAACCAAAGTCATAAATGCATGAAGAAATATACCAAATGTAGTAAGCTCCAATATCATCAGTTCAAAAGCTAAGAAATAAAAATATTGTAAAACATAATATTAAACTAATCAGCTAATCCCATTGACACTATGGAAAGAAGAAAATGGAAATGAGTATGATTGAAACATGTAACTATTTCCTTAAAATTAACAAGCATGTCCCAATAAAATTTTGTACATCCTGGGCTGAAATTATTAGACTTATAAAATACGCAAGCTTGGCATGAAAAGCAGGCTGTTTTTTTCCCCATACAAATTCAAAAGCATTAAGTGCAAGATTACTTTCATGCTAGGATATGAGGCAAAGAGAATAAGCATGCATAAACACAGTACGTGCTCTGACAAAAAGAACTGCAGGGGTGCTCTGACATTGCTAAATGGGTGAAAGTTGAAAAGGTTTTGCATAAAGTTATTTTGATACTTATACTTGATCTTTAGAGGAAGATAAAATACTTCCTATGCTAATATTATTATTTTCAAGTATGACATGATCATGGCATGACAAAATTCTGACTAAAAGACATTAATGACAGGACAGAACTGTGACTGTTGTAACAAAGTATCTTCAAGTGCTTAGGCTGAGATCTGATAGGAAATTTGAACCTTTCACTTGAATGCTCAATATGAGACATATGTATGTCTCAGATATTCAAGATAAATTGAAAACTAATTTTTCACTCTTGATTCAAACTTTCATTCTTCAGCCTTAGACTCTGAGAATTTTCTGGCAACTACTTTGCTTTGCACATCAGGGTCTGATATCATATCGGACCAAACTGAATAAAGGTATTATTTCTCCTTTTTTAGAGTTACAAAACTAGTGGTCATCATGAATTTTGGTGCAGCATTAGGTCAGATGTTCTCATTCAGTTTTAAGCTTTTAGCATGTTCATATCAAAATTAGCGATACCATGCTATTAGACAGCAAGTATGAAAACGAGGCAGACACATGTTTCAATGTCAGAAGTCATGGGTTAACACAGGGGTACCCAAAGTACCTTTCAACTTACAAAACAAACGCACTAATTAGAAAATTTATATTGTGGAATTCCTGGCTAATACACGTGCCCCTGACCACAAAAGTGGCAAGTCATGTTGGGAAAGGAGGTAACAGTGACAAGGGGAATAACATGTCAAAAAGTACTAGGGGTGCAGATTTTATTTGTGCCTTAAGATTATGGCAATTAAGTGCACAGAACAAACAAAAACTGTGAGTCAACAAGAAAATATAGTGTGTGTCCTGAGGCAAACATATGAAGGTGGAAACATGAGAAACAGGAAATTATGCCAATTATATATGAATATCACTGTTTGTATGGATTAAAAGACAGAAGAGAATGACAGTTTTGTTCAATATCATTAGACTCGAGTGGCAGAAGTTTTAGTCCAGCAGACGGTGGTGTGTACAAATGAACAACTGAGTGTAGTATTCCCACAAAAAAATTATGATCTTTGAAAAGACTAAGGGACTCTTAGATGACTAGGGGACCTATAATGTTTTCACTAATGTAAAACAGCTGCCCTCGAAGAAAACTCTCCTGTGGATAAGCTCACATAGGATGAACAACAGTTCATCCTCAAGGAACTGGGAAAGGTGTTTTGATGGACTCCTAAAGCAGAACTACAACACCTGAGGCCCTTCAGGCTGCACCTATATATGTGTGCACCAAAAAACATTCCGGTCAATGGCTTATCAAAGCCACTGTCAATCAGAGCTGGGGTCAAGGGTCAGGCTGAAAGCATGGGTGTGATGAACATCCTTAAGTCAGTCAAGGTAGTTCTCAGTATGAAAGACAAGATTGACAAGGGTCCTGATGAGCTGCTGAGATAAATAAAAGACTTCAACTCAGGGCTTCATACTGAGTACTGGAAGGTGCTGGATATGCAGCTTGAATTGAAAGGCCAGTGGCTTATCATTCTTAGAGAATGGGACTCTGTCCTCAGTGATCCTAAAGGTGAAGGGGACTACTACAGATACCCCCATCTGTGCTTCACACCACTGGATTGAAATGGGCAGCAAGGGTGGCAGAGGGTGTCTCGCAGCCATGAAGTATGACCCAGTTTATTTGGGAACTTGACTGAAGGTAACCCAGTCTATTGGAAAAGAACAGGATAAGGATGTGGCAATGGAAACAGACCCTCCTCAAACAGACAAAGGCAGAATAAGGTTAAAAAACACATTCACACATGAAATTCATTCCAATTCTTTTGGTAAAACAATCCAGCTATCTAATAAAGTTAAAGTATCTTGGACTAAGATTAGACTAGGGGCAGACTTAGAAGAAGCAGCTGGATAAGGCAGTGAACAAGGCCTGCAGACATTTGGACCTGCAGATGCACAATGTGAAAAATGTATGGACTGAGACCAAAGGTATTACACTATGAATACACCACGGTGGCAAAGCCCACAATCACCTGTGCTGCCACTGGGGGTGGCTAAGTGTAAACAACTGTATTCCAAATGGTTTTTCGGCAGGGCATGTTCTCACATCTCAGAAACACTAAAGAAGTCCAGCATAGAACTCATATTCCAGCAGATCAAGACCAGGGTTACAGATCTCTACAAAAGTGATAGTCAAGGGATTTGAAGCTGTATATCTGAAGAAACTGATGGAATGGAGGAGAAGGCAGTAGTTTGGAATGTTGGCAGTGAACATGAGAGAGCGAATAGTGAACATGAGACAGAACATTGGAATTGTGAAGAAAATGAAGTTGAGATGAAAATACGAATGGCAAAGGTCATAAGCATGGCCTAGCAAGTATGCATTCTGTTGTCAAGTTCACAGTGAATACAGCTATAGGACTTGCCTATTGCTAGCTGAAGTATAAGAGAACCTTCGTCCTAGAGCTCTCTTGTCACTGTAACAGCTAACTGGGCTGGGTGATGCTGTGCTGATTCTGGAACTACTGTCCTTGTTTGTCTCTGCTACTGAGCATGACTGTTCACCAGCAAGTGTGCCAGGACTCTCACCTAAGTTGCAATCATTTGTTACTGCCACCTGTGACATGCCTTAAACATCAATACTTGCACACAACATATAGTATCTACAAAAATGAATGCACTAATTATGTAAAGAAAACTGAGTAAATTTTATATCTATTTTAAAGTCTCAGGCCTGATCATATAGAGATTCAAACGAAAACTATAACACAATTCATATGTACAGCAAACCCTCGCTAATCCTGGTTAAGTGGGGGATAGGTCATCAAGATTAAGCAATAATATGGATTATTGAGACAAAAGGCAGACCTAAAAGACACAAAAAAAACTTAACACAAATAAATGGAAAATTTAATGGTATAAGTACTGCTGATGAAAATAAATACAAAAATATTGCTGTAGAGCCTTTATTTAAAAACTGTACAAAGATAACATATTTATCGATAGGAGACTCAGAAGTTGCACTTATTTTTTAATGCAATAATTCAGTTTTGAAGAAACTGTCAAGTTTAGTCTGAACAGACAAGTGACTCATCTGCCTTCCTAGATTTCATGTGTCTTTTAAAGTATGTACTCAACTGTAAACAGCATGTTTCATTTTTCATATTTCAAACTGGATTATCCAAGATCAGGATTAACTGTAACTGGATTAGTGACAGTTTACTGTATTTCAGTTTTATAAGCTATACAAGACTATGGTAATCAAAACCAGTATTACAAACACAGATATCAAATTCGGCTTGCAGCTAATCTTGTGTGTATTCTTGAATAATGGTACCACATTGTGGTGGGCTGATTTGTCAACATCTTGAAAAACCTGGCTGTCTAAAGGCAAAGAAGATGGAGACCATCACATTCTTCAGAACGTCAGCAAACCAGCCTACCAAAATATGGGTCATCATCCATGACAGGACATAAGACTAGCACATATCACCATCATTTGGATACATAGCCCATCCACTCTTTCTACTTCTTTTAAAAAAAACAAACCCTGAAGTCTAAGAGGTGTGGTATTTGTAAGAAAGTTATAAGAACGTTCTACTGAAATTTCAGGAGAAATAAAAGGCCCCCAAAGATGGGCAGGCACCTCCTTACATCAAACCTTCCTGGCCACAGTAACCTCAGAAATACTCAAGACACATGATGTCCTGAGTGTTGAAAATTCTCCCAGAACCATCCCCTAATTCAAGTGGAAGTTTGTGGCTCTCAGAGACAATGGTGACTTCCATATGCAGGACTGTCATTCATTTTGTGGGATAGTGTAGAAAGCATCACACATTGCCAGCTGTGATGATGTTTCACTGAAGTCCAGACAATTATCTGTTGTGCTAACAAACTCACCACTGATCCTCATGCAGTCTTCCAATGCCAGTATTCTTCATACAGTCATACAGTGTGTTGGCAAGTGCAATGCATATTCAGATATTTACTGCAGCTATTGCAGGAACTATCCATCAGAATTCTGGTTTTCCTTCCAATCTTTTCTATCATCTCCTGCAACTTTCTCATATTCTCCTTGTTCTGTGATGCTGCTGTGTGGGCTTCCTTCCAACAGTTTATAATGGTTCTTGCACCCCTGTATCATTCTGACACCTCTCACCAAGACATATTTAGTCAGATATACAGTATCTAAGGCATCTGCAGCATTCTGCATCATACTTTTCCATTAGCTGACAAAGTTTCTGTCAGTCAACCACTCAACCACTTTCCTGCTTTCAAACTACTCACACATTGCTGTCTCCTCTGGAAATTATATCATGCATGTAAGATTTTAGGTTCTCACAGTGGTGGTTATGAACAGTTCCGTCTTCTGGGATATAATGTCAAGTAGCCCACTGAAAGTTAACTGACATTTCGGACCTACATATTGACCCTAAAACATCGGCTGATGTTCAACGGACTACACGGCATTATATCCCAGAAAACTGAGCTCTTTCTATCTCGCATGCCTAGCCTAATGGCATCAGACAACTCCACTGTGTGTAGTGAGCATACATGTCAAGACTTGCACAAGCAAGCCTACCTGCCACAGCTCTGGTATATTTATTTCTGTCCTGGTATTTTTTGAAGCTACTATGTATAACTACTAAGTGTCATATACAACCAGAAGTGTCTCCATTGCTAACAATGGTTTAAAAATTCTGGGAATATTATATCACATCCACAGTAAATGACAACTTATGGTGAATGAAATGATGATCTTCAAAGTATTAAGAATTCATCATACAGTCTTAACCACTACAACTGGAAAACATCACAGCACAGATGCATGAAATATGATTAAGTGTTCAATATTGGAATTTTAGACTGGTATATGGTTTATTACTCTCCTGCTTATCCCCTCTCATGAATATAATAACAGTGCGGTTCCAGGATCGTTATGGTAGTAGATCAACCCCCATTCCTAGTATTTCATTTTCCCTTCCATGTCCTCACTTACTCCTCTGAGCAACTGTACCACATGTAACATCAGTATCATTGACACTGTAATCATTGTCATCATCATTGTCCTTCTCATCATATTTATAATTTGCGAAGTTACTCCTTCCATATAATGATTCCTATTCATATCAACTGCCTCTTTATTTTCTTGCATCAATAAATGGGATTCATACCTTCAGACCACCAGTTCCAGTTCCCCTTGGAATCCCCATGTTACTGTCCCAGCCACTGATTGGTTCCTGTAGAGAAACATCCTGGGAACCATATGGAGGTGTATGGAACACAAGCTGACCTTCATGAAGTATGCTTTGTCCAAATCCAGGATCCTGTCCAGTTTCATGTATCCTGAAGAAACAGTTCTTCCCATTAATGGAACCAACGACTATGATGCATAACCAGTAGGTTTCATGAACACACTTCAAAATATTCCTAAATTTCTAGCAACAGTTAGAAGAAGCTAAGATGAATTTACGAATGGTTTATCAGTGGTTGACATATATGTAGGAATCTACATTTCAATGGATTTTTTTATCACTATAATATGAAAACTGAAAACAGCTAACCAGATGGAGCTTCTTTTTCCAGCCCACAATAAAGTCAGCATCAACTATTATGGGTACATAGAGACATCTCTACAGAAAACTTATCTGTACGAAATTAATGTAATTCATTTATAGAAATAAATGATTCCATGATATTAGTTAGTACACTCACATTATGTAACTGTATGACAGGAGAACAGAAGTTAGTGCCTGCAGAATGGGAATTTTTAAAATTATTTCAAGCTTATTTTCACAGTTAACATAAACACCAATAACTATTACAGTAACTGCTAGTTTTCAGAGCAGAAAATCTTACAAAATAATCCCATTTAGCTGAGTTTATCATATACATGACTTATAAAGCATCACTCATTCAGAAACTTACCTGAATGCTGCCATATTAACTCCATCTTGAAAGTCCTGCCAACTAGGTTTGAAAAACTTGGCTCCATTTCGGTTACTACCAAAGAATGCACAGCCACCAATACAACCACAGCGCCCAACTGCCTTAATATTTGTACCTTCCCCTGACCACAAGAACCATAATCGCTTATGTGCCTCATCATGTGTGCGTAAATACCTGCAGCAGAGATACGACCTTCATATGCATCAAACAAAGTAAACTGCAAAGAGAATGGCAGAGCAAAAATTCTGTCTGTACTGAAACCAAAATCTAAATTAAAGTACATGATACTCAGCATTTCAACATTAGCCAAAATTAGAACCCACAATGGATTTCACCACAATGATGATAAACCAAGCAGGTTGGTGTACCAGTTATGCTGTAGACTTGTACAAAAATAAGGAAACACCTCGTGAAATGCATGCCTGACATGCATGCATGTCTTAAGAAAGACCCATATCTTATCAAAACATTTATTAATAGCTTGCAATGCCATGAAACAACAGCAAACTTTGAGTCTTCAGAATACTATGGTAACATTTCACTGAATCTTATCCAAGTAACAAGAAGTTGTGGGAAGAACTAATCACCTACTTCCTATGATACAACATGGGCCAAACAAAATATGATATCTCCAACAATTCTTCGTTGCTCCAAGAACGCATTTACAAAATCACTGCCTAGCAATGACAGGGCAATACACAGATAGAACCACAGACTCTACTCTGATATGGCAAGGATGGCAGAAAAATGATGCTTCCAACAGTTCTTCTATTTCTGCATGTATTCATTGCAATTGTGTGACTGATGCATTCATTCATAAATTCTTCCTTCTTTCAAGGTTAAACTAGAAGTCTACTGCAACATCATATCATTTCATTCTTGTTCTTCTTAAATCTCTCCCTCCAGTCAGATTATAACTAATTACACTTTTTGGCATCCTTTCATTATTAGTTCTTTAAAGAATTTTAACTCATTTCTAACTTAATCAGGGGTGGTTTTGCTTGGATGCTATTAGTAGAAACATGAGTGTGGTTTCTGAGATGTCCCTGTTTCTACACATTAAAAAGAAAAACCAAACAAGAAAAGCTTTCCAGAATTTCCAAGTACATATTTGAACATGAAATAAAACTCCATTCATTCTGTACTTGTTCCTTTTTAAAAAGTTGTTTCATATGGAACGCATCTTTTGACCTTGGACACACCAGTCAATTTTCTAAACAAAGCCCTGGATAAACAAAACCTCAGATAATCCACTCTTAGTTAATTAGGAGTCTAGTGAATTCTTTACTGTGATCTGATGCCTTTATTTTCCATTCTGTCCCTTTTTTGCAGCCTCCTGTCATCTTCAACAATGTTATTTAACAAGAATGCAATTTTAATACAATTTTTCTTTCTTACCACCCACCTCACTATTTTATGTCAGTGTTTATACTGCCTTTATTTTATAAAATTGTAATTGGCTTTCTGTTTATGCTTTTTACTCTAATAATTATGACTACTGGAATAATTACCTGTGCTGTACCAGATGCAGATTATGTTCAGGAGTTGCAAGAGACATTGCTGCTTCTACCACCAGAGGCCCTAAAGAGACAGAACCCACCTCCAGCCAGAGTTCTCCAACTAATGACCCCTCCATTCTGTTAGAAAAAATTTAAATGTTTGGAGTACAGTTTTAACACAAATACCGAAGGTTAATATTTTCAATGTCAAATACATGTGTGTTCATGTTTTATACTGTCTGCATATGTTCATTTTCAAGCTCAGACACCTAGTCTGATGCAGTATATGATGCCTGTGTGAAGAAATGGAACTATATAACTTATCTGTAGAACTAGTTGCTGAAACATTATTCATTCCATGGAAATTATCCTGATGTGCCTGCAGTTTTTCCAGTTTCACTCAATATCCAACTTTTATTTCTTTTGGAACATTAATTTTAATATACAGTGGAAGCTCCATTTAATGTTCCTTGACTTACGGTTTTTTCTCACCTCCATTTAAGATTATCCTCAGTTTGGTGTTCAAATCCACAAGTCCTCAAAAGACCCTTAAATGGAGATTTCACTGTAGTTGAACTCATTTAACATAATTTCTTGTTCTTTACTTCTGTCACTTCTATCCATTTGTATGCATTACAAAACCAAGTTTAGCAATTCTAAAGTCATGCATACATGAGTACACTTGCTTATATGCACATACGTGGTGTGTTCAAAAAGTACTGAACCGTTGGTCGGCAGAAATACATTTATTGATTTGGAGGTACAAAACCCTAATCCCCTTCAAAGTAGTCTCCTTGGTAATGCACACACTTCTCCCAGCACTTCCACCACTACTGGAAACACTTCTGGAACGCGTCTTTTGGAATGGTGATCAGCCAGGCCGTCGCATTCTGCATGATGTCTTCTCTTGACTCAAATCGGGTTCCTTTCAGCGGCATTTTCAGCTTGGGAAATAGCCAAAAGTCACACGGAGCCATGTCGGGGGAGTAGGGATCCTGATGAACCACAGGGATGTTGTTTGGTGACGAAAGTCTGAATCAGATGCGCAGAATGGGCGGGTGCGTTATCATGATGGAACTGCCAAGTTTTTGCCGCCCACAGATCCAATCGTTTCCACCGCACAGCATCAGGAAGGCTACGAAGGACCTCCTGGTAGTATTCCTTTGTGATGGTTTGGCCTTGTGGTGCGTACTCATGATGCACAACCCCACGGGAGTCAAAGAAAACGGCCAACATGACCTTGACATTGCTGCGGACCTGCCGTGCTTTTATTGGCCTCGGGGATGTCAGATGTTTCCACTGTGACGACTGCATCTTGGTTTCCAGTTCATACCCATAAACCCACGACTCATCGCCTGTGATCACGGTGTTCAGAAAGTTGGGGTTACTGTTTGCATTGTCCAGCATGTCCTGTGCTTCTGCTCCATTGTTAGCAGTTTCAGTACAAATTTTGTGGACACTCTCCTCATGCCCCAAAATCCTTGGTCAAAATTGAATGTACCGATCCAATGCTAACTCCTATCTCGTTCGCAAGTTCTCGGACTGTGATACGATGATCCTCCATGACCAAAGTCCGCACTTGCTCAATGTCATTCTCATTTTGGCTTGTTGAGGGTCTGCCTGAACGCGGTTCACTGTCCACTGATGTGCGGCCATCTTTGAAGCGGTTGTACCACTCCTTTATCCGTGAGTTGCTCATGGCGTTGTCCCCGAAAGCCTGTTGAATCTTGCGAATGGTTTCCACTTGGGTATCGCCAAGCTTTTGGCAAAATTTGATGCAATATCGCTGCTCATGTTGTTCCGTCATTTTACACCTTACTGGAATCCGACGAGCGCTCACTACACGTCCTCACTCATAGGCCGACTGCCAGCGACTGATGTTTTCTGCGGGTGGGAAAATTCACAACTGCACATGAATGTCCCCTCCACATCTCCACCGAAGGGAGTCTCCCGCGCTTCATTGGTTTACATGGGAAAAAAGAAGGTTGGATACTTTTTGAACACACCATGTATGTACAGACACTTCATATTTCCATAACACAGGGAATCTAAAATGTTTATTGTTTTTAAGAGCATACTAGACTAACAGTCTGAGAAAATCAGACAACAATGGGGAATGAAGTGGGGTAATGATAACCCAAAGAAGCAGAAATCATTAAAGGAAACATAAACTTTAGCAGGCATAAGAACTATGATTTATTTTAATTTCCAACCTACAGAAGAAATCTAAATCCAATACAGTCCAGCATGAGGTAACAGAAATGGAGAATATGATTTAAAAAAATGTGGTTTTGCACGAGTGGTATTATTACCAGTAGAAGCACAAAAGAAAATAACTCCTAGTGACATATGCAGCCTGGAATGTGCACATACACAGATTTTGCATTCTGAACTGGTAGTTCAAGAAACATAAGAGACACATACCTAGCTAGCATGTGGTCCCCTGGGAGCCTAATCATTCTGAGAAACATATGCAATAGTGAAGAGTCCACTTTGAAGGTAAATGTATGAAAGGAAAATGTTCTTTACTTTTAATGATTGTGTATCAACTGGATACATTATGTCATATCGATGCGGAGGAAATATAAAGTTACAACTAATGTAAACTGAATTAAAATGGCTAAAAGTCAGGCATGAAAGTAAGTCTTCGTTAATGTCATCAATTTTCATGTTCCACAGTAGCTAGAAGTTACTTGGATTCATTTCTTTCTTTGGGGTATTTTAGACTTTAAATGATTACATTATACATTTTGATGATAAACTTTAACACTGTATATAAATACATTTAATGCTTTTTAATTTTAGGATTCCACTCATTTAATGTTAAATTTCTCTGATCTGAGACATATTCTTTGTGTTAAATTTCTTCTGTTTAAGATTTTCATCAATTTAGAGTTTCAATTGATGGCCCCACAGGAAAACTTTAAATTGAGGTTTCAATTGAACAGAAATTTATTACCTGCTAGCATTGTGTTGAGATCGTCCACTACCCGTTGTATTGGTATTGCTATGATTAGCATTTCCACCATTAAAATTGCTGCCAGTAGCCACAAACTGCCTGACCTGCACTGCTGGCAATACACCTGTTACACCAGATTTTACTAGGTGTCCATGAAGGTTGCATGTAGCAATACGGATTGGAGATGCCTTAAAACAGAGAATAGATTTCAAATTTTAAAGGATCACTGTAACTGTAGTAAACTCATCAGTATTCATGTTTGAAAAGTATTTTAAATTTTTCTGACATTTCATAATTCATAAATAAAATACTTTTTGAATTGAATTGAATTGAATTTATTTACATTCTATAAATCCTAAGTAGGTTAGTACCTTTGGATACAGAACAAGTCAAAAGGTTACATACATAAGTACAGGCAATTTTAGCTTAAAAATTAATATAACTTAATTTTACATCATTCTCTATTTACATTGAAGTATTCATCTAAAGAGTAGAAGGAATGAGCATGTAGATAATTCTTTAACTCTGATTTAAACTTTTTAGTATCATTGCCCAAGTTTTTAATACTTTGTGGCAGATTGTTGAACACTTTTATGCCAGTAAAGTAGACTCCTTTTTGATATACTGATAAAGTTGATGAGGGTAGTGGAAGTTATATTTTTGTCTAGTATTCATGTTATAGACATCAGAATTTAATTTGAATTTATCTTTGTTGTAAACAACAAATAAGAGAAGCGATAATATGTATTGCGATTGAAGAGTTAGAATTTTTAATTTCTTAAATAATTCTCTACATGTTTATTTTATTTAACACATTAAAGACATGGACCAAAACAAACCAATTTTTCCTCTAACCCACAATATTATTCTTATAGCTGTACACAAACAAAGTAAAACAAACCCAAATCTGAACTGCTGTTCCATTTTCTAGTAAGAAGAGGTCCACAGCATCAACTGCCAGGCGGGTCATTCTGTATTTAATATCATCGCCAGATGGGCATCGATATCTGGTGTCTGGGTCTGATTCACTACATTGTAGAGGAGGCACTCCATGGTGACAAGTCTTCGGTAAGCGAGGGGGCCTCAAGTTGTTTTCTGCATCCTTCGCAAGCAGCAGAAAAGTCTCCAAGCTGGTAACAAGGTGATGAAGCTATAATGAAAAACAGCCAATACAATAACACAGATTCTGAGGAAGTACCTTAAGCTTTATTGTCAAGGAATGGGGGATTTAAAATACTGTAGTGCCAAGGGGCTGGGAGCCACGTTTTAGTTGAATAACAGTATGAGTATTCAGAAAATGCAATATCTGGTCAGTTGGAATGCAGACATATGTTGTTGAAATGGGGCAGCACATAGCAGAGGTCAACATGGACCATGAATAATAAATTTCCACAATCTATCCAACCCATAACACTGTTATATACCCATGTAGTTCATAAAACTCATTAGATAGACCAATGAACAACTTAATCAACTGTTATGGGTAAGTAGTCAGCACTCATGTTCTACATTTGCAAGGTCCTGTGTTTGTTTCCTAGCCTAAGGGCCAGCTATCTTGACAGATGGTTTTGCTGATTTCCTTCACTCCCTTCAGGCAAATACTAGGAGAGTAACTTACTGTAAGTATGACCATATTCTTCCACCTCCTTCTAAATCCCAATTCATTTCAGTCTCCCATTTGATGGTACATAAGCTACAAACTTCAGAAAATGTCACTAAATAAAATATAGAAACAAATAACTCCATCAACTTAAAGATCTGCAAGCAAAATATATGAAGACTGACACTCAAGCTGTGTGTGTGAAAGTAATGACTGGATCTGACTGGCTCAAGACAGGTACAAAGTGGGTTCCATACAGGAGCCAATTTCTTCACAAGCTGAATAACCAACAATTTCTCAAGACCAAATGGGGTAGGAATGTAGATGAGCACTGGGGAAAGGGGGCGGGGGGCCCTGCACCACATATCTTGCATGTGTCTCTCATTTGGTCAAAAATCAAGATTTCTCTGTTCTAGACTGTTCCAGACAGTGCCAAACATAAAGTTCACCTGAGAACCCATAAGAAACATCCTGGACTGCACCTATAAAAAGCAGGTGTTGAATTATTGAAAGAGTCTTAGTCATTTCCTGTTAATGAATGGGAATTCTTCAGCTTTTGTTATCATGTTGTTACTGTCTGGCAAATATCCCACAACTGAACTGTCAACTGAATTTGACTGTCACAGTTGTCTTCTTTTTAGCCTCCTTTGCAGAGCATGATTCAATTGCCAACTGTCAACTAACTGAGTCCCAGGCTGGTGGCCATTTCACACCAGCTACCTCTTCACAGGCAGACTTATAACCGACAACTGAACTCTCTCACTCACAACCAACTATTTCACCTCACTTCACTCCATTGAACTGAAATGGCTCAGCAAGCCTGGGCTCCTCACTATATAACCTCGGGGTGGACCCACCAGAAAACACCATTCTTCTATTGTTGCATAGGCTCATTTCCACAGGAACATGTTTATCGAGCTATTGTTTTGAAATAGGTTGCATAACCCTGTTATTCTATTGTTGTATGCTTGTATGCTGTGGGCATTACCTAACAACAGCTGTTGTTTCCAGAGTCATTGCTTATCAATGGGGCTATACACCACAATATGTTTCTGCACTGTACGACTGAACACAATAAAAGTGTTCATTGTCGGGCTGTTTAGTTATAAAACAAGCCTAAAACCAGAATTACAGTTCGCAAGTGTGTAAATTAAGAATAACCTACTGAGACTGACTTCAACACGTAAGCAACTGAGGGTGTCACAAGAAAGCAGAGTTTTCAGTCCATATAAAGCACAAACTAGAATAGCAATGAAGTGAATCAATGATATCCAGCAACACTGAACAAGGAGGTTTCATCTGTCTGTTCAAGAATAAACTACTGCAGTTACTACATAATTCTAATCTTGCATTCATGAACATCAAGCATAACCAATTTGTGCAAGTACTTACTCTGTAGTTCCCTTAATACAAATATGATCATTCTCGGTCAAAAATGGGAAATAATCATGGATTTCTAATAACTCTTTGGTTAATTAATATGGGTACCTGCACTTCTGATAATACATAGTACTGAATGAGATGGGAATATGACCATGAAAGGTAAAAGGTAAATATTTGGATACAGTCTAGGCCCATTTAGAAGGTAGTTGCCTGGAGATAATTAAAAAAAAATAGTGAAAACCTTTGGTAATGATAGCTAGTAATTGACCACATATTTGAAAAAATTACATCCAAAATGAAAGATTAAAACATTGCTACTACACCAACCAGCCTAATGAGAAAAGGTTAAGAGAAGCAGTTTAAAAAGGCTAAAAATTCAGGAGGATTTACTATATTTATATTACCAGATTTTTATGCTCAAGTAACAAATGTAGTGAAAAATTACTCTGTATATTATGACACATTGAATAGCTCATTACCTGTGGTGCTGTCAGCTTTCCACTCAACTTGCCCACTTGTATTTCCACTAGCCATGCATACTCCAAAGTCTCTTCATCTAAGGTTCTGCCTTCATCACTGAACATGGCATGACCTCGAACCTAAAAACGATGCAATTCACGATTATCATTAAGGTCAGATCCTGCTGTGTATATATACATGTATTATAGATGTAGGATTTGAGGTTTTCACAATGGCGATTATCAAGAGTTCTGTCTTCTGGGACATAATGCTGCGTAGTCTGCTGAAAGTCAACTGATGCTCTGCAGGAAAATATCAACTCCAACTTCAGTGTTTCAAAAATCCGAGGTCAATATCCCAGCATCAAATTCCTCCAATTAAGATTTTCCACAATGTGGTGTCCATATCCACTACTTCACAAAGAAACCTTACACAGGGGTTTCGTTGTATTAGGTTTCTTAAACTTGTTCACAGCATTAAAACATTAAAAACAGAGACCTGAGAGTTTGGAAGTAGTCACCTGGAATCCTGAGAGCATAAGATGTCCTTGTGTGAGATGGTTTTCCTTATTGGGCCTTGTCACTTTGTCACTTGTCAGGAGGATTGCTGGAGACAGTAGTAACTGAAGTTGTGTTTCTCTGTAACCTTTCTTCATCTCAAAACCAAATCGTTCAAGAAGAATGACTGGACAAGGTGGATCTCCTTCATTGCAGTTCTGTTGGAACACAAAGTGTACATTAACATTCAGGAAGTTCAGCAGTCCTTCATAACCTTACAGAGAATCAGACTGACAGAGAACACAGCAGGTGCAACATGAGCAAGTGACAGATGATTTTAATTCAATGAGCTCATGGGGAGAGACCATGTTGGAGACCTAGGCATAAATGTGAGGGTAATATTACGTGGGTCATTTCATAAATAATGCACAGCTTTGCAACACTGCAGATTAGATGATGCAACAACAGTGAGCCTCATGTCAGTTACAGTTCAGGGTTTGAGAAAGAAGCGCATTATTTTGTTTCATTTATAATGTACTCTGTTCTTAAATAATGTAAGTTAGAAATGGAGCCTGCACAGTTCTCACGTATTGTGACTGTTGAAGATCAAAGGTCATACATTAAGATCGAAACTTTACGTGGAAAAAACCCACCAGAAATCCACAGTGCTTTAAGTGAAGTTTGTGGTGAGTTAACAAGTCATTTTCGTGGTGGTCATGTGAGCATAAACGATGACCCAAGGCCAGGAAGGCCGAAAACATCAACAGATGAACGAGGTGTGAAACTTGTGTCAGATGCTTTTGAAGAAGATCGTCGTGCGACACGTGAGGAACTTTCTGAAACCGCGGGGATTCCACCAATGTCAATTTTCTGAATTCTGACAAATGATTTAAAGAAGAGAAAGATTTCTGTGCAATGGGTCCCTCACTGCTTGACTGCTGAACAGAAGCAGAAATGCCTCGACATTGCAACCTTGCTGAAACAAAGATTCAACGTTGAAGGTCAAGCATTCTTGTATCTACTTGTCGCTATTGATGAAACATGGGTTAGACTTTGAACTGGAGCTGAAATCACAGTCAAACTAGTGGAGAGGTCCATCTTCCCCAGGACCAAAAAAATTTCGACGATCTCAATCAAAGGTTAAACAAATGATGATCTTTGCTTAGGATCAACAAAGAATCATCATGACAGAGTTCCATGTGGGAAAAGTGTCACAGCAATTTATTATCATGACTTTATGCAAAATGTGCGCAGAAAAATGCACAAAAACCGACCTCAGTTGCTCGAGGCTGGGCCGATCATTCTCCATGACAACACTCGCCTGCACATCAGGAATGTCGTAACAGAAAAGCTGCACCAATACGGTTGGGAGGTATTGCCTCATACTCCCTACAGCCCGGACATGAGTCCACCAGACTTCGACTCATTCCCAAAGTTGAAACAACCTATGAGAGGCCGTCGTTTTCCCTCTCTGGAAGAGCTTTCTGCTGCAGTTACCCAAGCCATTGGACAGATAAACAAAGATGGTGTCCTGGATGGAATAGTAAAGCTTCCCATATGTTGGGACTCGGTCATTGAGAAGAAGAGGGACTATACTGAAGGACTGTAAAGAGATATTAAAACGAAATAAACATGGACATAAACAAAAAATTGTGTGCATTATTTCTGAAATGACCTGTGTAAAATATATCTTGCATAAATAGAATGTGAAGCTGTGGCCTAGACTGAACTGGCTCAGAATAGAATCCAACTGTAGGTTCCATTAAAGTGTGGAATATCTTTATCACCTGAGTAACTATCAATTTTTCAAGAAAGATCCTACACATTACAAAAGATATAACATCAACTTTAAATGTATTCGGCAACGTATTGCTCCAGTCTCAATCACACACTTACTTTGATAAGATGTGCCTGAATGTCGTGCATTGTGATGGATACTGCCACTTCAATGGGACGATACTGTCTTGTATCAAATTCTTTTTGTTTTAACAGATCTGCTTCATCTGCTACCCCAGTGCTGGTTGAAATATCTGCCCCTTTGTCTGCTGCGCCTGCAGGTGCTCCTGCACCAGCAGCAGTGTCCCCTGCAGGGGAGCTGGATGCTGCACGACTCTGATGCATGTCAGTGAAAACCTGGTCCTCTCCAAATATATTTTCCTGTTAGGTAACAATATGCTTAGATGTCACAGCTGGGCAGGATATGTATTATATAGCATGCACAGGCAAAAAAAAAAAATGATTGCACAATTTTTTGACTGAAGATCAAGGAAAGAGACCACTTGAAAGACGGCAAAAATGGTAGAACAACAGTAAAGGAAGTCAGGCTTTTGTGAACATGGCAACAAACTTTCCGATTCTATAACAGGGATTTTCTTACAAGTTGAATCTCAACTGCTGAAGGAAAGTCTCTCATTTCGATCGTGCACGCGTGAAATTTAAGACTGGATGGCAAAAGAGACATGAACTGGGAAAGTGACTAAGCAATTTTATCCAAAAGTACTTAAGGCATACAGGAAACAGTCCAAGAAGCAATTACATCTCTATCCTACCAGACATGTGCTGCAGAGACCTTGTTCATGCCTTGTTAATTTCTGGCTAATCACACAAGCTGCATGAAACCTTCTTCACATACACTCATGGTGTAAGCAGGATCTGACATTCTCACAGGAGAGGTTATGAAGAGCTCTGTCTTCTGGGATATAACACTATCTAGTCCATTGAAAGCCAACTGAAATTTCAGATGAACATATCACCACATTCAGGCTTGAAGAGTAAGTCAATAAAGTATGACCTACCATACTTCAGTTTTGGTGGCCACTTCTGTGAACAGACTGATGGTATCACTATGGGTACACCACTGTCTCCTGTTATTTCCAATTTACTGATGGTCTACAAGGATGTGGTGCTTGAATGGGCAGCTCAAGAACCCCTCTGCTGTTTCTGCTACATGGATGACACTTTTGTAAACTGACCCCACAGTCCTAACAAGCTGAGGGACTTCCTTGAACCACCTAAACAGTACCCACCAGACCATTCAGTTCACCACAGACATGGAAAGAGATGGATAACTTACATTCCCGCACACTGATATTTACAGGAAACCTGCTGGCTCTATGGACCAATATCCTATCCATACTAACCTATCTCAGCTCGTTCTCATAACCATCCATCCAACAAGTATCACATACTTTCCACATTGGTGCACAGGGCAAAGATCTGTGGCCATGACAACCTTCATGATAAGCTGGAGTTTCTGAAGGACATACTCAGGCAGAATTGCTAAAGCAACTGCCAGAGTTCCAGGGCTCTTAAACCTTCTGTGAGGATTTCACCAACCAACGACAAGTCAGATTCACTTGCTCTCTTCCCTCATGCTGGTTTGACCTTAGCAGGGTGCTGTGCCAACACAACATCAAGCTAGTTGGCCTCCTGCTGAGGAAAATAACCAGTATCCTCCAGCCAATCAGGGAAGGCCTGAGAATGAGGACAATGGGAATGTACAGTATCCCTTGTGAATGCAGTATCTGGTCTACAATGGACAGACAAGCTGTTCAATCGACACCTGGTTCAAGCAGTACCACTGGCATATCTAGATAGAAAATTCTGACAATGCAGCCATGGTAGAGCACATCAGCTTGGGATACCACATACAGCTCCATAACACCAGCATCCTCTCCATCAAACAGATATAGGTATATGGATCATATCATCCAGGAGTGACAGATTGAGTCCTCCTAACAACATGAACAGACTCTCACCTCCTCCCTGAACAATCATATGAAGCCTGCAACCAGATTCTCTGGTCAGGTTATTCACTGGGCCATGCCAGTATGTTCAAACAGCCCCTATCAGGGCACCAACCATGCCCCATCTGGGCATCCATTAAGTCTAAGCCTTTCTTTCCTTTCCTGGCCTCCCTCTGTTGTTTTTGTTCTTCTTATCCCAAACCACATGCCTACAACCCATGCACATGACTTCTCTCTCACCACACACACCTATGACTTTTCCCCCCAAGCTCCCACATGTGTCAGCTGACCCTTTCAAGGTCTGAACCTAGTTATCCTTCTCCTCTCCAGTTCTCTGAAAGAACCAATCAAAATTGATGGATTGGTTTCCATATTCCCTTCTGTTTCTATACAATCCTACATTTCTGAAAGTCACTTGTTCTACTTGCTGCCTGCTTCATGCTGTTTTCTTGCTTGGCTTACTCTTCAGCTCTGAAGATGGAGGTGATATGTTCTTCCAAAACAATAGTAATCTTTCAACAGATTACATGGCATTATATCCCAGATGACAGACCTAGTCATAGTGTAGCACGAGCCATGTAAATTATGTATATTTAAATTATATGAATACATATACATGTTGTTTGATTTTATTTAAAACTGTTTAAGAACAAAAAAGGAAAAGCTGGCAGCACAAGTGGTATCATAGACATATTTTTTTGACAATTTGATAAGTTTCAAAAAGTTAATACATAACTTTTGCATTAGTCAATTTCTCACATTTCTCCTGTAATGATAAAAGATGAAATGTAATATTAGCAAATCAGAGTGCACCATTTTCTATGATTCGCACAACTTCCTTATAATATAAACATGAACAAAAATTATACAAAATAGAATTTAGAGCAACTGCACTTCCCTTCAATGGTTACACCCTGGTTATACTTTCTAAGGTAGCCAATTATCTTGTCTCAGTGGTATGAGTGCTTGGGAATCTATCATAAATTCTAGTTGCTCTATTGGGAAGCAAGAAGCAAAATGGGTCCAAATGTAGCCATTGGAAACCAACCAACCAACAATTTCATTTACACATAAAAAAAATCCTCCTCAATGAACTTTTCTAAATACAAGAATCTTCTATGTTATTAAATATAAACCTTTAAGTGCATAAATTTCCTCAACCAAGCTCCATACACCAGTAATACAGATGGTCCTATTTCAAGCTCCAGGGAAACTTTATCTGCTGGAAGAGTTGTGGGATCAAACTTCTGTGAGCCATCCTGTAAGAAATATGTATGTTTCAAAGATAATACCAAATAAAGAACAAGCAAATGCACCCTTGGGGTAACATCCGAAAGGTGTGCCTTATTTACATATGATGTCTGTCTGCTGTCTAGGTTTATGAAATGTATTGTAAATTGAACTGAGATATACATCAGGGCAATAGAACATCTGACAATGCCTTCAATGTCATACACTGTAAGATATGCCCAAATATGTGTGCTTCAAAACACACTGAAGTTAATAAAACTCATCACATACGGTATAATGATATTAAAAAAAACAGCTGTATATAAAATGTTATCAAAATCTGTCAAATGATCCAAAAGATACATATAACTACATTTATGTCTTTATGTAAATTGTGCCTTCTGTTGATGTAAATGCTCAAGCATTGATAAAAATGCGGCGAGTGAGGTGGTTCAATCCCTCTTCTATGTTACTATCCTATTTCTCTTGATCCATTCTAATATTTGCATTAACTTCTCATTTGGGGACCAAGTCACCTCAACTACCTCCCAGTGGTGGTACCTGTAAGCAAGAGACTGGTCTGTCTGGGGACAGACAGGTTGTCATGGCTGACTGAAGGACAGGAAGAGAAAGGCTCTTCTCATGGAAACTGAGGGCGCAGCTGGAGCTCGATTATGGATCCAGTTGGGATAGTGATGGGTGCCCTGCTGAGCATGCCAGTAAATAAGAGGTTGGCTGGAGTTATCCCACAACCAGTATGTTGAGAGAAGAATTCCCTCCCTGCTTTGGAGGGCTCAGCTGTGTCATCTTATACTGCTGCAGGGGTCTCTCTGCATCAGAGGGTTCAATTGCTGGGTCTTCTGCTGCAATGGTAAATGTAAAACCTTTCAGAAGTTCTGGGGAGGGGTACACTAGGGCAGGCATGTCGAACTTCAAACAGGTTGTGATCAACTTTTTAGTATCACCACCTGCTCATATCGCTGTACCTCGTTTTAAGCAAAAATATTGGTAAAAATAACACAACATAAGATGTTTGCTGTAAAAGCAACATACATTGAAAGTACAGACTACTTTAATATGTATTTTCCCTTTAAAATCTTAATATAATCATATTATATTACAAATGAATTTACATGCTTTTCACGTATAATTTCCTTCTAGTCCTATGAGATCGACCAAAAATCATCCCGCGATTGACGCGTTGGACATGTCTGCACTAGGGGAAGGCTGAAGGAGGTCTCTTGATTGGAGTGGAAAACCCAACTATCAGAAAGAACTGGTAAGGCCAGCAGAAGAAGCAGATTGAGGAATGTAAGGGGCTAAAGAAGTGCGAAAGGTAGACGAATGCTCTTTTCAAAGAAACTGAGGGCATAGCTGAAAGCGGACTGTAGGTCCAGCTGGGACCAATGGTGGTGCTCTGCCACCCCCATTGGTAAATGCCAAAGGATGGCTAGGTATAGCCTGCTATCAGCAGTCAAAGAGAAGATGTCTTAAAAGTTCACATCGATATGAAGAGGTCTGCCACCTTGATATCAGCTCTTTATTAACTGGATGCCTTGTGGTAAGACAATTACAATTCAGGGACCCTCCATTCCCTGCATCTGAGGACACAGTTCCTGGTCTCCTGCTGCCAAGGAGAATGGTCAAATCTCTCAGGGCTCTAGAGCAGGGTCCATCAAATGTGAGACTGAAAGAAAGTTCCCCATTTGGAAGGCTGAGGCTGAGGCTGGTGCTCAATGATGGGTCTGGCTGGAATGAGGTGGGGTCTCTCCTGTCCCTGGCGTATGCAACAAAGGTGTCTGGAGGGTTCCCCATCATTGGTGCTTTCTCTCTGTGCTTTGAAGGGCTCAGATGGTGGATCTTCTGCTGCCATGGAGAGGAAATTAGAATCTCTCAGGGGCTCTGGTGAGGTGTCTACTGAGAGCACAAATGTAATAGGTCTCATAAGGATGAAGAATAACCTGATCACCAAGAAGAACTGGCAGACTAGAGAAGAAGCAGTTCAGGCAGAGGAATTCTTTTCTCAGAGAAACTCACGCTATGGCTGAAGCTCATATGCAGATCAAACTGGGACCAGCAGTGGGACTCTCTATACCTGTTGATAAATGACAGCGTGTGGTATTAAAAACCCTTTTTTCCATAAACTGTGAGATTTTTCTCTTGCATTGAAGGATTAAGCTGCTGGGCCCTCTGCTGCTGAAAAGCAGCATCCATCTTCTCTCAGGGGCTCTGATGAGGGAATCATGAATTATGACTGAACGAGGTCTCTTGATGTGGGTGAGTAGCCTCACCATCAAGACGAAGAAATGATCTGACCATAATTACAAGCTTGCCAGGAACAAGAATGCTCTTCAAGGAAACTGAGGGCAGCCAAGACAAGTGATGAGGGCTCAACCATCTATTGGTAAAGGATGGGGCACCTAGGCTACCTTGCTGTGAGAGTCCAAGTGAACACTGTGTCAATGCCAGACTTGGGTGGGAAAATTTAAGAGCTCTGACTCTGGAAAGAACCAACGAATCTTACATGGACCTCAGGCTGGAGAGTTCTGGCTCTAGCTAAGGTCAAGACTCTTTAAAGAAGTTGAGCAACAATGGCCAGTCTACAATGATTCCAGCAGTGGTCTGAGTGCTCACAGTGACTGGAAGTTCCCCCACATGTGAACCTCTTATCCACTCAGTTTTCAAGTGGCTGCATTTCAAGAATTTTCCAACCAAAATTCCACATGTATTTTGTGTTTCTCCCTTCTGGACTATACTCTCATCTCATTATAACCTCTTGATTTTACTACACTACTGAATTAAATATTTAAATGTGTAAGTATTATAACAAAAAATACCAGATCTAGACTTTTAGAGTTTTGTCAATTGTGATAAAGAGTGTTATTATTTTTAATCAATGGAATTTGATTACTGTTCATTTCACCATTATGTAAGAACTGGGATTGTTCTGTGGTTTAGTTTAGATGCAAGAGTCGAGTTACAAACCTGACTCCAATGAATGCCTGGAGACTTTCTACACCTTGGTATCCTCATGGGGGATAATAAGATCTCTTCTTTCTCTGGGGTGGTGATATCAGCTTGAGGTGGAGGACCCAAAGGTGGTACAGGATGATACACATAGTTAATGCAGAGAGCTACAATTGGTACAGACCAACAATCAACCCATCCATTGCTGAAAGGTAAATTAAATGAAAGTAATCATCAGGAATTTACTAGATCACCATGGAATACCATCTATTCTAGTCATATAAGGGACAGATCAAACTGACAAGTGCCTTCTCCTATATCATCACCAGTCACATTTGCTCCAGTATCAGGGCTAGCTGGCCCACTACACATGTATCACAAAACAATATTTAAATCTTTCAGTCTTCAAATGCATCTTATTCTTTTGGGTCACCTTTCATCTTTTCTTGGTGCACACTTTGAAGCTCATTCTTTCAATATATTTCTTCCACATTTGCTCTAAAGTAATGAGTAAAATATAATTACAAAGTATGTAATCCTGTCATTGTCAATTAAGTTCCTTTGTGGGCAAAAGGTGTGGAACTTGCTGTATTTCTAATGAGAAGCATTTCATATGATAGTCTCCATGCTGGATAAAGTAAAGTACATGGAATTACATTAAATTCCAGCAGACTTCACACATTCATATAGCTAACTTACTATTATAATAAACAAGAGTAAAACATTGTAATGCACATCACAGATTACACATACAGTTAAAGACAAAGAGCACTGGCAGTTGAGCGAATATGAAATGCATGTTTGACAGGAAATACTGGACTACTAACAATGCTATACTACATGTGTCTGGAGGGCCTGCAATAAATCATAAATAATTTCTGTAAGAATTTCCTACAAATTCTACATGAATCTAAATGTCATAAGCCTTCTCAGAACTTCTTGTATATTACTAAAATTATTATCCTAGCATCGAATGGAAAGGAATGAGGTTAAGTACAAAAAGCTACCAACTGGAATTTGAACCAAAAGCCTCCCATTAAAAACCATGCACTGCACCCCAATTCTTCAGTTTGCAAAATACAACAATACTCCATCAGCCTTATTTACTCATATTAAAGCTGGTGCTTTAAATCTAAAGATTCAAAATACAATAATCAAAAGATATAGTTGAAATGATTACTAATTACATAAAAGTCTTACCTCCTTTGGCAGACATTCCTCCATTTTCTGGACCCATCATTTCTCTGACGCAAATTAACATCATGCCCAAGTAGCTTAGCATTTTCATCAAGAGCCAATAGTATACTACGACTCGTACAAATTTCTGGCAAATATAGCACTAAGTCAACACTTTCCCCCTGAAAGTCAAATGTCAAACATGCATTAACAGCACAGAGTAAATGGGTTTCATTCAAAGTGTAGGATTAATAAGGGGTTAATTAAAGGGGAAGCGCAATAGATCATTGTTGGTCATGGTGCAGGGGCCAGATTGTAGGCTCACCCCTCATACATACATACATACATACATACATACATATACGTAGGTAGGCTGAAAAGTAGTGCACACATGCTTGTAGAGCACGAATGAAATGACCTTCAGAAGCGTGCCAGGTGGCATGTGGAACTAACATTCCCCCTCAATACGCATGCGCAGGTTTGAGGTCCTTGCGTTCATCCAGTGTATTTCGAGAAGCGGAAGTATGGAGACATGTTCTAGTGCTATGTCAACGCGAGTTAAACAGCGTGCTGTTATAGAATGTTTAACTGCTGAAAAAGTGACTCCTACTGAGATTCATCGTCGTTTAAAGGCGGTTTATGGTGACGATGCTGTTGATAGGTCTACTGTAAATCGATGGGCAATAAAATTTCATGGTTGCGAGCCTGGAAAAGCCATAACTGTTGATGAAACACGCAACGGACGTCCGATCACTGCCACAGACGATAATCATTGCAAACTCGTCGACGATTTGTNATTTGATTCAAAATGACCGGCGAATCACTCAAAAGCGTATCGCAAACCATATTGGAATATCCCAGGAACGTGTTGGCTTCATTATTGAACAATTGGGATACCGTAAAATCTGTGCACGATGGGTACCACGCCGTCTCACAGACGAGAACAAACAGCATCAATTGAAATGCTGCGAGCAACTTTTGCAGCACTACCGTGACGAAGGAGACGACTTTCTTTTGAATATTGTGACGGGGGACGAGTCATGGGTCCATCGTTACGACCAGGAAGAGAAAAGACAGAGCGCTGAATATTGACATCCGTCTTCTCCTCAGGCAAAAAAGTTCAAAACACAACCATCCACCAAAAAACTTCTTTTGACTGTGTTTTGGGATGCTCACCGAGTTTATGTGACCAATTTTCTGGAACGAGGGGCAACGGTAAATTCTTCTCAGTACATAAAGACTCTAAAACACCTCCGGCGTCAAGTTTGTTGTGTTAGAGGCAGCCTGGCGCCACTAATCTTGCAACATGACAATGCTCGTCCACACACCTCATGCGCAACTGAAGAGGCTCTGCGAAACCTGAAGTTTGAACCGATTCCACACCCTCCTTATTCCCCCGATCTTGCGCCTTGCGATTTTTATTTTTTTCCTCTACTCAAGAGAGACCTCAAGGGTAATCATTACACCTCGGATGATGAGGTGAAGGCAGCTGTCAAGTCCTGGATTCGAGAAAAGTCTGAGGAGTTTTTCAGTGACGGAATGAAAAAACTTGTTACACGTTGGGAGAAATGTGTTAGCCTTAACGGTGACTACGTTGAAAAATAAATATATGCTTTTGAAACTTAAGAATTGTACTTTAATGTACTTTTTGCCTGATCTTGCTATTTGTTTTTGTTCGCGCTCTAGAAGCATGTGTGCATTACTTTTCAGCCTACCCACGTACATATACATACAAATGGGTTTCAGGATCTTTTCAAATCTAAAATTATGGATATTACCTGTATCCAGAATCTCAGTGGAACTGTTGAAGGTAAGAAGTCACAAAATGGCAAATCAAAAGAGAGATCAAACAAATCTCCACAAAATGCAATGTGGGAATTCTCTTGGTTTTGTGATGAGCAGTCAATCCAATTATATTCATTGCACAGAGTAATAAGCTCAAATTCCTTCATTATAACAGTTATTACCCATGTATAGGGCACAAAGTAGAGGAGATCTGGCCTTGACTTGCTTGCCCAGTCATTCACCAAATCTGAAACAGACGTAACCTAGATCAGGATTTTAGCAAGCAATATGACTGAATCTTATGGTAAATCAATCAACAGTAACCTATGCCTGTGAAACCTGGACACTTAAAGAAGCCATTAAACATAGACTTTTAGTCTTTGAAAGGAAAATTCTAAGAAAGATATTCGGGCCATCAAGAAATTATGATGGCTCCTGGGGAATTAAAACAAATAATGAACTAGTTAATCTAATAAAAGGAAGGAACACAGTTAACTTCAACAAAGCCCAAAGAATAAGTTGGCTTGGACACACCTCAAGGATGGAGGCTGGACGAAAAGTTGAAAGAATATATGACTGGCAGCCACACACTATAAGAAAGAAAAGCCGACCTAAGATCAGATGGAAAGATGACATATGGGAAGATCTAAAGGATTTAGGAATTTATAACTGGACAACTGGCACGCATGACAGAAGTAGTTGGAAGGAAACTATTGAGCAGGCCAAAGCGTTCAAGAAAAGAATATGTCGAGCCAGAAGAAGAAGAAGAAGAAGATGTCGAGCCTTGAGGAGGAGGAGGAGGAGGAGGACGAGGAGAAGGAGGAGGAGAAGGAGAAGAAGAAGAAGACTGAATCTTACCTCATACTTCAAACAGTCTATGCATTATGTAAGGTGAACATTTGAGGGGTTCTGTTTTGGCCTATTGCAGTTGCATTAACAAAAAATAATATCATGGCCAGACACGTCAGTACTAAGACCTGCTACACTGTTTTAAAATACTCATGACTTCTTGATCACATACGGAAGATACATACCTTGGAAGAACCATTTGTGGGCATATATGAGATTTACAGTAGCTTTACATCCTGTGAGGTTTAAAACCCACTCCTGATGATCATTCCATCTGATGGGATAGTGACATTTGACAGTGAACTCCAGTGTTTCACTTTCAACTAGTGACCGATACTGCAAACTGGTTGTTGCTTCCAGATGCAGTAACTGGCCAGTGATCTTGGTCACATAACCATCTTGACAAACAACCCATGGCATTGTTACCTCCAAGTACGACCCAGGTCCAACATTGATATGGACAGCATTTGTTTCCTGAAAAGTAAGTAATTAATGGTAGATCAATGACTTTCCAAAAATTGTATGGATATGGTTGAGTCACTAGACCACAATGAAGTTCATTTGTTTATAAAAAATGGATTCAATATACTGAAAGAAAAATATGTTAATTTTGTGCAAACTATAACAAAGTCAGACTAAAACTACATCATCAAACGACTAGAAAATCAATCACTCCATAAGAGCCAAGAAATATTAATTATTAATGAACTGAGAAACATAGGCTAGCCTTGCACAGAAATTAGATAATACAAACAATTTAGCCTTCTAATATGGGCAGAACTTTAAGAAAGAATATATAAAATATACAGATACTAGCTGTAATGCATATCCTTCCTTTAGAGGATATATATGGTTGGATATGAAACTATTTTGAAAGATCAATGCAAAGACACTGCACGTATTTTCTTACATACACTTGACCTTGACTACATTACCCTGGAAACAAAATCACTTTTGCACAATGGGCCACTGCTGGTTGCTCAACACTGAACAAAAATAAAATCTGTCTGACCAGTAAAACTGGTTTTGAGAGAATTCACATTTTGTGTTCAGGCCTCTAGTGTATGCACCATTATTTTCTTAAATATTCCACTTATGCAGTTTTATTTAGACATATGCTATCCACTAATTTCTAAAACTTAATCAAAACTGTAAGACCCAATTTTGAGCAAATTGCCATTTTAACTTTAGAGGCCCATCTGAAGGGTCCATACTTTTGGAAATGGGATGTTTAGATTCACTCAGCTTTGAGCTAGGATGGATAAATTCTTAAATACCAAACATGAATCAAATCCAACCAACCATTCAGGCATAAGGATACAGATATACAAACATACAGACACCATTTCAATAACCACTTATTTCTATTCAGGAGGACTGAAAATGTGAAAATCTGACAAAATCTCAAGAACAAATTTTTTCACCATCATGAAACTCTTTCATCAATACTATGCATATGTGGAAGTAAAAAAGAACAGTCAGAGCCAATCTCATACATAACTACATAAAGAACTATATTAATGAGAAAATTAAACAGAAATACATACTTACTTTATTTTTAGAAAACAGAATGTCTACAGTGGCCTCATTCAGAGTACTCAGACGAATATCAAATGAAGTAGCAGATCGTTTCTCTCCTGGTTGTGGAGCTTTAGTTACCTGAGGGAAAAGGGTAGCATAACAACAACAACAACAACAACAACAATAATAACTGGCAACACAGACCTTTTTTAGCCATATTCTTCCTTAGAAGATTCTGCCAGACTTGTCTATCCATTGATAATTAAACCGCTACTTTCAATTTTGCAACAGTAATTTTTTTACAGAGCATGGTCATCAACCTTGAATTCAACCCCCAACCTGGATGACCAGGTCTCTGCATTTATGTTCCCCAGTGACACGATGTCCCAGTGTCCCCCCAGACACATGGGTTCCCTTTTCATCCCCTTCTACAAATTGCAGGGCTATCCACTGGGATGTATGGGGTAACAGCATATATTATTTCCAATATCACAAAAAAGTAGGTGAAGAATCAAGTATTCACACTGGTTACAAATCTTTAAAAATAAAATCCGAATTTTGTAACATCAACATTACAAAGTGGGGCACGTGGTGTGTAGCTGGTTGAGACACTATGCTACAAGCCGGAAGGTCGAGGCTTTGATTTCCAATGAGGCCATTGGATTTTTAAATTTACCTAAGCATTCCAGCCACAATATGGCCCTGCTGTCAACTCAGCCTCTAACAGAAATGAGTACCAGGAACCTTTCTGGGGGGTTAAGGGTGGCTGGTGTGTAAGGCTGACAACCTTACTGTCATCTGTGAGCTGACTGTCTAGAAAGTGTGGGGATCTTGATGTCTCATAAGCCTATGGACACAAGTGGTAGATCATGATGAGACATATACTTTATTCTACATACCAACTGGATATACAGTGTACTGGGAAAAATGATGTGAGCTCTGCATAAAGTACAAATCACATCAGGCAGCAGTACACAATGCTTTCAAATAGTTTTGGATCATTGTGGTCCTCATTTGTGAAGACAACTCTGTGTATACATGAAGAGACGACACCAGTCTGTGTCTATTCAGATTTGTTCCAGTAACCTTAGAGCACAGAGAATGTGTAAGCTGCATGGATACAAAGAAAACACTGTTGCTGTATTATTAAGTGATGTCACTGCCTAAGCAAAAGTGTGTTTACCGAGCCACTGCCTAGAAATGGGTTGCATAATCCCATTGTTCTGTTGGTGTTGGCGTGTATTATTTTGAAATGGCTGTTTCTGTGGCTCAAATGTTTTTGCATGGCGCAATAAGCCACAATAGTTTTCCTTTCCACATAACAAATTCTTAATCGATTTGGAACAACATTATATGCTGACATTTTTTATTAAGTTTGCTATTTATCGTTTTCAGTATCAAGACTATACAGCATCAATGACAGGATTATTACTGAATACTAAGCAGTTGGTAAAATGATAACTGGCAGAGGAAACTGAATAACTCATATAGTATTATAAATCCCAAGAGAAAACCTGTCCCAGTGCTGCTTTGCCCACCACAAATCCCATATAACCTGATCTGGGAATGAACCTAGGCCACTGCCGTGCAAAGCCATCCATAAATGACATACTATAAAGGTACATCATGGGAAATCACATACAATATCTTTTCTCATGCAAATACATAATTTCCCTTTTGTCAATAAAACTGCTAGTCAGGTTCCTGACAAAGACAATAGACTTCAGTTCAGCACATCATGTCTGCAGACTTTCTGATGGTTTTCACTCTTTAACATAAGTTTTAATGGTAGAATATTAAAGCCACAGTCTTAACCTGTGGGTCCCCATTTCACATTAGTGACCAATGGTGGTTTTGATCTGTCACGAAGTTTTCTGATACAGTCCAACTTTCCAGATAAAAGTATGTGTGTAGTCTGTTACTGCTATGATATAGCCCAGAATTAAATTCTGCTGCTGTCTTTTGGTGCAGACCACCTCAATTTCATAATTCATTGAAATCTGTACTATAACTCTAGAGTAGTAACATACAGATTAACCTTTTGCCAATTCCATTTAAAATGTTAGTGCATAGCGCCAACAGCCAAGTTTTCTGGACATCAAAATCTTAAATGACTCTTCACTATAAGTTACTAAGTTTGAAGGGGCATGTATCTTTCAAGTTTACTACATTCTGATGCATTGGAAGGAGAAAAGGAATAATGTCATCTCATAACATGCACTCAATTCCTCCCCCCCCCCCAAAAAAAGAAACATGATTGCATACTATAATGAAACAAATGTTATGTTGTAGCAGTTAGCACATTTTACATTGTCGTATAGGAGGCTGAGGTTCTTGGAGGGCTGGAGAGCCAAGGATCTAAATATTCAGGAGATCCTTGATTCACATCTTGGATCCACTTTGAAAGGATTAAGTATGGCAATTGACATATATACTTGATTACTATGCAGAGTATAACTATGCTACTAACATAAATTACCTTTATCTATATTACCTTTAATGGTTGAAAGTCAGTGGGAAAGAAGAACCTGAAAAGGTGATCTCGCTGTCGATCTGCCCATGGTCCATAGCTGAAATCTGTTCCCTTTCCACACTGTAAAATTTAGAGATATTTCTATAGTACAAAAAGAACAGTAAAATTAAGAGCTTATCAACACTGATTAGCACTGTTTCAGTACCACTACAATGAAATCTGCGTGCACACATGCATCCATGCATGTTTGTATATGAATGTAAGAAAATATGCACTTTTATGTGTATCAATCTTCCTAGACTCTGCCTGTCCAAGGATATGAAGGTCTAACTGGGGCTCTGATCAACAGATAAGAAAACACCATTAAAACCAATGAAAGAACTATGACTATGAGAAGCACCCAATGCTTAACATATCAGGATAAACATTAGCACAGGCCACAATTATTTCCTTCCCAGTGCTGTAAAATATGATGACCCCCTCACATCATTGCATTGTTAACTAACCTCAGCAGTTTCCTTAACACTGCAACAAAGCCTCTGACCTGTGGCAAGACCTTATATTCTTCAGCCTGGAAGTCAAATATCTAATGTGTACAGAAAAATAAGGACCCAGCAGAAGGACAAGAATGCAGAATTAAAAGCGAGGATAGAAATAAGATCTTCAAGTGAAATATCCCACAAGATTAGTCATGTCAGGTGAATGGATACCTGAAATTGTATACAGAGAAATAATTTAGGTGTGAAAATGAAATTAAGACAACCCATCTTAACATAAAGAATGGGGTGGAGAGATTAGGTAATGGTGAATAAAAGAGACTAGGCATAGTTCTGATATGCATAAAAAAATTAGAGATCATAAGACAAAATAAAATGAAGTAGCTCTGGAAACAAACAACTCTTTGTGATAAAACACAGAAACAAATTCATAGTAAATCCAGAGATTCATAGAATAAATACCAGACAGCAAAATAATCTCCATCAAACTCTTGTAAATTTGAATAAATACCAAAAGGGAGTTTATTGTTTAGGATCAAAGGTCTATAATAATCTACCACAACATATTAAGGATATATCGAGTGACATTAAGAGTTTTGAGGTACAATTAAAACAATATTTATATTTACATTCTTTTTATTCATTACAGGAATATTTCTGTTATAAATCCTTTTAAGGTGCGAGTAACTGTCTTACTTTACAATTAAAAGAAGACAAGATTGTCAGTCTGTGTTCTAGTTTTTAGTTACTTATTTTAGATATACACAATCTTTATATCACTGTATACGAGTCTTTATTTCAATTTATTATACTATTAATGTATGTTATATAAAACTCATTTATGACATTGTGTTTTAACGGTTGAATTTTTAATTAATAGACTTGTATAAAACTGTACAAATTGTATAAGGTTTGCCATTACTTTTACTACTAAAATTAACTTATTTTATTATATTGTATACGTTTATCAGTATTGTATTACAAATGTGTATGCTATTGGATGACAACTGTAATTCTTAGTTGTGACTGTAACTAGGACAATCTCCACATCCGCATGAGAATGTATTCTCAACAGGATTTATGGAAGGTGAATAAATGAAATAAACCCCATAAATAATTAAACATCCACAGATGATGATAATGGTGTATACAATGAGACCATGAATGGTGATGATGACAGTGCAGTGCATTGAAAGGCGATGTGAGTTTAATATCTTTTTTCCATTGGAGTGTCAATGCAAAGTATCAAGCACTAAAGTCTTACATATGCATTTAGAACACATTTCAATGTATGAAGCTACCTTTATGTCCATGCCCCAGATGGGAGGGGCTGATTCCACAATATCTCCATTTGCAAGTTGTAACATCTCAGGTTCTGCTGGAACTAGACCTGCTTCATCCATATAGTAGTACAGCTCAATGTTATTTGATGATAGAACCACAAACCCTTCACCCATATACCTAGGTGGGTCATCTACCATCCCTGTATACTTTGGACTTGGGGCTAGAATTACTTTGAAGTTCTCTGCTTTGCATTTGGTGAAGTGCATGAAATGATCAAGTCTTGATGCAGCTGGTTTCGTTGAGTAAACAAAATGAGCTTCCTCAACATTGATTGACAGAGTTGTTGGCACAAGACGGTTACCAAAGACAACCCGACCCTGAAAATGAAAGTTAACTATGAAGTCAGTCATAGGCACTCTAACACATTCACCACCTACATTGAAATGCCCATTTAATATGTTGCTTGTCATAGCAGTCACCAGTGACCCCTGCAAACCCTTTTTACCCTGCACCACACTAGTCACTTGTGTCTGCCCTCTACTGATTCAATGTTTTCATGCCAATACAATGCATCTGATGTTTGCATGCAAGCTGTAAGGCAGAATGTCAAATGTAGGTTATGGAAACATAAGGGTCTGTGACAATACAACACTCCTCAGCATGTGACAAATCACAACAATGCAAAGTGACATATGTAGTAACATGGTATCCTAAGAAAAAAGAATATATTACTTCATGATCACTGTCAACAGGTCGAACTGCTAGAACAATCACTTTCAGAATCTAATTTCCTTATATCATACACAGATTCAAATTAATTTTTTTTATTTTATAGATGCTCTATTTCATTAAAAAACATTATGCTCATCACTATTTATGTGCATATTATATATTTTGCAATTAAAATTCTCACAAGAATGACTATGAACAGTACTATCTTCTGGAAAGTGACAGCATGTAATCTGATGTTCACCAACATTTTGGAGGAATGTACTGCCTCCACCTGCAGAGTTTAAGCATACACCAAGCCAACTCAATCTGTTGCCTGCTAGGTGTACACTTTGACCCTAAAGACAGAGGAAATATATTCCTCCAAAGCATCAGTGAACTGCCATCATAAACCATAATACACAGCATCAGATCCCAGAAGACAGCGCTCTTAATATATATTTTTCTGTAAAATTTTAGCATATTTTCATTATTTTACAATTATATATAGCTTAGTGGACTGTCTCTGTGGTATAGTGGTCAACGTTCCTGGCTACAGATCCAGAGGTCTGGGTTCGATTCCCGGCGCTACTAGATTTTTTCTGAGAAGTAGTGGGTCTGGAATGGGGTCCACTCAGCCTTGTGATGATAATTGAGGAGCTATTTCAATGAAATATCGGCTCCGGTCTAGGAAAACGAAATTAATGGCAGTGGGGATTCTTTGCGCTGACCGTGCGACACTCTATCTGCAAAAGTTGGCACTAAACTTTGCCGACAAGCACCGGTCGCTCGGTCGGTATAGTTAACTTGCGGGCTAAAATCACGGAATTTGTTTGGTTATATAGCTTACTGGTACATAATGTCTATGTGTGATCATCTTGGTGCAGACAAGATTGGGTGTTTTTGAGTTTTAAGTAAACATACAACCAGGCAATCAATCTACTTCATACATCATCCTTTATCTACTCCTATATTTTTCACTTCTCTATATTATGGAGTACAGAAGCCTCTTACCGAAGCAACATCCACCTTGATAACAGGAATTAAGTCTCTCCAACTGTGTCCCTGGGACAATGCTGATGTCTGTGGATGTCTTCTAGAACTAGATGACACTGTAGTTCTCATTTCGCCATTATCATGATCACCTGAAACCATATACACTCAATTAATGGCCACATTAACTACAACAGAGAAGAAAAGCACATTCCAATTTGGAGGTAAAATTCTACTGCTTCTAAAGCTATTCAAAAGAGAGTAACCTGCATAAATAATAAATTTTACTGCTAACAGAATTATTCAGCAGGCAAATCTCAAAATGCGTAGAGACATAAAACTTTTTTTTAGTCTGTTAAATGTACATCGTACTCACAAATATTAATTAAAAGTTACTGACCTTAAGGATACACATTTCACCTTACAGATCACTTTTATTATGGGTCACTTTTAGAAATTGGATATAATCTTATCTGGCTTCACAGAAAGTGCAGATACATTGGACCAACAGAGATCAAAACTGCCCAAAAATCTTTGATGTGAATTACCATAACACCAAATTTCATCAACATCTGTCAATTACTTTCAGAGAGAAAACTTGTTGAAAGACAGATATGAACTCCCTATCATGGAAAGAATGCATAAAAATTCAGACTACAAGTACAGGGATAAATAATCTACTGTATTTGAGTAACATGTCTGAAGATTAATTTGATTTCTATATTCTGATAAATATGGTTTCCTATAGCGACAAATTCCTTACTCTCACCTCCTCCAGAACCACTCCCAGAAGAGTCATCATCACATGGAAACATCTGAGGTTCCAGGCCAAATAATTTTTCAAGGTTACCATACATTTCACATCGATTGTACACATGTAGTTCAAATCCATTCAGCATTACAGACAGCCGTGTATCTGAATGTGACAAATCTGGGAAAAAAAAAACAGGGGAATAAATATCTGTGGGCTCACTCTGTTAAAGGGTTAAACAGTTTCAACTTCCTTCATGCACAAATTACACGTGACACAATCGCCAAAAGTTGGTTTCCATTTAACTTATTTTGTATATGTGCTCAGAGCACCTCTTCTGTCATCGTCGTCAACAACAGCAGCAACAAAAACAAAAATTTAAAATATCACCATAAACAATTATGAAATAACAAACTTTAGGAAAAAGGAAGGCTGATTTAATATATCTTCATATCTCTGGTATTTTTTTAAATAAAACTGAAGATATTGCCTTTTCAAAATTCACGTTAGATGTAAAGAACCTTAATTCATTATTTTGGTTTGTCCTTGTGTTTGTCTTCTTGCTGTTGCTGTTTGCATTTGTGCTGACTCTGTAATTGGCCACTGGCTGTTGCACTCAGAATGTCAATATATAAAGAACTGAATTGTTATGGCGGCAGCGGTGCTGCTGCTGTATCCATCCATATGTAGAGAAAATTAATCCTTCCTTCCTTCCCCTAAGAGCTACAGCTCAGGGCGAGGTCTGGTCTCCTGAACAATCTGCCTCCATTCTTCTCTATTCTTCATCTTTCCTCCCCATCCTTTCACTTTCATTTTATGGAGAACATCATGTACATCCTCCAAACATCTTAGCTCCTTCACTGATATTAATTTCCCTTCAATCCAGCCATCCGTCCAAGGCTGATTATCTGGTTTCTGAACAATTTAGTTTTTACAGTGTGAGGTTGTTAGCCTCATGCCAAAGCCAAAACCTGGAGGACCAGGGTGTCCTCTTCATCTGGCTCCTACCCTTTGATCTGTCCAGCATGGGTGACCTTACCAGTAGCTATGCTACCACTGGCACAGCTCTCTGAGTCTCATGAGCATTCAAATATCACTACCACGAAAAGGAGACACCATTGGTAGGGAGACAAAATTAATGGGGGTCATAATTGTGGATTCTGACATACCAAATTAAATGCTGATCTTACATTCTTGATTCATCAGGTATTGGATAAAAAAAGGGAAATACACTGGTCAGTGCATCACCTATTTATGAACTTTAATAGATCCCCACTCAGGAGAGAAGTACTGTGTTGTATTCTTACTGAATGAAATTACACTAATTAAAATGTGTTTAAACAGTAGTAGTAATTAAGTCTGTACATACAGACATTTGTCTAATGCAGGGATTCTCAAATTTTCTGAGAGCATGAAGCCATAAAATAATACATAAATTTATTAGCCCCACCCCCTTCTCCACTGATGAGAGAAAAGTGAAGTTTCACACACTGATACAGGTCCCTATCAGGTTGTTCAGGTTGCACAGCAACAAGGGACATAAGCAGATTTACAACCTCTCTACACCTACAGTACAATGATAAAAGAATTCACAAAATGTTCCACTGTATGCAATTATATTTTCTGAAAGCTCTTGTATTAAATCTTATTGATGTGCTGAACTGTGAGTGGATACATTTAAAATCACTGACAAATTGGAAGGCTGAGCATGGGATAGGCAGGCCATACAGCAAAAACAGGAGAAATTAGAAGTGCATTCAAGACTACATTCAGAAGACTTGAAGAGAAGAATCAAATGGGTTCACAGCCTTACATGCTGTATGTGAGACTGTGAAACCATCTGATACTAAATGAAGTGGAGCAGGATGCCACAGTATAATATACTGAAGAGAAGAAACCATTTGGGAGGCTTATGTGCAAATGGATGGCATTAAAATGGAACTTAAAAAGACATAGGGTTTGAAGATGTGGAGTGGATTCAACCAGTTCATGACAGGGTCCAGTTGTAGGCTCTTAGAAAATCTCTCAATTAGCTGATTGTCTTTCAGCTTCTCATGTACTCAGCTCCATGGAGTTAGGTTGGTTAGTTATGGTAAGGAACACGTACATGAAAAATGCAAGTTATTTTACAAAGAGAACTTTGTGACTTATACAGCTGCTACAGCAGTTAAATCAACAAGGTTGAAATGTACATGTAACACAAACAGGAGAAACAAGAAATACACAGAGAATTTTGAGGATAAATTTCTTTGAAATATAAAATAGCATTAACAAGAACCTATGGGAAAGAGTTACAATATGATGAACTGAACTGGCTCAGGATCATGTCCAGTGTCAGATGTCAGACATCAGCATCAGGGGTGGTTAATCTGCGGATTCTATTACCAGAGTGTGGGTGGGTGAGTGAGTGAGATACCATGAATTAATCTTAAGACAAACTATGAGACTAAATAATTGATGCTGAATGTACTGTTGAAGGTAAATTTACTGTGAAGCAAGACCACCTGACTAGTTAAAATGTGAGGCCAGCTTCCTTATAATTCTACTATACATATGAACCTTATATTGTGGTCAGTCTTACCTTCAGACACATCTTTTGGCACATAAGCTCTCCACCAACGAAAGATCAACCATCCATCTTGAACTCTAACGGTATAATCATAGGATATATATACTACATCTCGAAACATTATCTTCCCAGAGAGCACATTGCAGGTTAAGGACCCTACAATAAATTAAAAAAGAATATCATTGGTAGACAGTTATGAAACAGTACAAGATGATTCACTTCAGAGGACGTGCCAAATTGATAATTATAAATCACGCAATAATTTACTAATGAAAGTGAAACATGACCAAGTACATACCTTCGTAGACAGAGAAAACTGGGTTACTGATGATACTGAAGTCAGTTTTACCTCTCTCTGGACATACAGCCTGATACAACACACTATGTTCACAAATACTGCAGTCGGTGTGGCAGGAGGGATTACAGCAATTGCAGAAATCATACAAACCAGGCAGACACTAGGTCACTGTCGCAAAGTACACAATGTTGCCAAGTTCTGTTTTCATTGGCAAATTACTGAATAATTTATAATTATTAATTCACGGCCTCCTCTTAGTGAATCACCCTGCACAATACACTTACATAATTCATGCTTTTTATTCTTATACAGCCTATGAGTTATATTATTTTAAAATCCATTCATTTAACTCTGTAACTGGTAGACTACTTATTTGAATATGAATTTGAATTTATTTACAGTCCGTAAATCCAATTACTGGTTGACACCATAGGTAAATGGTAAAAAAGGTAAAGTTGTCCTTGTGCTTAACTAATTAAGCACTATGCCATGAAGGCATATGGGGGAGTGGATATATACATCCACAGTTTCTTGACCTTGGCACTAGTTCGAGGCGAGTGGTCAGCTTCACGCACTGGCTGCTTTACTCCCGGGGAAAGAGACCCTGGTAGCCTTTGGATAGGAGGTTGGTTGGACCCCAGAGCCGGTCTAAATGACTTGGAGAAGAGAAAATTCTTGACCATACCAAGATTTGAACTCCGACTCCTCGGTTGTCCAGCCTGTAGCCAGTCGCTATATTGACTGTGCTATCCCAGCTCATGTGTGTGTGTGTGTGTGTGGGGGGGGGGGGGACATCATAGGACATGGAACAAGTCCAGTACAAATACAAATACATTATATCTGTACAACAGTAGTTTTGCTTTAAAAGTTTATAAGTAAATGGATAATCATCGTGAATGTACGATAACCATACTTATAATTGAACGTTTTTATATGTTGGATTTGTTGTATATGTTAAAGCTATATGACCAAAATATTCTGTTATGTTTGACGGAAACTTTTATCTAAAATGTTTATTTTAAATAATAATTTTGAATATATTGTGCAAGAGAGTAATTGTATTATGATGTAAACAAACACTGTCATATATTATAAGTCTTTTTGACAATTGCTTGATAGAATTAGCAAGATAAATTGACACAATTCTGTATCTAAGGCTTTAGCCTACTATAGATGTAATGGAATAAGGAAGAAATAATAATAATAATTCACAGACCTCAGCCATAAACTTGATGATTCCATTCTATCACTGTTCAAGGCTCTGTTCATTACACATGTAAATGTATGAAACTTACCTACATGCATGTAACCTTCACGAATATAGAAATGATTCAACAAGCGTGTTATGAAGTATCCAATAACTCTCGAGTTGTAATAAGTTATATAGATAACCCATGCCATGATTGAAACAAGAGAACAGAGCAACCAAGCAAAGTTGCTATCCATCTTAAAGTCATCGAGGTTTATGTGGCTGCCATTCATGGGTAATTGTTGAGCATCCATGTTTGAAATAGTTGTTAATTCAAAATCCATGATACAAAATTTTTTCTGTACTTTTACAGAAGCTGGTAATTTATTTCAAACCATCACTGAAACATAAATTACATATGAACAGTACACATTTCTATTAATTATACTATATTTCAAAATATGTATTTTACATTCATTTCAGGGGCTATATAATTTCTTTGAGAGTGGTTTCAAGCTGATAAGTTTTTAAATATGCTGTGGATTATGATGGTGCACTATACAACATAGAAACACATTAACTGCATTTTACACAAAACTGTAAACTTTTCAATCAGATTTCTTTTATACTTTGGTTATATTTAAGTTTATAACATAGAACACATTTAGTTAAATAGTAACAATTTTAACATCAAGGTTAAAGTGGTTAGGCTAGGTTACTTACGTGTACATTACAGTGCACACTAAAACTTCCTATTTTAAATGGCACTTTTGACTTATTGATGGCCATAGTATAGAAACGTTCCATAATGATAGTGACAAGAATTCAATACAAAGAACATGCAAATAATCTTCCGATCTATATGCAGCATATGTTAGTTGTGAATCACTCTGACAAATGGGTAGGTTTGCAAGAACTTTTCTTCAAATTATTCTTGAATTTAGGATCATGGTGTTACTAGGATTCCAGACACGGACAAATATGAAGACTATAGTCTTCTGGGATTTGAAACCATGTAGAGTGGTTAACAGGTACCAGTTTCAGAAGAACCTAGTACCTCCATTTTCAGCACATAAGAGTAAGCTGTGTAGGAAAGGGATTTCCAAATACAGGGAAGAGAAGGCAGGAACTAGGGATGCAAGCAAATCATTGGGAAATAATAACCTAGGGGAGGCTGATTTATTAATAAGCAGGAAAAAAGGATTAACAGAAACAAGAAAACTTTTTTTTTCTGAAGGGTGAGGAAAACGTTTTGGAAGTAAAGTAAATTGGAAGAAATTCAGAGGAGGAAGTACAGGGGGGAAGATTATATGGCACATAAAGGGAGGGGAAGGAAGAGAAAGATGTCCTCAAAAGAGAACTTATCAAGTGGCCCTAACAAGACAGTATGGAGAATCCCACTACGTGGCATATCCATAGCTGGAAGTTTCCTACATTCCATCACTAAGACAGAAGAGGCATCCATGATTTCTCCAAGTAGCTACCACCCTCCTTTTTCATGTCATGGATGCACCTCGATCTCTACAACCTCAGAAATACAGTCCATGATCTGGTGTACTAGGGTAGATACTATGTTTCAGGCTGATGCTGTGTTCTGCCACAGTTAATTTATCTGGATGGTACAAACTGATATGCTGATGGTGTTCTGTGATTCTTGGTCTCAAGGGAATGGCCAGCATGTCCAACAAAGACCTGACCACACTCACAAGGGACACTGCACATGACTGGTGTTTTCAGTTCTAGGTAATCCTTTACAAGCTGAAGGAAACTGGAGGCCAACAAAACACATGTGAATGGACAGTATTCTTCTAATGCAGTTGATGACTCAGCCACAAAATGGCAGAACAGCAACATCCTCCATACACAGAAACTCTTTCTGATGGATTGAGAGCCTGAAGAATCTGATGGTTATTGCAGCCTTCTATCTGAAAATTTCCTTGAGAAACACCAACTCATTATGAAGACTGTCCCAGTCACAAAGAGCTCTCGACCTATAAACTAAGGTAAAAAGTATGGCCTGCTTCTTGGGTGGGTGGGAATGTAGAGTGGCATTGAGAGGGCAGTACATAGAAGTTTTATAGTAATCAGTGGGTTTTAACCTCTTCATATCCTCATTCATATCTCCCCTTCACTATATATGAATCTTCCTTTTCCACACATCTTACTTTTCTACTCTGAAATCAGAGACAGTAAGTTCCTCCATAATGCTGGCAAAGCTCAATTACAATGTGATGGCACACACACAGAAGACAATTTTTGTGAATGGGCATAATGGACGAGCTCATATTCTCTTATAATAAATATGAGTAGACAGTTCAGATTGTTGTTGACAGCCTGTTTCTGCATTCGAGTAGCTTGTAACAGGCTTACTCACTCTGTTATCCTGTTTCTTCTTCACTTCCCTCCTTCTCACAGGTTTATGTCATCACACAGTAATAAAGCTCTACCCATCTACCAACCTCATGCTGTTACAACCCAGAGACAATTCACCAATGCAAGAACATCATACTTCACACAGGAATGCATTCTCCATAGTCATTAAGACATATGAACAATTTTGTACAGCTCTGTCATTACATACATTCTGCAACCCTTTGAAGACTTCAATTATTCTATGCAATGCATGAAGATTCATTTCATACCTTACAGGAAACACATTCAATTCAATTCAATTTTATTTCAGCCATGAATCATTATACATGATATGGGGCAAGTCAAAGATTAATATTAATACTAATACTAAATAATTATAAGTATATAATAATACAGAAATAATATGGCAATATAATAATAAATTACGTCTCTGCATTAAAGATGAACTGGTTATTGCTGTTTAGGGAAACAGTCATTTATTGTGAGAAACATATATGAAATAATAAATAAATAAATACCCTCTGTGGGAAGCCTATAAGAGTTTTGCATGTTAAAAGCAGATGTTACATATAGTGACCACTTAGATTTAAAGGGTTAATTAAGCAGATTATGATATGCTGTTCTATATGCTTCGGTAGCAATTTAAAAGTCGGGGGAGACAGTACACCTTTTTCAAATCCTTAAAAGAGCCACATGTGAACCCAGGTATCAAAGCACATATCCATAATACCTCTTCTGAGTAGAGCCACGCAAACAAAATTTTACAAACAGAAAACTTACAAGGGGAACCTTTCCATGCTTTATTTTCTTAACTTATTTAAAATTCACTTTTTGACAGTTCCAATGTAGGTTATCTAATGGTATGGCGCTGACAAACTTACTGCATTAAACGTAAACTGTGACGATGTGCTATTAATATACACATATTTTGCATTACTGCAAGGCGTTCGTTACTAACAACTTTTTCATCATATATTTTCTCCTTTTCTAAAACTGACCGCTTGCTGCCTTCTAACTTCGCTTTCATGACCCGCCCACAACCTCCACATCGCTCCTTTTCGTGTTGGACATCCCGAGCAATCGCATCGCTAAATAACCGGTGGTTGCTTTACTACGTTCGCTACGTTCGCTACTGCTTGTTAAATAGTACAGTATGCAACCGTGGTATGTAATAAAATATCCGTGAACTCTCCAAGAATGTTTTTATACGCGTACATTCTCGACTTCGAATATACAATTCAGTCAGCCATTTAACTATAGGATAAATTCACGGCTTGGGCGCCAAAGTTAATTCACATGGTCTGTATCGAGCGTTAAACAGGTCTCCTCTGTGACCAAAGGAAGTTCCGTTCACATGAAGAGTTCTGTCTTCTGCGATATAACGTCATGTAATACGATAAAAGTAGCCCGACGTTTCGGAGGAACATCGGATCCATCTGCGTGCTGCTTCTTGGCCTACACCTCGACCNAAACAACAAAGGTATGTGGGGGCAATGTGTTCCTTTGAAATAATGGGTTGATTTTCATGGGACTGAAAGACGTTACAACCCACAAGAAATTACTCTTCATAGTCATTGCTGTGAGAACCTAAAATCCAGGAGTGGGTTTTCATGTTTGGTGTGGTGACACAGTATTGTGGTGGACTGATTTGCCAACAGTTTTGAGATAGTAGAAGTTTCTGTCTTCAGGGCAATTGACAGTTCACATAGTCACCATATCCTATTGCTGGCCTGTTGTCATGCACGTTGAATGGATGAAAACAGAAGCAGAAGATGAGAACAATAAAAGGAAATGCAGTCAATATTGCAGAATCGACTTTTGCTAAAATAAAGTTCATAGCGGAACCAGTTGTCACATGTTAATGTTCTGTCAAGAGTTGTATCTGTTATCTTAGTACAAATATAGTTATCATTCCAGAAATTTTAATAGCTAGATGAATGCAATTATTACTATATGTCACAATCCAGCTGGGAATCCAAAGAGGTCGCAATGCCAAGATGCAAGTCACCTGAGGAAGTCAGCCAGCCTCCCAGGCAATAGGTGCTGGAGACCCTATTCCGAAGGGTAAAGAGGTGGTGTGAAGCTGACCACTTACCTCCATCATGTACCAAGGTTAAGAATATGTGGATCTATACTTCCACTCCTTCATACATCTCAGCATGGTGCTTGATTAATTAAGGACAGGGACTTTATAACAGTAGAAATCTTAGTGATCAAAATGGTGTTCATCTAAAGGAGCTGTCAGCTGAAAAGGTCCCTGTCACGGCCACAACTTTATCCTGAGTGATGTGCAGTCAAGGGATTCCTTCTGGTTTACTGCTGAAAGTTCTGTTGCAACATTTCCTTTATTTCAGTTTCTGTAGAACTGCCACTAAAGTCTGAGCTAGCATGGCGTCCTTTAGTCCATACCAGTGGTTCTCAATTGGGGCCATGACATATTTTGGAGGGGCCACAGGCAAAGTCAGGAAAATTGGGGGGGGGGGCATGAAAACTGTTAAGTGGACCAGGAAAATTTCACTTCTAAAATAAGATTATTAATAATATAAAAAGAGATAAAAATTCCTAATGGTCAGTACATATAACACAATAACTCAGTATCCTCGTTTTTGTATAATCTGCTTAGAAGGGACAGTACCTATTGTCTTTAAACCACAACCTTAGATCTGGGAATTACAAGTACTGATAAACAGGTACTCACCTTCTCAGAGCGGGCAGAGCCCTAATGAAATGGTTAACTGGAAAAGTGATCCTTTATTTTCCTAAATATCTTTCATTCCTGAGTTTTACCACCACCTTTTCAGTAAGTTTCAGGTGTTCTTTAGGTCAGTATTCAGAGTGTTTGGAAGAACACATTCTTTTTTGCACAAGTTCTATTATTGTGGCAGTTCCCTACTTTGGAGGTAAGTTACAAACTCTGGCTTATTATTTTTCAATAACTAAGCATTACAATTCATAATAACTTGAAATTTAATTACAAATAAATTATTGGCTTTCAATACAATGTGAATACCCTCCCTATATAAAGAATAATGTTGTGAACTGATTACAGCAGTTTTGTACTTACTTCACGAAAAATGGCTTCCAAAGTAATCTTTTTGAATACTTACTTTCAAATTTTTCGACATCTTTAAAAAATTTAGAACTAGGGCAGTCAGAAATGTTAAAAATTAATATTCCTTATATTATGCTACAAGCCAGAAGGTTGAGGGTTCAAGTCCCAATGAGGTCACTGGAATTTTTTCAATTGACCTAATCCTTCCAGATGCACTATGGCCCTCGGGTTCAGCCCCTAACAGAAATGAGTACCAGGAATTAATTAAATAATTTTCCTGGGGAGTAAAGCACTGCTGGCGCGTAAGGCTGACAACCTTACCGCCATCTTTGAGCCGACTGTCTAGATAATGTGGGATCCTCAATGTCTCACAACCCTATGGGCCTTCATGGCCTGTTACAGGAATAGTTTTACTTTTTTATTATTATAAACAAATAATACATGTTATAAATAAAAGTACTGTTGATAAAATACATATTTATTATAATTAAAGAATATGAGCAGTGGGGCCCACAGAAGTGAATGAAACTCAGAAGTGGTCCATGAGAAAACAAGGTTGAGAACCACTGGTCTCTACCATTATGCACACTTAACGGTCCCTTTCAGTGATTTTGTTGATACATGTATAACTGAAGAGTCCTGCCTTCTGGGATATAACGCTGTGTAGTCCACTGAAAGTCAACTGACGTTTTGGAGCAGCATATCACCTCCCTATTCCCCTGAAATATCAGTTGACTTTCAGTGGACTACATGGAGTTATATCCCAAAAGATGATCAACATCCAGCAAAGAAGCAAGAAGCTGAATTGTGTGGTTGTCAACATGGGGTCGTCATGAATGGCATCCCTCCCTTCATGGAACAATTTCACCCATCGTGCCACTGTGTGATGTGGCAAAGCAGCATCACCACATGCTTCTCGCAGTCCCAGATAACAGTTTTGTGCACTATGACCTCATGCAACTTCAATTTTTATCCAGGAGCATTATTCTTGTTTTCTAAACATGTTGTTAGGGTGCTTGAACTGGGCTCCTGCACTTCAAGACGATGCACAATGCAACTCAACGAAACAACCAGAGCCACTCACTGCACTACTTCAACTGAACTTCTGCTATCAGCTACAGATGGTGCTAGTGCCACCTGATGCACATCTTTCATGTTACAGTAGTGTTGCCACTACTTTTTATCCAACCCTTGTAAAACAGTAAGTACAGCTGCAGTTGCTCTAGTGTTTTACCAACACATGATAAATTCTGAACTCAAATCACAACATGGATTTCTGTAGTGTTTTGCCCTTGCTGAATTCTCAACCCGTAATTTAAACTGAAATGACCAGAACTATATATCTTACATAACATTTATTATTTACCACTTTCTTTACATGCCTATATATATTTCAGAAACATGTTTTAGCACTGAAGTTGAATCTCTTCTTCTGATGAAGTGTGGTGTTTTGTACTTCCTTCACTGCTATTATGATAAAAAGATCTCTGTTCTGGTTGTGTTTTCCCCAGCTGATTTAAATCCACCCTCTCCAAGTAAACAATCAGCTCACAGTGGGATGTGTGGGGGAACATATCAACTGGAACAGCACGCACAGGCACCAAGGGAGCACCATGATATGTTTTTGAAGTTGGACGGCTGAGATCAACAAAATTTTTTGCTGCTGCTTTTGGGTCACAAGAAAGGAACACCAGCTTACTGAGTTTCTCAGCGCGACGAAGGTGAATCAGGGCTCTGTGATCTGTAAAGAAATGGTTTACTAAATAGCAACACATAAGTCAAACCTTGTAAGGTAAAAAGTTCTCAACATAACATTGTATATGACACCACTCTTGCTTTACACTTGTATCATCATCATTCACAAAAGTTCCATGCACAAGTCACATTTTCTCATAATTTATTACTGTCTCAGTCTTTAAATATCTTCTAACATATTGTCATGTGTTGGGTAAGTCACGCGACAAATAACTTTACGTGGGTCTCGGATTTAGCGAATCTTTATTGAACATTCACTCTTACACACCATACAATTGTTATCACTTGTAGTGTCACTTGACTTCTGGCCTAATACTTCAATACGACATCTCAACTATCCTTGGCCGTGGCTGGATCTCAACTGTCTTCTGTCTGTATCATATGGCGACTAGGTTCCAACTGTCTTCAGCGGCAGCTATCCTAAGACTAACTCGGTGAATGCATTACCTTGTTATATATCTGCGGCCATTGCTATGCAGTGAACCTTCCGCTGTCTATCACTGGGGAAACATTGCTTTATTGATTCTGCAATTCCTATGCAATGGCCCACTGTTATTGCATTACCATGGAAGTATCTACTCCATACATGTTACAATATGTAATACCACTTGGCTTTTGCTGATACATCTGTTTCTGTGTACATATCTGTTAATGATGGTAACAGTGATGACAAGAAAAATAGTGATGCTATGAACACACAGAAAGAATGGCAAATCATAACAGCCAAAATGACCACTACCAGACAGTAACTGGCATATAGTATAAAGCAGAAACCAGAAGTGCACTCAGAAGGAATTCATGCATTGAAGAGGGGGAAAAAATGAAGGAAGAGAACTGGAATGATAAACAGTTATGAAATTTGAGAATAGGAAACCTGTTATAATGAGTAAACTCTGAGAAGAATGGCATATGTTAAAAATAAAATACACTACAAACTACGTTTATTAATATGAAATCCTTACGAAGCCCTGCTCTAGGTGGGTCAACTACTGCCAAAATATCTCCTTTCACAGCTCTGTTCATAACAGAAGACAGAATATCCTCTGCTCTGCCAACAAAGAAGTCACAATTTGTGATGTCATTATCTTTGGCATTGCTCTTGGCATCATCCACAGCTTGTGCTAAGAGCTCCACCCCCAAAACTTGACCACATTTCTGTAGAACAGACATAAAAATTTATGTAAGATTTGAGGCTTTCACGGCGGTGACTATGAAGAAAGCAGTCTTCTGGGATTTGGCACCGTGTATATGTGGTGTTAACCACATAAAAATGTATCTTTCCAAATTAACGTAAATGTACAACATTTATACATATAAATGATAACTCTCTTACATTTTACATCACATTTATCCAAATATCACATACCCATGAACAACTACATATCACACTTCTGGAGAAAAAAAAAAAAAGAGGTGAAATTTTCTTGATCATTATGCAGCTGTATAAGAATATAATTTTACTGAACAGTTACAGTACACAAGTTTATATATTATGTATTCAAAAGGAGTCTTGTGTGTGCCAGTTGCACGCTTATGAATACTCTGAAACTCTGATATATGTATGTAGTATTCTTCTGTCACTACAATTTGGTACACTCCATCAACTATGGAAATATCATCATTTGAAAGTTACTACATTCTATTTTAAATACATTTCTAGTATTAATACACCAATACGGAATTCATACAGGTATCCCTCATTATCCATGATTAATGCATTCCTGAAAATGGCTGTGTAAACTGAAATCACAGAAAGTGATAACATGATATATAATATGTCATGCATTCTACAATCACCAAATTGTGAACCAAATGTAATACAGTAATTGCATAGGTTGAAAATTTTCTTTAATATTGGCATTATTTATTTTAAAATCTACATAAAATTAATTAGGTGACCCATGGGATGCTGGTGAGGGGTGAAGACACAAGAGGAAGATGAAGCCAAGAAGACTCCCCTGCAGAAGTTGAAGACTCTGAGTCAGCGACTTGGCAACTCTCACCTGTTCACTTAAGGCTGTGACTTCCGTGGGGTCCTTTAAAACGTTCACACCTCCAGCAACAAGAGTATGACACTTTTGGATCTGAGGCGAGTTCCTCATCAAACAAGCTCTTCCCCTTAGTGGGCAGAGGAAAAGAAGGTATTTATACCCCATCCACTGAGCCAGCATTCTTCCATACTTTCCCATAATCAATGCCTTAATTTATGCAGTCTTAGTTGCTGTCATCCTTGTGACACTTTTACAACATTCCTTAATTTTATCAGTGTGCTTCCAAGTGGTTCCTGAAGTTGATCTGGGAATTCCTATGACACTGGTTATGTCTACTTGTGTTCATTATGTTCATATTTCATCATGTTTAATTTGTTGCCAAGGGTAAATGACTTCAACTGTCCCTTGCCAACCAAAGCACTTCCATCACTCTTCCTATGTTTGCTCATGATGATTAAGTTAAGAATTGTACAAAATTAAATGTAATTTTAGACACTGCAGAAAGGCTCTGGGCTTCTGGACATGCATACCTCACTGACAAGTGCCGTGGAGCTCACAGATCTTTGACCTATTCATGTATCATGTTATAAAAATTACTTTATGCTTCATGGCAGCAATATTAAAATGAAATCACATGAAGTGAAATCACAGATAATAAGAGATACCTGTACTTAGAGAGGGTTTTTCGCTCACAAGGTTGTCTGATTCTCAGGGTTGATGAACTTTACCAGCCTTTTGTACTTAGGAAAATGACACTCATCCTTCATTGATAGAACATTACAGTAATGGATGTTTATAGATATCTTGATGCATTCTGGAAGGTTAATACTTGAAAGTGGAAATCTCTCCAAACGTTATTTTGTAAAATGTATGCAAAAGAAAATGTTCCCGTAATACTACAGAATCAAAACAGACAGCTCTCATGCAGATGTAGGAGTGGGGAGAGACCAAACCCCTTGGTACTGTAATCTCACATGGGTCTTCTATTCCATACCCTCATAACAAATGAGCATGGGATAAGTGGCAGAGGAAAACTGAAGTTTTTGCAGACAAACCTGTCCCAGTGTCACTCTGTCCAGCACATATCCCACATGGACAACTCTGGGACTGAACCTGGACCTCTGCAGTGAAAATTCAGTGATTAACCACCTGAACTATGGCATGACCTTAGTAGCAATTACTGTCAAGACAATGTTTTCTTTCAGCACCACTTATCCTCTAGTTCACTGACAATAAAACCAAATACAAAAACACCTTACATGACATCTCCTGGCTACTGTTTGAACATCTGTGATGGAATTTCAGTGGATGGTCAATAGACTGTTTGAAAATTGATGGAAGAACAAAGAAAGAGTTAACATCCTGCTGAGCTGACCTACTTAAAAATACCTTGGCAAGACAGAGTCCAATTGACCCTGTTCCACAACAAATGTCAATGACTGTTGTATTCTCAGTAGGGCATGACAGCTCAGCTACTGAATTATAAAGAACTTCTGCAGCAGAAGTGTTAATTTGGAAGAAGGCCTCTGGCGACACCCGAAACTTCAAGCCCAACAATGTTTCATAAATGTGGGTCTTTCCCATCAGATGCTCCAAAGGGGGCAATTCCTTGCCAGCTTGCCTGCAATCATATAAATAAATAAATGTGGGTGTGTATATATATATACATACACACACACACACACACGCTCTACATCATGTGTGTATGCATGCACATACTCATACAGTCAAAACCCCATTACATACATCTTTTGGAAGCTGTGGGTTTGAACACTGGGGTCAAATGCTGGTATGGGTCTCACAGAGGAGCACTGATGACAACAGGTGCTCCTTATTAAGTTGTGGGAAATTCCCTCCTGTGAAGCAGGCTCTGCCAGCAAATCTGCAGTTCCCTACCTCCAAGAGTTTGCCCTGAGTGCATTCCATGGTGAGAGCATGGAATGTAGCAGATGGGAGTAAGGTAAAGAGTGGGTGTCTGGGTGAATTTAAATATCTGGGGAAAAAAGTGACAAATGATAACATTATGAATAAGGAGCTAAGAAAGAAAATAATTTTAGCTAATAAATGCTACCAAGGACTTAACAGAAAATTTAAGTCTCACTTTATCACAATGAGCCCTAAATTGAGATTGCATAAAACAATGCTGAGACTTGTGCTTGATGTATAAGAGTGAGTGTTACACTTTAACTAGGATTAATGAGGAGAGCTTGAGGGTCTTTGAAAGGAACATGCCTTGAGGGATAACTGGCCCAAAGGGAGAGACTGGATTCTGGCATATAAGTTATAACAATGAATTATATCAACTATTTTCTTAAACAGATATTGCTACAACAATAAAAATTGGGGGTCTATGATGGGTGGGCCATGTTATTCAAATGTTGGGAGATAATCCTGTTAAAAAATTTGCCCTCCTAAAACCAGATTGGTGTGGAAGAGTTGGAAGAACAAAACTAAGATGAATGGATGGATGGAACTGAGGATAATCTTAGGATGCTTTGAGTGACAATATGGAGACAAAGGGCACTGGACAGGAGAGAATGGAAAAATATCTGAAGTGGCCAGAGCCCAAACTAGGCTGTATAGCGGCAGCAGCAGTAGGAGAAGGAAGAGGATGATTTGAACACTAAACTGATGATCATCTCAAGTGGAGGAAATTTAATAGAGATTACTGACTTGGGACCACTGAAATTGAATGTTAAAAGAGGGAAAAAAATAAAGTGAGAAACGTTACACCAAGTTCCCACAGAATATGTAAACATTACAAAAACATGTACATCAATACCTGATTTCAGACCTAAGCACTGAACAATCCAGCCCTAATATTTATGAAACCCTTTAAAGACAGAGTTTATTTTCATAATATATAAAAGTTCAGTTCGTACCTTAGAGGAAACATATTACATCTCTGCTACAAAGCCAAACTGGTTAATGCTGTTTCAGGAAATAATAAGTTTATTCTGAGAACCATACGAGACATAAACACACTCTGTGAGCAGAATTTTTTGACTGATGTCAAAAATTCAAGAATCACACAAGTCTACCAAAAACTCTACCTGCAGAATACACTGATGACACTAGCATGGTGTTTTCTAAATGTGCGAACACAAGATGATAATTGTTCATTCAGATGCCCAAGTACGAAAAAAGAAACTGTCTTATATTTGGGGAAATACAATATCCTTTTCAGTCATGTTCTTTGCATATGTCTTACCTAGTAAATACATGTCTTAATAGGTGTCTCTGCTACACACATAAGAAATACTGCTAATGTTTCCATATACATCAGCAATATTTACCAAAGTGTGGTGTTAGTGGGGTGAGAAGACACACAGTTATGTCTGCATTTCCATAAGAACAAGGCATTTGCGTCTTACATTTCTAGTTATTTTTATAAATATGTTGGAGACTATATGATTTCTTCATTTCAAATTCTTCAGTTGTAATCAGCAATTTTGAGACATGTTATGGCTGCATAAACATCCCAACTTTTGACCATTCATTTGTGCAGACCAGCATTCCTAAACTTCTTTTTAATAAGTACTCCCTTCAAAAAACGTTTCTGAAGTTCCGTACTGTAAGTATCTAAAATTTTCAAACATACAAGATAGTGTGAGGTGTTCTGCATAAACTACACATTTTAACTTTTCTCAATTCACAATCTTTTTTACATTGATAATAATTTACAAATATGTGTATTAGTTACAACTCAGACATTTCAGTTGTGTTCACATACTAACCAGACTTCTTTCATGTACCCCTAAGGGTATGCATACCTCCAGCTGAGGAACAATGGTGTAGACCTATGACATTATGAAATGGTTCATTCTACAAATAGCTATGTGTCTTAAGAAAAAACCTACATTTAAACGTTTTAACATTTCTTTAAATTTTACATGTAAATATTTAAAAGCCTTCTCAATTTCTGAAACTCTGTTTATGAATGGACTACAACCGGAGAAATTAACAGACTATATATGAAGTCTGGAGCCCTAAAAGAGTATATACTGTGATGTGGATGGCGTAGCGGGAGGTGGGGGTTGCGTGAACTCTGTGATGTCGCGAGTGACGTCACATACCCCCACTCGGTCCATCAGTGTGCAACGCTCGGTGGGCACCCCCTTCCCCTGCGGTGACGTAACACTGGACACCGCAGTTACTACGTAGCCGTAAACAACTCCCAGCAGCACTGCCCAGCAATGCCTTTGTAAACACAGTGGGGAGTCCATGCAACGACCGTTCCTAGGCAGTCGGTAAACAAGACGTTACGCAACAGTGGTGCCTATTACGTAACTGTTCTCTGTGTTGTCTGTAATAGGGCTAAATAAGGAGCAGCGAACACTATTCAACAGAGTTACGAGTTAGCCAGGGAGTCAGCAGTCAGTCAGTCAGTGTGTGAGCAGGAGTGACACAGTGCAGATGGAACAGTCGCCGAGTTCAGTTGTAGCAGAAAGAAGAATACCGGAACGTGTGATTAGAAGTGAGAGCATGAGAAGCAGATGCTTGGCTCACAAGAGAAATAATTGGGAGTGTGTGATACAGTGACATTTGTATAGCTCCCATATTGTACTGTGAATACATGTAGACTACTGAAGATAGAGTGAATAGAATTTGTAGGGTTTGTAAATTGTGGAAACCTGTAACAGTGTTATAATTAATTGTAGCCAAGACTTGTAGATTGTTAAATAAACCAATTAATAATCTGAACGGCGTCTTCAGTGGCAAAACACGCAACAATACCACCTTCTTTCATAATTTCACAAATGAGAACAAACCAGCTTGTATATAGGTGTCTGGCCTTCAGCACTAGAATAAAGAGTGTGACCTATACACACATAAATTTGTATCTCTGCAATGGGACAGTGCTGTAAACATGTACATCACATTTTGTCACAAAAATCCAATTCACTAATCAGACAACACACAAATATACATGTTTTCTATTCAACAATAAATCTAATTTCATGCCCCACCTCCTCATGATGTGTTGAAAATAAAGTGAGGCAACATTACAGGTCTTGCCTTCTCCATTTTCAAAAAAGTCTTTTAAATCATCCTTCACTTTCCTTAATTCTTCTTGTGAAAGAGTCTGTGGATGCATTCCAACCACTAGCATTAACTGACCACTGCCTGTCGAAAGTCTCACCATCAGCTGACGCCAATAACCTTCATGTGTTTCTGGGTTAAATACACCCAAATCTGATGCTTGCACAAATTTTTCAAATGTCTGTAAGTTAAGAGGTATTGAAATATTAAATAATATTCTACAAAGTCTGGCAATATTAAGGTTTATGTGAAAGCAAAGAAGTGAACTAGTTTTACTGAGCACAATTGGTGTTCAACATAAAATTACATGGAACACTGCTTTACTTCACTGCCATGCCAACCAAGAATTTTACCAGCAGTAACCACTGAATGATACTGGTTTGCACATTACATTAGAATTTATAGGGTCCTATGTCTGATCTCTACTTGTTTCATAAGAAAGATAATTTTAAAATTCCTTATTGGATTCCATCATAGCACAACAACATAACGGTCAAGATTAAAATTACCTTAGCTATATGTTTCGCCTTTTAAAGCCATCATCAGGCAGAACACATGATAACTATATTCAATATATATATATATATATATAATAATTTTATTAAAAACATAAATATTGAGTGGAAAACAAATAATCATTTATAGCTTGAGTAGATCCAACTCTTTGACATGTAGGGCTTATCAACTGCAATACAGATAATGGATAATAATAACCATAATCACCAACTGACATTTCCATCAGACAAAACCTTCTCTAGTCTCCCACATGCCTTTTTGTATCCTTATCCACTCTTTCCATATTCCATTCCATGTGTCTTCCATCACCTGGGCTCTTCAACCCATCTTTTATCTCCAAATGGCTGTTTATTCAATATCTTAATCTTTATCTCCCTGTAGGAATCCTGTTTCCATACTAACTTTCCTTGTAGTGTTTTTTTTTTTTAGATACTGTCTAATGTCTGATTTCAGTTTCTTCCTGTTCTTGATTGAATATGGGAGGAAAGAAGGAGCGAGAAAAAATAATGCTTAGCCACAGAAATAGACGTTCAGTGTAGCAGAACACTAAAATAAGTCATGGCACAGTGAAAATGGGGCCTGCAGGTTACAGAGTAGAAAACATCTTCCTTCAATAGGGGCAAATTAAAGGAGGAGAAAGAACCCTTGGTCACAGCAATCGAAACGTTTTCTTAGTTCATGTTCAAGTTTCTGCCCTATGTGTCAAAAATGAAGTAATACATTTTAAGAAACATATTTTCAACTTCTGAAATATCCATATCTGAACTAACATCTCCAACATCTGGTAAAACTGCCTAGCTCCACAGATTCTGTTACTGACTCACACTTCCTGTTTTCCATTTGATGAAATACTAATACTCAGATGAAAAAATTTCATTACATTTATTTTTCATGGATGTCAAATATAATTTTGTCATAATGAATCAATGATTTAAAACACACCTTTAGAAAATTAACTAAAAGGACTTCCTTGTTTTGAAATGTTGTAACCATACCTTTGCTGCTTCCTTCATTCGATCTGGAATGTGCCTCAAGCAATCCACTGGCCCAACACCCGTGAACCCCTGAACATAACTTCCAAGCCGAAAACCAACTGTTCGCTCTCCAGTTTCCTCATTAATACCTAAACCAAATAAAACCTGTACTGTATACACTGGCATGCAAGATGATCCTTTACATTTAAAGAGAACCCCACATAGTTAGGGACCACCTAAGACACTAAGCATAAAACATGAACTTTAAATCCTTTAATGCTACTTGACATTTGACAATTGCTATGCATTATTTAACTTCCATCACAAATTATGTTTTGTAGATGTAATTAACACAGAAATTATATTAAAATAATGTGTGGTAGGATAGTATGACCATTGTGGTCACACCATAACTGTAAAGTCATCAAGATGAGTTCCATAACAAATGCCATTTCAATGCAGCATAAACAAATGCCAGAGCCAAGTGGCAATTCAGACAACCACAAGTGGGATCACTAACAGCGTAAATGATGTTCTGTGATTATTTATAACAAGCCTCAGTCTCTGGTGAGTACTCCTGCATGCTATGATATATTCTCTAAAGTTTATAGTTTACGGCCCTCAATCTATGAAAATGATCACTTATGTATAATTATTTGTTAAGTGTACAATACAAAGAAATACGGTCACCTCCAAATAATATCATAGTACTGCTACTTCAAAAATGGGATATCAAAAACATATTGTAGCCTGTTGACCCACTGCTAGCAACGACCATGAAATAAGCAACTATACAAACAGCAGTTGCTAAGTAATATCGTTTGCAGACCACTGCTAGACAATGGCTCAGTAGTGATCACATGATCACCCCAACAGACACGAATGCAAAAACTCCACTGCAGCAGAGGAATGGTGTTTTCTACGTGGCTTGTGCCGAGATGTTATAAGCAGGGCCAGTTAACTGTTGCAGTCAGTCAGTCAATGAGCTAGTTAGTTAGACTACTGCTGGGGCTCAGCCCTTGTGAGCTGTTGCTGTTAGAAACTGGCAGTGGAGGCAGTTTGGGAACCCAGAGGAAGGAGATCATCCACTGTTGGAAGCTGCTACCAAGCAAGAGCAGTGAAGACATGACTGTGGACACTAGTGTGTGTAACAGTGAACTGTAAATTGTAGTCACACACTATATCAAAGAATCCAATAAATCCAATCATCAAACCAAAACCCCATCTACAGTCACACTCCATAAAATTGTGACAATATTTTTCTGTCAATCTTTAAAGGAATAAACAAAATTGTATTGGAAAAAATTTTGTGGAGATAGCAGATGGTAACCCAACATGAGTTACAGGAAAACAAAAATAAAAAAATGTAAAATAAACATGCCTATAAACAGTAATTAATTAATTCATTCATTTGGCATTTGATAATCTCAAGTCAAGAATTTTACATCTACTATGGGACAATCAGCAAAAACAAGTTTGCAATAACACACTACACCATAATACTTGATGACAAGATAGGTAAATGTTAAAAATCTATCTACATGACAAAGGACTTGTTTACAAATCTGAGACACATCTAGCATAAGCAAACCCAGTCTTAAAGATAGTTATCCTGCTAGATTCTTCATGGCTTCTTCCATGTCTCCAACTAAATGCTAGTTTCATTTTTTTAAATAGGCCATGATCATTTTCCTCCATATCCTTCCCACAAGACATCATTTACAATCCTCTTCCACTGACACTATACAGCCTATGTAGATAAGAAAGTGATCACTGTATAAATTAAGAAACAAAGTAACAAGCAAACACACCTACTGTAAATTCGCATTTGTTGCGATATCCATCACATACAGGTGAAGCTCGGACATCCCACAACTCACAAGGTAATCCATTGTACTTCGACCTCTGCTTGTCAACCCACGGCTTCAGAGCAGGATTTCCTTTAACCATGTCATGACCCATTTTCACCAGTATCTGCCTGATATTTGCCTGCTTCTGCTCAATCTACAAACATAATGCTGCATTAGCGATTCCACCAACCAAAAGAAAATGCTAATGGAAATATAAAATAATTAATTTAAGTCAATTCTACTGGTATATCTCTTTCAAAACTTTATTCATCAATAAAGATTATGAGAAATAAATAAATTAACCCCAGGGTTGTGAAGTAATCATTTTAAGTCACCAGCTAAAGAGACACTAATGGGTAATATAATGACATTTATTATTAGCTATTTAAAAATACAAAAGACTCTAAAAATACCACAAAAGATACATATATTAGATATATAGCCAGTCAGTTATATTTAGGAGCTGTCGGACACAACTGATTTTACTTATAAATCACTCTCTTTCTCTCACGCATTCATTCATTCAATTACACTCTCTCTGTGAAAACATTCATCCATACCTGTCCTTCCCAACAGTGAATCATAGGAAGTAAATGGTAAAGGGAAAGGATGCTCCTTTTGAAGAGCCAATTCCAGGAAAACCGTTCATTTTGCACTGGCGCAAGCCCAAGACAATTTACTTCATAATTAATTCCTCCATATGAAAAAGCATTTGGACCATGACTACAGTGAGTACCTAATCTCAATACATTTTACAAAAACCATGGAAATGAAACCTTTACACTGCATTATGTTATGAAGTAGTTTCAATTTAGTTTGCTTTAAGGTACCTTAGTTTCATATTTGATTAGTGTATTACAATTTTACATACAGACAACTCAAGACAGCTGGGCCATTTTAGTGCTGGAATACAATCTTCTTATATGACCTGCCACATATGAATTGTGTTTATAGGGTCACAAAAATGATGAGTCCAAGAACCAACATATGTTAAATGTAGGTAACCACCACAGGCAGATTTTACTGTTTTGACAATTTGGCACAGGTATGTCTAGAAACATGGCATATATAAGAAATATTCCTTTCAGTGAACTATCTATGGAAAAATGACCTCAAAGTAGACACATAAATGGCCGCCCTGAAGTTACATAACGAGGACACCAACCCAGCTGCAGTAGTCAGCAGTTCAGTTAAGTGAAGTGACTTGAAGTACTTGGTTGGTGAGAAAGTTTCAGTTGTCAGCTGGAAGTCAGCTTGTGAAGAGAAGACTAGGAAGATGGTATGAAATGGCCGCCAGCCAGGGACCCAGTTAGTTGAGTTGTCAGTTGACAAGAGTTCTGCATGGGCAGCTGTGACAAGAGGACCTGAGTGCAGGAAGCTCAAAAATCTCCCTAGGTAGAAGCAGTTGTCAGGAAACAGGTAATGGAGGCTGTAATAAACTGAGGATAGTAGTCTGTGTGTGTCAGTGATCTGTGAAGTGTAGTTCTGAGAGGTGTACATGAGTGGTCAATAAATTCCATAACCAATCCATACCCCATCTACAGTCACACACGCACAAATATGCAAAAGTATGTTTCTGACAAACACACTGAATAATAACTGAACACTGATGAATACTGTATTTACGCATGTATAGGCCGCGTGCGTGTATAGGCCATAGCACAATTTTCAGACAGAAATTATAGAAAAAATAATTTTCTTGGAATATTATTTCAGGAGTATTACACCCTGTATTACTAATTATGAATGTATTTTTTTTTAATGAAGTGTGATTTCGGATATTTCGAATATAAGCCGCACCCCAGTTTTCCTCTTGAATTTTTAGCAAAAAATGTGCGGCCTATACATGCGGAAATACGGTAAGTTTGCGGAAAACTTATCAATTCTGCAGAGTTTGTTGATAACCTCTGCAAAGGGATGATGAAGAAATATTTATTACCTGCACTTTCACTTAAAACATTCAACTAAATATGTAAGAAATCAGTTTTGCATCTTTATGGACATAACAGCATGACACATGGGCTTCGTGAATGAGTTATGGACAAGAAAGTGAATGTAAAGAATCTATTAACCTGTTTGTCATATGGTACATCCCAAAATGGAATTGTAGATGCTTTGAGTCGCTCTTCCTGTGATTTGTCATCTATCTTCTGTTTCTTTGCATCTTCAACATCCCTTTTCTCATGCGACTCTTGTCTGCGTTTCTTCACTAATGGATCTGGTGCTGGCTTAGCAATCTATTGATAGGAAGTATATCACCATATGAAAAATATTCTATCATTCTCAGTGAAGCATAAAATAATTTTAATAAGCAAAATAATATAAAATAATACTTCACTTCTGCACTTAATGTCTTATTTTTCCATACAAAGCCATCTAATGCTCTCAGAGCATTCTGTCTGTCTTCTTCTGAACGGAAACACACGTACACCCAGTAACTACCCTTTGCTGGTGGCTTCACTTTGTTTGAACCTAATTTTAATTTATCATTCAAAAGCTTCTTTAGTTCCTGAAATATAATTAAATTTGTTACTATCTTTTCAACAAAACAAGAGCTAAGACATATTCCAAACACTGTATTACTTAATTACATCATTCTGTGCGTCTGTGTTGAGAACCTACAAAGCTCTAGTATGATGTTTCAAATGTATCTAAATATTTATTAAAAAGAGTCCCTCTTTTCTGTGTCTGTGCTTAGATTTGAATATCAGTATTAATATTCTTTCTTTCTGCTTTTATGAACTAGGCAACTTAATGGCTGCACTGGCCTCAAAATCCTCTTTCCATTATCTCCCTGGGCTTCCTCATATCCGTCCCATAGTTTTACAGTTTAAATGCTATCCACAGTGGTATTAGGAGACTGTTTAGTCAAAGCTCAAGGCAACATGAAATGTGTCCAAAATAAGTTTCAACACCTTAAGGTCTTGCCATTAAATTAGGCTGAGAGAGATAAGATGAAAATCTATTTCTGCACAAACCATCTTTCCTCCTGACTTTCCCACCAATATCCTATATGAATTCCTCTTCTCCCCCATTCGTGCTACACACCCTGCCCACCTCATCCTCCTTGACTTGGTCATTCTAATTATACTTGGAGAAGAGAAATGTAAAAAAAGTAAAGCTATTCCTGTACCAGGCTGTGAAGGCCCATAGGGCTGTGAGACGTTGAGGGTCCCATACTATCTAGACAATCAGCTCAAAGATGGCAGTAAGGTTGTCAGTCTTACACACCGGCCATGCTTTACTCCACAGGAAAATTATTTAATTAATTCCTGGTACTCATTTCTGTTATAGGCTGTACAAGTATGAATAGGACATAACTGGGTAAAATAACTATCACAAAATTTGGCTACTCTCCACCAGATTCAGTGTGAATAACATTACAGCATACTTAGGTACTTCTAATTGTAGTCGCCAATAACCCCACTATGGTAGCCTACAAAACTGCTGTAACTATTTTTGTAACTGTACGATTTATTAGACAATTAATTTTAATACATCCTGAAGAAATGTTCCACACTGCTCACATCATAATACAAGGGCTATTTGGAAAGTAACTTCCAGTGAGCTGTTAACACAACAACGATTGAGAAAAAGAATACTGATTTTATACAAAAAATATGTACGTACTTAAGCTACTTCTCAATGTAGCCACCACCAGAATTGTGGCATTTATCATATCAGAGAATAATTGTTTGTAGGCCTGTGTCAAAGAAGTCTGCTGCCTGTGAGTTAAGCCATGCTTTGACACCTTCCATAAACTCCTCATTATTGTTGAAGCGCTGTGAGCCCAACCAGTTCTTCAAGTCAGTAAACAGGTGGTAGTCGCTTGGACCAAGATCAGGGCCGTAAGAAGGGTGGTCAGGAAACTCCCAGTTCATATGCTCTAACAGTGCTCAAGTGCAAGCAGCTGTATGCGGATGCAGTGTTATGGAGAAGCATTACAAGTACATCGGATGTCAGCATTCCTATGCTCCAAAAGTGCTCAAGTGCAAGCAGCTGTATGTGGTTGCAGTGTTATGGAGAAGCATTACAAGTACACCGGATGTCAGCATTCCACACCTTTGCTCTGAATGGCCAACCCTATGGAGTTTCTTTTTAGGGTTTCACAATATACTTCTGACGTTATTATGGTCCCTTGTTGCATGAATTCCACCAACAGCACTTCTTTCCTGTTCCTAAAAACAGTTGCCAACACCTTTCTGGTAGACGTTTGTTTAAACATTTTCAGCTTGTTTGGTGAATGTGTGTATATCCATGGCTTCAACTGCTCTTTGATTTCAACATTCACAAATGAAACCCAGGATTCATCACCTGTTACTCACATGACATGACTGAGAATTTCATCACCATCTTTGTGGTATTTCTCTAAAGAAAGTCAACGCCAAAGCCATTCTCTGCATTTTGTAGCACATGTGAGCATTTTTGGATACTATATTGCGCAGAACTTGTGGCAGCCAACTGTGATAATCTCGTACAGGACAGTGCATGAAATTTGTTGAAAGTCACACAAAAATCCTGAAATTGTGAAGTGCTGTCCTTCACAAAGCTTTTGATCAACACTTTGAACAAGATCATCACTCACTATAGATGGTCAATCACTTCCCTCTTCTTTGTGAACATGTGTTTGCCCATCTTAGAACATTTTACAGCACTGTCTTACAGTTCACTTACACTTTAGTCATTATATTCTGGCTGTAAACTGCGCACAATTCACAATGGATTTCTGTTTTTAGCGTGAAGAAAGCTGGTGGGATTATCAATTGCTGGACACATCAAAACTCACTCTGTAGAGACAAGAACAAACACTAGGTGACCAGTTATGTCATGGTTTATAAGGTAATGAGTCATGCAATGCTACCTTGTATGCGTGAGCTCTCCCCTGCTCCTACATTAGTTGCTTAAATTATACTTTCCGAGCAGCCCTCACACATGTAAGTGCTAGTGCAGAAACATCAGATCAGAAGTTCCAGTATCATCCCTTTTCTAGAAGAGTGAAATACAGTTTTTGCATTTGCAATGAATTCCTTTAAAAATTCTTCCCATTAGCTTTACCAACCCTGTCTGTCCACAAGAAATAACTCAAGGATATTTAATGGAATTTAATATTGGGGAGTTTTACTAATACATGTAGCACAGTCCTATTTTGATAAAATTGGGCAACAGCAGGCATTTTACATGAGAACCTACATCTTTCTGTGTGCATCTTAAGTTAATTCACTAATTACTTATGGGTGCAAAAAAAATATTCTACAGAAAAATAAAAAATGCATATTATGCTCTTTTCATGTAAGTCTTACAGTTTTTGAGAACATTACAGTAAATAGATTTTTTATATCTGTCAATCATTTTATCTGTCCAGTTGTATAGCCTCGCCTGTTTTACACTACTAACAAGACAACATAAAAATGAACATTAACAATTTGTGGATCTACAGGCAATAACAGAGCTAACATGCCAGAATTGTTATGTTATACATACATTTGTTCTTTGTTTGCACTTCTTGTTCTATGATCACTTCAAGAGCAAGGATTCAAAGAACTTGTTTGTCATCTTATGAAGTCACAATATTCATACCACGTTTATATACAGAAGCACAAACAACTGGGACAATATTAATCTTTGTCCATTAACTGAAATGAGGGATACTGACTGATATTTAAATTCTCTAATGATATTTTTTCAACTGCATAGTTACATGTCATATGGAAGGATGAATATGAATGATGGATTGCAATGTGGAAGAAAACTGCTGTGGCCTATTTAAACCCAACAATTGCTCTGAGGCATGGAAAGCCACAAAGAATCTCAATCACCATAGCTGATCTCTCAGCTATAACTCCTCATTGGAAATAGTATTCAACAATTCACTCTCTACTCAACTGGCATTCACAGCTGACTGAGCAGAGTTCTGCTTGCTGCCTGCTTCATGCTAGTTACTTGCTTGGCTTACTCTTCGACCCTGGTGACTGAGGTGGCATATTCATCCAAAACACTGATCAACCTTCATTGGACTACATGTCATTATAACCCACATGACAGAATGCTTCATTACAACTTCTGCAAGATCCTCAAATCCTACAAAGTATCATTTCCTCATCATTGCTTCCAATATCTGCCACTAATTCTTTACTAAGCCCATATTCTCCCAATATTTATGCTTCTTCACATGACACTGAGATGTTACTGATGTAACTTCAGTGAGCTCTGGACTTTACATCATCATATACCTGTGGGACCTGAGACATAAAGAATGTGTTGTGCTGATGTCAAAGATCATAGCTTCAACCATACATTAGTCAAAGTACCCATTTTTTATTCCCAGTTTCTCTTAGAGAAAGGTGAACAGAAATAATACTGTAATAATACTTCCCTGTTATGGCAACCTCACTAATATATAGACACAATCACACATGTTGAATTCCATGAAGTGTAAATATTTTAATAAATAAATAAAATACTTGCTGCTTTACATGTTTCAACCACTAATGGCCATCTAAAGTAGACAATCAACATTATTAAGGAAATACTTCACATAGACTGTCATTACAATATTACTGAAGGGACCTCTCTCATAAAAAGTTACTGATATATATGTATTTGTACTAACAAAAGAGAAATAATATTAATCAGTTTGGACTGAAAATTATTTTTTACAGCCTCTTTGACAATGACATTTGTAATGTTGGTATCTAGTGCACTGCAAGATGCGGCAGAATGAACAGCGCAAAAAGACGCGCAAATGACACCAAGACCAAAAGAAGACGTTGCCAGCAAAACACCGCGGAATCAAAACCGAGGGAGAACCTTCAGGCTGTTCGGGGACGAACAACCTTTAGAAGGGAGCAATGTAACGTGTCTGGAATCCAGAGGAGTCACTTCTATGGAAATGCTAGAATAGACCGTTGCTTAGGAAACAACAATCGCTCTATTGTAGTTCTAACAGGAGTCTCCACGGTTATAACAGAGGGTTCATTTACATAGCAGCGGCCGAGGTTATAAAACGGCGTTGAATGCACTCGAACAGTTAGTCTGGATCCAACCGCTGAAGAAGAGAGTCTCAGATTAGTCGCCAAAGAAGTTAGTCTGTTATAAGCCGCCGAAGAAGACAGTCCAGTATTGCCGAGACATTGTGTAAGCAGTAATTCTAACACTGCAAGAGCTAATGATTGTAAAGTGTGTAAGGTGAGCGAGTGGAATAAATCCGCTATATCAAACATTGGGTAAACTTATTTGTAGCGTGACACACACAACACGCTACAAAATGTATTTGTACTAACAAAAGAAGAAATAACATTAATCAGTTTGGACTGAAAATTATTTTTTACAGCCTCTTTGACAATGATATTTGTAATATTGCCATCTAGTGCACTGCAAGAAACAAGCACTGAATTATTTTTATTATTCTTTTTGTTCCAGAAACAAAAGGATGTGACACAACAACTTTTCTATTCTGTCACAGTGCCATTTGGAAGTAAAGCTTGTGACACCAAACTGATTATTCAATACATAAAACCACAGTTGCTTTGAAATAAAAGAGCTGTGAACAGTTTTATACTTTATATGAAAGAAAAATGGGGAAACGATTTTTGTGTTATGGTTACTCGACTTTCCAAAGTACTACCTGATTACAACATACCATAGTATCGATCAAAACTGAATCGTGTGTCATGTTGGCTTAGCTGTATGTAACTGAAAAGCTGCACTGGTTCCACTAACTAAAAATGCAGAACCAGGGAAAGAGTTAATTACAAATATACATGGCATTTATGGTGATATAAATCACACAGAACTACACAATTTTGCAGAAAACATCTCTCTCTAAATAATAAAGAAACAACCCTACCCCAATCCCATAAAATTTGGGAAGGCCTCGAATTTCTATTTTAAATTTTTCTGAAGTGAAATCTGCTCTGTCTAAATAAGCATATGGATCATTTCTTGGAACTTCTTCATCAGTGTGCTCTACTGGTTGGTTATCTTTGTCATTCACATTATGTAAGTCAGGCTTGCTGGTCTCATCGCCTTCAAGTGCTAGGTCTGGTTCTTCATTATCAGTTACACTGGCACTTACAGACTCTTCCATTTTCCTGCAATAAAAACAGAAAAAATTAGGACTCCCATAACTCTTACTTTTGCAGCCATTCTGCCCTAGTGTGCACCAGGGTGAACCCATAAATTAATTAATTTGTAAACGCTGTCTTTCAATTTCCAACTTTAAAATTCAAATAACTTACTATCAATTTAAGACTTATTATTATTCTAATATTATTAGGTTTATGATTCAAACTCTCTTGCAACAGATCCAGAGACATGCCACCACCAGCTCAAAGCTCACCACTGGGCCAGCCTCAGGGCATATTACCAAAGTATTTCCCCAAAAATGAATTTTAATACAATTCTTCTATTCCTTCTGCCTCTTCTGGGTGGTTTCCTTCCAAGAGGTTTTCTCACCAAAATACTGGACTGTGTTCTTGCCTGTTCCATCCTAGCAACATTTCCAGCAATTCTAGTCTTGATTTAACTGTCACAACAATACTAAGATATTAATAAAACACACAGATTTCCATTCTTTCAGCTTACATTCAAATATGCTTTCACCTTTCATTTTATGTTGAATTATTTTCCTTCATATATTATTTGCAAATACTTTAAATTTCTATTCTTACACTCAGGACAAATGACCAGAAACAACAATTATTAAAAAAAACACACAGATAATATATATATATATACATGCAAGCATGCACATTTGCACACATTAGCATATGCACACATACAGCGTGTGTTTGTGTTCAGTGAAATTTTCAAAGTTATCTGCGCCTATATTAACAAAAAAATATTAAAGAAGAAAAATTTTGAGGATTAATAAGTACTTTAAAATCCTATACAAAATAAGGATTGATATAAGTTTACAGTCTTCTGAGATGTGACACCATGCAGTCTGATAGACCTAACAAACTATGTAATATCACTTCCAAGAACTCCATAATGTTACTAATCATAACTGTGATAACCTCAAATTTCAAAACACAATAAGACTCTGAACTGGTTAATGGGGAATATTCACTGAAGAGTTCTATCTTCTGGGATACAATGCCATGTATTCCATTGGAAGCCAACCGATGTTCCAAACAAATATGACACCTCCATCTTCAGGCCTGAAGAATAAATCAACCAAAAATCAGCGTGAAGCAGGTAGTAAGCAGAGAGCTCTGCTTGCTACATCTTCAGTGCTAACCTCAAGGTTAAACTGGGAAACAAAGAGGGCCTTGGACCTTTCCTATGTGGAAATAACTGGTAAGAAGGGAGGGTTATGTATAACAATAATTGGCTGGGGATGATGTTCTACACTACTCGCTGCTGGGTCACCAGTGGTGGTCTTCTTTTTGTATGTAACAGTTCTGAACTCATCAGAGTCTGCTTGCTCAGCAGAAACATTAGATGAAGGGACAGCTTATAGAATGTCCAAAGTAAATCCTTGATCAGCAGATTCTTTAGCAGGTGGAGCAGTATGCAAAGAACCAGAAATAATGGTCTCAGCATAATTGTTGGTACCTTCTGATGATGGGCCATTTTAGTTATGTCAGCAACTTCCATGTTTGCCTGCAGACTGTCTCTAAAGAAAATGATCCTTGAAGCTGGTGTCCTAGTTTTCAATGGCCATCATCAACTGTTTCTTGTAAATTTTTAATATGAGACTTAAGCAAGTTACTGGCACTTTTAAGATGGGTGACATCACTATGGGTATGAAATGTTTCCAACAAAAGTTTTATGATGTAAGTTGTGTACACCCCACTAAGACTGGCTCCAACTAGATACTACGAACATCATGTTTATCACCGTTGAACATCGGAAGCCCTGTCAGGTGCAACAATTTTCTTCAGAAGATAGGTTAACAAAAAATGGAGCTTCATTTACATGTAGTAATTCCTTCAGAAACATAAGAGCTTCACACAGGCAGCAGAAATGTATGTAGAGACAATGGCATCAGTGTAGTACACATATTCATTCTCACTGAATTAGAAACAACTCAGACGGAAACAAGAGGCACAAGGCCCATATAACACCTAAGGCATTTTTGTTCATCATAAATCGCTTTGGATCATAGAAAAACGCTCTAGAAATAGCAATAATTTTCTAACAGTCTGAAACTGCGTGACTTAACAAAACTTGGCCAAGGAAACTCAATTATGGCCAAGCCGTGCCAAAATAAATTTAATCATGAAGGAGCATTGTGTGTCAAGGCCCAGTCCTGAATAACATTCTTCACTTTAACAAGCAACTGCGCAATGGGGAGCAATAGTGACGTGCAGGGCAAAAACAAGTATCGTAATGCTATAAGACACCCGCATGCAAATACTTATTAAAAGTCATCATAACAATTAATAAAGTATTTCAAAGAGGCTAAACTATTTATTAAAGGAGAATGCAATCGAAAGCAACAATATTCAAATTACTGTCCAAGTTCACCATAACCTCTCTTGAGAGGGTTCACATTTCACACAATGACTGTTACATGAAGCTATGTCATCACTTTTACCTCCGCTGAAGTAATAATTTATGCAATAAACAAAATGTAGACAGTTTCTTCCCATCCACGTGTCCATAAATGAAATACACAATTCACAAATTGTTATCACCTTTCTCCGCCATCTAAACCTGAACCTGCTTCCGTTGAGCCGATACCGGTGGCTCGATCAATAATTTTCGTGTGTTGGCTACCAAATTTCCGGTTGTGTCATTTGAGGTTCTCACAGGCGTGATTATGAAGAGTTTTATCTTCTGGGATATAAAGGACAAGACAGCAATGGCGAACATAGCATCAGTTTGGGGTATCACATCCAGCTCCTTAACATCAGCATTCTCTCCACAAAACACAGATATATTGAACATATCATCCAGTATGTGACAGACACTCTGCTCCATCCCAGCAATATGAAAAAGGTTNTACAATGATCCATGGATATGATATGAAATAAATAAATAAATATGTATAAGGTAAGTTGGCTTCTGCCTCAGAGAATCATGTAAACCTTCCGTCTCTTCCCTGGAAGATCATATGAAGCGTCCCCCACAAGATTCTCTAGTTGGGCTCTCAACAATGCCATGTAGGTCTGTGAACACTGCCCATATGAGGGTACCATCCCTGCCTTCACTGGACACCCATCAACTCCAAAACTTCCCTTCCCTCTCGGCTTTCCTATGCTGTCTTTGCACTTCTTATCCCCAGCCACATGCCTACGACCCAAGCACATGACTTCTTAGTGCCCTTCCCAGTTCCCCCCCACACACAAATGACTTTTCTGCCCAATCTCCCATCTCTCATCTGGCCATCTGATCTTTTCAAGGTGCACACCTAGTTATTCTTCTCCTACATCCTATCGGTTCTTTACAGTTCTCTGAAAAAGCCAATGGGACCTGATGGATTGACTTCCAAGGTCCCTTCTTTTTCTATATAATCACACTTTAAGGTTGACTTCAATGGCTATATGGCATCACATTCTAGAAGATATGACTGCTAAAGTTCTTATTTATTGACAGGAGAAAAGGAAAGCTTAGTACCTCAAGGTAGATTAGAAGAGCACTGTATTCTGGGATGTGATTCTGTATACTTGGGTAGAACTTCACGAACCTTCTCCAGAATGTCAGTGAACTTCTGCCACATTACACAGCACCACATCCCAGAACATAGTACTCTTCATAGTCAATGCCATGAGAACCTCAGATCTTGTGTAAGTTAAGTTGGGATGATATGAATGATTAGGTTAGTTAAAATTAGGATGTGTTATCCTATAAGTTCAAATAGGGGCAAATCCTGTTCATCTAGGTTAAAAGAATTTTGGATAAGTGAAAACTGAGGTGCTAATAGAGATGACTATGACCAGCAGGATTCCTGTCATCTGGGATGTTAAACTGTGTAGCCTGCATGAAATTTGCCACCATTTCGGTGGAACATATCGCCTTCAACCTCACAGTCTCTTCTTACATGGCTTCTTTTCACCCATGAAGCCGGAGGCAGTTATGTTCCTCCGGAATTTTGGTAAACTTTTACAAGACTACATGATGTAACATCCTAGAAGAATGCATGCTTCATAGAATAAATTTGTTCAAGATGGGTTACCTCATATGTGGAGTTCATTTTGTTTACAGATAAGCTTGCTTTCAGTGTTATTGGCTACCTTTACATTACTGTGTGTTCAGAAGTAAACAGAGCATCTTTCTTTGACTGGGTCAGCAGTAGTTGCAGCAGTGGGGACACGTGCTAGAAGCTGCATCTGCTCAGGCGCCAGTGACTGTAACTGAACATGCACTAACTCTGAGTTGTGCTGGGTTAGGTTCAGTTAAATTATGTTTGGTTATGATAACAAAATCGGAATTTGATTCATGAGGTAATTAAGAGCAGATTAAACTTGGGCAATGCTTGCTACCATTCAATTCATCTGCCATTTAAAAATGTAGTTTTGTATGGGTGTAAACTTAGTCTCTGACATGGGCCGCACCATAGCTCAAGCGGTTAGTCACTGGCTTCCCACGCAGCAGCCTGGGTTCAATCCCGTATCTGGTCAAGTGGGATTTGTGGTGGACAAAGTGATGCTGGGGCAGGTTTTCTCCAAGTACTTCAGTTTCCCCTGCCAATCTTCATTCCACCAATTGCTCCACAATCACCCTCACCTATCATCTGGGGCTGGTACAATAGGCCAGAAGTGGCTGCAGTACAAGGGACTTAGTCCCACCCCACTAGCAATAAAAAAAAATAGTGTCTGGCATTAAGGAAGAATATACTTGTAGAATGAGGACATTTGAGAACAGGGTGCTGAGATGAATATTTGAACCAAGGAGGATGAATTAATAGGAGGTTGAAGAAAGACGCATAATGAGGAGATTAAAAATGTACATTTTTGGGCACATGTAACTAGAATGATTAAATCAAGGAGTATGAGATGGGTATGGCATGCAGTATGCATAAGGGAGGCTGAGAAGAAGAAAGCTTGGAGGGTTTTGCTGGGAAAGTTGGAAGGAAAGAGACCAATAAGAAGACATTGACATAGGTGGGAGGATAATATTAAAATGAATATCAGAGACATGGGAGTGGGCAGTATGCACTGAATTAATCTGCCTCAGAATAGGGCTCAATGGTGGGCTATTGTGAATATAATAATGAACATACAGGTTCATAAAATGTGTGGAAGCTCTTGATTACCTAAGCTATTTGTGCCTTTTCAAGAAGGACTCAGCCCCATGGAGTTAGTTACAGTAACAAAGACTAGTATTCATTAGGTTTGGTTAGGAGTATAGGTTGTAATAGGTTTAGTTCAGTTAGTTTAGGTCAGGTTGATTTGGTAGATTAGGACAGGTTTTGTTTTTGCAGTTTACAACATGTCAATTTCATTCACTTTATGAATGTAGGATCTGAGGTTTTTACAGTGGTGACTATGAAGAGTGCTGTCTTCTGGGATGTGGCGCTGTTTCAGTTCACACAAGATCTACATGGTGCCACATCCTAGAAGGCAGCATTCTTCTTAAACACTTTCTTGTTTGTGTAGTTCACAAAATTGAAACGATGACAGTGAGGAAAAGAAATATGAAAAGGAAAATTGTAAGTGTAGTTGTAGATTCATGTGATATGAGACAAATGTATTGTGACATTACATTACTTTGATCAAGTCTCATGTCATTTTTACACAGAAACAGATGTTAAAAATGTGACACTCATCAATTCGTTAAACCTTTCATAGATATGCACAACTTTAGATGTGCATCTTATACATGTTATATTTGTTGATTTTATTTGTGTCATGCTTATATATCACTTAACAGCCATTTTGGATGAGAAGAAACTTTTTATTATAATAAAGAACAAAAACAAATGAATATAGATCACTATTACCAACATGAACATTTTTACATTACTAGACTCTCAACATTGCTCCTTAATTTCAAAATGTTACAACATTATTAGCTGTTTTACAAAGTTAAATTGAATAACACTTAGTAATTTTGGTCTTCAGATTACAAAATTAGTACATGTAACTAAAATTTTCTCAGTCATTTTCTTCATCCTCTTCAGTATCTGTTGGTTCTTCTTCATTGTTGTCAGCTTTGGGTTCTTGCTGCATTTTGCTATCTTCCTGAACTAGAGTATTTGGCTTGTCTTCTGGATCCATCACTATTTCCATTTCCTTTTGTTTATAAGTTGTCACAGGTTTACTTGTGAATGTCACATCTCTGGTGGCATAGGTCCTTTCAGTATTTGGATCCCATATTCTGTAGCCATTTGTGTTGTATCCAACGAATATTCCTTTCTTGCTACGACTGTCCAACTTTTTCAATGGTCCGAGAATTTTAGTGTACACTTCTGAACCAAAAATCTTCAATCCAGCCAGATCTGGTCTTTTACCATACCAATTTTCTGCTGGTGTTCTATTCACTATCACTGTTGGACTTCTGTTTAGCAGGTATGCAGAAGTGAGTACAGCTTCACCCCACATTCTCTTACTTAAACGTGAATAAAAAATCAGTATATACACAATATAACCACATATACACGGTGCCAAATCCCAGAAGACTGCTTTCTTCATAGTCACCACCATGAAAACCTCAAATCTTACATGGTGTAATAAATTCCATTACAATTGAAACACTTGAAAGGGGTTTTACTTTTGGTTTTAGTTACTGTCTTAAAAGCTATGCTTTCCTCTTCTTTAGTTGCCATCTTGCACTTCACTTCTTCCAACATCAGTCTGGCCACCAGGTTGTCAAGGGTTCTGTCCATGGTCGCCGTTGAGTCCCAGGTGGTGCTGAAGTGTTTGTAGTCTTCTGGTAGAATTGTTGTCATGATCATGTTTACATAAACGTTTTGGTTCAGTTGACTAAGCTTGAAGGCAATGTTCTGCACATGACTTATATTCGTCATTACATCCTTAGTTTTGTCATACTTGAAGTTGTAGAAGTCTTGTAGCCGAAGGCTATTTTTCTGTGTTCATATAGAAGGCTGGCACAAACGAAAGCATAATAGGGGCAGTGATGATGATTAAGATGATGATGATGACAACAATGATGACGATGGTGATGGTGGTGATGATGACGATGGTGATGGTGATGATGATGATGATGATGATGATGGTATGAAAAGTAGGCTACATATCTGGACCACCATCATCTGGAAATTACAAGTTACTGTAAAATTATTTTCTATGATATCATATTTTAGAGCATGATTATGATGATGACGATGGTGATGGTGATGATGATGATGATGATGATGATGGTATGAAAAGTAGGCTACATATCTGGACCACCATCATCTGGAAATTACAAGTTACTGTAAAATTATTTTCTATGATATCATATTTTAGAGCAGAAAACTTTTACACCACAGTTTGGGACTAAACTTTGTTTCTTCATATCTGTATGCTACCATGAGCCTCACCATTGAGACAGCAAAAGCCTTCATTTCCAGGCTTGCTAACACTATGACAATAGCTAAATTAATTCCATAATGGGGTGTTTTCAAATATGAGATGTCAGTTTCATAGAATAGGTTGAAACACTTTTTGTCATCCTCAGTAAGAAGTATCCGGCATTTCTCTCAAAGTCTTCACCTCTAGAACACTGAAAACATATCCCTGTGAAATGGCAATTGCTTTAACTCTGTCACCTCAAAATGAGAACATAATTCAGATGAATGTAGTGTGATACTGTAGTGAGAGTAGCTTCATAATAGTATTTTTCTATTTGCAGTAAATTAAAATGAAGGTCATCAAGTAGAATTGGAGGTTCTCACAGTGGTGGTCTTGAAAAGCTCTATCTCTTAGGATACAATGCCACGTACACCAATGAAAGTCAATTGACATTTTGGAGGAGCATGACATTTTCATCTTCAGGATTGAAGAACAGGCCAGAAAAGAAACCATCATGAAGCAGGCAGCAAGCAGAACCTCTGCTTTAAGAATTTTATACTGAATCTGACAAAATTTCAAGTTACTAGTGGCTCATCTAATCTGCTAAGAATCATGAAGTAGCTCACTTCTACTATTTAGTCATTTTCAGATAGAATTTGTACAACTGTAAGGGTAGGTCATCTGACATCATGGGTTAGCCATTTCCTTCTTATGCTCAGTAGTAACAAGTTCATCCACTGTTACAGGTGGGTTGTTGGCCAGTATGTGCCATATTTTGTTTTGTGGTACACAAATTCCAGAATGAATATTGCTTTAGCACTGATAATACCAATCAATAACACAACCAATGTTGGGTAAAAGTCCTTAATGCGCACACTTACAAAACCTTGGCTGTAAGCATCACACATAGGCCTTTGGGAGAACCAGCGTTTGTACTCTCGATCTACCATGCCTGCCTCTTTCAACCAACGAGCTCTACAAAGAGAAAAATATATTTAAATTAGTGTAAAATTAGGTACTTCATCTTCTCTCCCCATGAAGATATTATCATATTTTTGCTTCTAAAACAATGTATGAGAAAGCAGTTTATTTGCATTACTATTATTACTGTTATTGTTACTGTTACTGATATTGCTGTTGGCATTCAAGGCATCTGTTGTTGACATGCCAGTAAGTGCAATATATTTAACAAGATCAATAGACTACTTGGTTGGCCAGAGTAGATCTAGTGGTTAATATTCAAGTTTAGCATTCAAAGGGTTTCAGGCTCACTCCTGACCACTGCTAGTAACAATTAAAATAAAGTTATTTATAATATCTGTTTAAATAATGATAACCAATCACCTGAAGATAGGAACCTAGCAAGGTCCCGAAATATTATACAGTAGGCTCTCGATATAAAACAGGTGCTGGGAAAGAGCTTCATTACACATATTATCAGCTACCTTGGCTAGAAGTGAAATTATTTCATATCTGGTTTTGGAATTGCTGTTGTTATATATACATTATTTATGCAGTGACTAAAACAAATAACTGAAATTTTAAAGTACATTTCAAACTTTTGCTGAACAGGAAAGTGGGTTCTCATTAAATTCTGCTCATTTAATACACTAGTCTCGAAGTTAGAGAAACCAAAAACATACAACCCATTCATAGCAGACTACAGACTTTACCATTTGTACCTTTAAACTACAGCAATAAAAGTTACAATACAAACCTGTAATGTAAATATAACATTGTTGCATATATGAGTGGCTCTTGACTGTGTTTTGGATTGGATACTGGATTTATTGACCACTTACACCCACTACTCAGAACTACATGAAATTACAGCGCCATTGCTAATCTCCACAGTTCACAAATCACCACAGCACCTGCTAAGCTTTCCAGCCTGCTGCATCTTCACCAGCCATTCCCTGATAACAACTGCTAACAGTGGAGATTATTCAGCTTCCATGCTCAAGCCCTCTTTGAATGGCAGCTTCCATCCAACTGTCTATTTCCTTCACAGCTTCCTGTACAGAACTGAGTTGGTCGCCCCATTTGTCTTCCTTATAACTCCTCGGCACAGCCCATGCAGACAACACTGTTTCTGTATGCGTATCTGTTGCCGCAGGAACGCGTTTACCAACCCATACCCTAGCAGTTGCCGTCTATTCTAGCTTAGTAAGAATCTGCTGCCTAGTAATGGATGTCATTCTGTCATTTGCTTTGTGGCCATTGCCTAGAAACAAATGTTATTTCAGAGCCATTCACTAACAATGGCTGTTTCTCTGGCTCCACAGGGTTTGCTTAGAGCAAAATACCACGACATTTAATAGGAATTTATAAGACATATAACATCATATAACATTGAGGAACATGATCAAAGCCACACTACATCTGAATATGCAGTGCAACAAGAGCCTACTGCATATATATAGATACACACATACATCATGATCAACTGCAAGCATTAGTCCTTTTGACCTGTTCTGATCTTTGAGATAGGTAAACTGAGCATTCCATCACTTTGAAGGCTGATTCCTCTCTCTTCTTCCTTTAGAAGGATAGTCAAATAACTTCTGAAGGGTTTGCTTAGTTGACATTCATAAAATATGTTCAATAATTCTGTTGGCATTCTTTTAATTTCTGTCCAATACTAAATATATTTAGTTCTTTTATATCTATACTTCACATAAACATGTTAAAAATATGTAAGATTTGAGGCTTTCATGGCAGTGACTATGAAGAAAGCAGTCTTCTGGGATTTGGCACCATGTATATGTGGTGTTAACACCACATATACACATATTTTATCCGAGAAATTAAATCAACCATTGTTCTGAATCCTTAGGGTATTATACCATGCTCTTGCTACTAGGTACTTACTTTTGTGTGATATGTTCTCTGTATGAACTACCCTTCTTCACTGGGAATGCAAGAACGTTTGAAGGATTGATAGATATTTCCTTCAATCTGCACTTTTCATATTCTTCATATGTGTCACTCATAATTTTATATGCTTCTGAACCAGCATAAAAAGCATGCAATCCTTTACGTAAATTCTTCACACCAATTTCTTCTGTAGTAAATGCTTCATGATAAGGTCTAGTGTATAATTTCTGATAGAACATTCTCTTTACCTCAGGATTCGGTGAATCCTAAGAAAGTAAGAACATTATTATATTAACATGTAATTTACATAGTAGCCCATTTAAAATAACCTATTGCTTTTTTATGTAAAGCACACTATCACATGAGGTGCTTGTAATGGGGTGAGGATGGCCATGATGTCACCCCATTTTTGTCAGAGATAACCTATAATCAATAAAATACTTTTTAAATACTGTCACATATTTGGGGGTGCATGACTTATAGACTGGGTATGGATTGGTTATTGGATTTATTGACTACTTTTATACAGCAGTCAGAACTACACTTTACAGTTCACTGACACATACCCGAAGACTAGTGTCCTCAGTCTATTACAGTCTCCACTAGCCATTTCCTGGCAATGGATTCTACAAAGGGAGATTCTTCAGCTTCCCGCGCTCGGGTCCTCCTGGGGGTGGGGGTGGGGGGGGGGGGGAAGAGCAGATGAAAATTTCGCTTGACTTGCTTAGGCAGGAGCCATCCTCCCTCTTCTTATTACTGGGAAAGGGCTCAATAGGACTGACCTCCCTGATGATATGATCCCTATACTTTGATCTAGTTAAGAGGATGCTAATATCGTGGAGCTAGATGCAGTGTCCAAAGTTGATGCTGTGCTGAGCTACAGGTGACTTGGCCGGACATCCTTGCCACATACACTGATGGTGCTACTTCATCACAGTGCTGATTGAACAATCTGCCTGTCTATTTTCCTATGTATTCTATGTAAAAAACAGACCATATTTTTAATTTGAAGAACTATAATTAAAATATTTTAAATTGTGTATGAAAAGCATACATACATATTGGTAGATATATTCTAAATATAAAGAAAGGAATATGTAAATAAATAACCACTAGATGGACCAAGAATAAGGAGAGAGGTTAAATGACGAACTCTACTTTGATGTAAGAGAAGAAACCAGAGAGATTTCTCATGTGGCAACCAACATTATTATAAATGTTAATGAATGAGTTGATGAATGAAAGATGATGGTGATGTTAAACTCTCAGAGTTTCCTGAAGTTCACAATACATACATTTACAAACTTTGTGTTATAAGCAATATCCTTCATGCTTAGTTTGAATGGGCTGTCTATTAGCTCAGTTAGAGTGTTGATTGCATCACTTGGTGTCTGTAGTAGTGACACAATGATTGCTGAATATGATGTAGTGAGGAACAGAGACAGTAGAAGAAGAAACAGGAACACAATCCTCGATGAAAGATTCTTTGGTGAACGTGGTGACCCTGCAAAGTTAATAAATTAATCATTCAAAAATCATATAATATATATACGTGTGTGTGTGTATGAGACAATGTCTCTAATTATGATTTCCTCACCTTTGTGGCTTCTCTCTTATCAAGTAAATAAATTAATTTCTAAGAAGAAACCACTCAAGATACAGATTTATTTATTCCATTAAAGGGTTGACAGAAATATGATTATCGGAGGGAACCATAGCTTAGTGAATAGTTCTATCACACTCATACAGAAGATATAAGTCAATACGGCATGGGCACACCATTTGTAGGCAACTGGCTTTCCTGGGTATATGCTTAAATTGCTTTAAATCACCAATACTGTGATAATACCAATAAATCACCTGTAGTACTGAGCACATTTGGTTGAATGGCAGAGATAATCCCTTGCATTCAGCAGGTCCTTGTTTTGAACCTCAGGTTTCTGCATATTCTAGCTGCTTTTTAAAGGCACTTCTGCAACTCTGAAGGGCACATGTTAAATTAGGTCAATCTGCCCATCCACACACATGAAATAACTTGAGAATCACTAAATTGATTTTCATTAAATTCAGCACTGGGGAATTTTAATAAAACTTGTCAATACATTGCAAGTTTGTGTAAAGTTGGACGGAAATAATGGATATTTTACATAGAGATCTACAAGCACTCAATGATGATCTTCTAATCCCTGCAAAGATTACAATTAAATCAATGATGGTTTTCTGAACAAATACAAAAACTATCAGGTATCCTATTTAAAAAAAAATAACGAAATAAATCTTCCTCTCACTTGAACTTACAGGTTTCTGTGAATATAAATATATATTAGTTATAATATGATAATGCTGATAAAGACCCTCATTCTTATTCATAATAGATCATTCAACATGGAAACAAATAATTACATTTTTTCAAGAAAATATTACAATTAAAAAAAAATGCAAGAGCTTTGTGTTTATCTGTAGATCCCATGATTTCAGCACTGATATATTAGTTGAGTAAAAGCAAAAAGATATATTTAAGATACTTCTGCACCCTTGGTGTTTTTGCTTGAAATTATCCATTCCATCTTATTTGTAAGACAGCACTAGAAATTTGCATTCACGAACTATAAATATAGATCCAGTAAGAGGGTGAATGTGCTGCAGCTATTTCTGGTCTCTTGCAGTACCTCAAAGCATATATAAGGATAATATCTCTATTAGGCCACCATATCTACTTTGTATAGTCTTCCTAACTCTTCATGTACTATGATCCTAACATTGTTCACCTTGCTGTAAATAAATTTTGTAGCTGATGTACCTCTGGTGTGGGTGTATATCAGCCAGCTGTGGGTTACCATTATTCATGCAACTGTCAGAATTTAGATATCTATGAAATATTTCATCCTTGCACATGTAAATAGAGTGACAGAGGCTCAGATCTGGTATTCGTTGAAAACAGTGGAAGCGCTCTACCACTCAGCCAAATTTGCAAAGTTGTAGTGTGGAAATCTGCTGCTATAACAGTATTAAAAAAAATACTTACATATGCAGAAAAATTCCACAGCACTCTCTAAATAATTCCCATACTTTATTAACTTATCATGTCCTCTGTATGTGTGTATAGAAACAATGCTTTTTCACACAGAGTAATGTGCTGGGACTTAGTTGTGACAAAGCAGGGAGATGGGGGTACTTTTAGTGCTTAATGAGAAATAAGGCTTTAAAATATAAGAAACAGGATACTTTTTCAGGAACAACAACAATACAGAAAAGAATTGTCCTTATAATCATGTGAGCACCATGGAATAAAGATTAAGAAACAATGTGAGTGTAGTTCCATGCATTCTTAACCTTGGTACTACATAGAATAAGTAGTCAATTTTACATTCCACCTGCTTCAACCGTGACACCCATTGTTTGGTTTTATAATTCCCCACAAACATGATACAAACAAAAGTATGATCAATGTAGGTAAAATTGCTATCTATCGGACAGGTTAGGAGACTGGAGAGAACGCAGAATTGGACTGGATATGATTGAAAGGAGAAAAATCCATGCTTATGCTAGAAATTGAATCTTAGTTATACAGCACATAACCAGTCACAATACCGTCTGAGCTATTAAACAATAAAAATCAATTTAATAACAGATAAACATAATTTTGACAAGTTTTTTTATGTATTATAAGTTTTCTTTTGTGATTTATTAAGGGACTGGTAATGTACCATTCCATATGTTTTCACTGGCTCGGCAGATTGTTTCTTCTGAATCAGCCTGTGACTGCTTTCTAATACACCCTGTCCTTTTCCCCCTTCTCTTCCCACCAGCTGTTCTCCCATCTCCTCTCTCTCTCTCTCTCTCACACACACACACACACACACACACACACACAAACACACAACTCAAGTGGTGAATGAGAGGGCGAGGGGAGCATAGTGATTTATCTGCCACCCCATTTTTCTTCCCTTCTCCAGGGGACATCCTGGTTCCAATACTGCCAGAATAGAACAGGGTTAGAACAGTGAATGGATTAAATAAATTAAAAAGCAGGAAGAAATGTTCTTTGTGCTAATTGTAGTGAAATTACTTTATAGTGTCTTACCTTCTGCACACATAATTGCTAAAGAATTCAGTGCAGTATCACAAAATAACAGAGGAGGATCTGTTTGTAATGGATTCATCCAGCGTTGCAGCCTCTCTGTTGCATACAAAGCTACTGACAGTATTACTACTGTTGCTGTATATGTGACCCATACTGCTCTACTGAATGGTAAAGTGTAGATAACAGATACTTCAGAAAGTGATGGTTTCAAGAATTTAAATGAAAGCCTGGAACAGTAATGAACAAACACATCTGTTGCTTGTCTCCAAAAAGAACATTCTTCATTACAACCCTTACAATTTATTGTCAGTTGAGTTGTGTACAGAAGAGTAGTGCATGCTTTTAGTTCTTTTAAATGGCTCGTGATATGAATGATATTGCATGTATGTGACTAAATATTTATGCTTTTAATGTCTATAAAATCTGTTTCAAAGGATTTTTGGCCTTCTGAATTTTTAAGAATATAAATATGGAAGTTATATAAAATATATTTCATCTAAAGAACTTATACATTGAATCCCCAGAACGGTAGTTTATACAGTCCTTACAGGATGTTTCTGATAACTACATCTTACTAGATTTGTCTTCTATTGTTTTCAAGGACATGTAATTTTAATACCCAAAATTCACTGTATGTTTACAGGATAAATGAAGGATGGTGAAAAAGACATGCATTTGAACAATCACTCACCCAAATACAAATGTCTCTCCAGCATAGTCAATTCTATCCATTCGACTCTCCTTATAAAGAATGGCCAATGCTCCAATTTCAGTGTCATTACATTCTAATAGACCAACAACTCCATCATAACAGCTGGTTCCCTTCCTTGGAAATCCCCAAGTATCTGTTAAAGTTAGATTCATCCTGTAGGAACACAAAATTTAGTGCAATGGGTGTCATTATCATTTATATTAGAAATCCTCAAAGAATTAATTCTAGTAATAACATACTATTATTGTATTCATGAGCTGCCATGTTTCAAAACTGGGCCAACCAGCAGCTCTTCTGATTGAGATTTTCGTACTGTTTATTACTTTCTCCAGACACATTCCAAGGTAATATCTTGAAATATACTGTACCAACATCCTTCTGGCAAGTGGTAGCATAGTTGGTTGAGAAACTATGCTACAAGACGGAAGGTCACAGGTTTGATTCCTGATGAGGTCACTGGATTTGTCAGTTGACCTAATCCTTCCAGCAGCACTATGGCCCTGGGGTTGACTGAGCCTCTAACAGAAATGAGTACCAGAAATCTTCTTGGGGCTAAAGGACGGCCAGTGCACAAGGCTAACAACCTCATCACCATCTGTGAGCCGATTGTCAAGTAAATGTGGAGACCTTGACATCTGACAACCTTATGGGTCTCCACAGCCTGTTATATGGGCAGCTTTACATTTTATACCCACATCTTTCCAAAACCTTATCTCCCTTTCTTTCATGACCATCTTCCTAGCTCACGCAGTGTGTTGAAACATTGACATTAACCAGTAACCCATCTAAGATATGAACCACAAAAAAGAAAAGAAAATAAAAGAATAGAACATTGCTGCTACTTCAGTCTATTCATTCAATAAAATTCTTATGCTGATTATCTTTATACTTGGATGGGCATTGGAGCCATTCTGAATGTTGTGAAGAAGAAAAAGTCACAACCAGAATTTGCAGCTTGGTTGTGTATTTAACACAAAGCTAAATGCAATATACACGTAATGATGCTCCCAGTAATTCTCTGTCAAAATGCAGGACATGTTCTGAAAATATTTCAACATTTGCAAATGTGCTTAATGCAAAGGAAGGTAGCAAATTACAAAGGGAACTGCTCCCACATTCAGTATTTGAACACTGTATTTGAAAGATATTTAAATGAACTGATCTGCTAGAATCAGTGAAATTAAATCACGAGAAAAATTTTAATTATTGTATCACTCAGTGGTAGCATAGCAAACATGTAACATTCAAATATGAACTTGCCTAAGTAGTTGATCTGCATATAATTATATAAAACAGTGTTTCCAAAAGTCATAGCCAGTGAACCACAGGTGGACTGTGAAAAAATGTTAAGAATTTCAGCTGTCTTTCAAGGTCAAAATATTCCATTTATGCACAAAGAAGACATGTTATTTGCATGAAATTTCTTAATATTATTTTCATATTGAAAGTTATGAGGTTCAAACTATTGACTAAATTTCACTCTCATTTCATTTTACTGCTCTTGGGATATTTTGATTTGAACACTACATTGAGGAAGATCTTAAATAAAGTTAATTTAAGACTATAGTATTGGCTTTTAATGACTAAAATTGAACATTAAATATAGGAGAACCTTAAGTCAAAGAACATTTAGTGGAAGCTCCTCTGCATTATTCTGGCATCTGTTCAGTGTCAGAAGATATTTGATATACACAATATTCTGAGAATTGTCTCTATCCCCATCTTTCGAGTGATTCGTTTTATTACACAGTGTTACGTATGGGATATTCATGTTTTTAATTATGATTCTGTCTATTAATTTATCTTTGTTTAAAAGGTAATTTGAAAGAAATCTAATACAATTACTCACGTGAAATTCAGCATGTTAGATATTAGTAGCATAATCATGTAGTTACTTTTTCCCAGGGAATTAATATGTTTGTAGCGCATATCAAAGAAGTTCTCCCACACATCATCAATTACCTGTGAAAATAATTATATTTTTATCAGAATCTCATTTGCAAATATGAGTTCTCTCGTACTGGTCCCCACTTGGAAATATGTTCAGGTACAATTTAGAAATTCATAAATATATACCAGTGATTTGTGGCCTGAAACAATTGGGTGTGTACATGTGGCCAAACTAACCGATGCTGAAATAGTTCAACTCCTTTTCTCCCTACTTTATAAGCACTCTCAAAAATATATTTAACATTTTAACTTTTCTCACACAATTAAATACATTCATTCATTTACATTCCATTGATTCTTACATGGCTGGAAGACCAGTGGATATAGAAATAGTCAAAGACAACAAGACAAGTCCCATCAGTTATATAAACAAAAATTAATTATACTTAATCTATAACAATTACACACATTTGTTTTATCATGATGACTTTACACAAGTTAACTTAAATTCCGTTTTTGTACTATATTTTAACATTAATTACACCAGTGTGACCCTGAAGTGAGAGCATATTTCTGGATTGTATATCATTGTATGAAAAACTAGACTGTGTTGGTTGTCTTTATTATTTGCACCCTCTTGTATATTACTATATAGTATTTTCATGTGTCCGGGGTTCTGGATTAGATGTTTAGATTTATTGACGTCTTATTTTACGACCACTCTCGTTCACAATCAAGTAGAGAGCTGCCGCTAATCCACTCACTCCACAAATCACTAGGACACGCTATACATTTCCTGGAAACGCATGTATCACAGGAACTGTTACTTTAAATCACTACGAAACCTTCTTGCTATTTCCTGTTGAATCACCTTGGAATGCCGACCCTCCAGAACTCCACCCAATTCTCTAAACCAATTTTCTAATCCAATCCAAGTCAAATTCAAAGTCACATTGCGACTGACCATCAGTCAGTCAGTAAGTCTTTGTGTCGAGCCCCATCTGATGTTTCATGACCAAATATTTATGACTGTTTGACAGTTACAGTCTTATTTTTTTGGGGGCACCCTCTTTGACGAAAGAACGCCCCCCCCCCCAAGAACATGACAACAATATATGGGAAGCTGTGCTTACTCTATGATCTGTGAGAAGAAAATGCACGGAACCATAGGACGTTTATTGCCAAGCAACGAAGCTGTAGACATGCAGTCTTAACAAAAGAAGACAGTGTTTTCCATGGGTTCCTTGCCAAAGGAATTATCTTGAAGACAATCGGCACTACAAGTCAGTCAGTCAGTTCTCGGTAGGAGATAGCCACAGGAAGTTCATAGTAGAAGAAGAATTAGAAGTCGTCCTGTGAAGACTCAACATGTGATTTGAAGGCTTTCTTTGTGTGTTGTAATTACAGTAATCTTGGAAGTGTTATAATTAATTTTAGTTACAACCTGTAAGTGGTCAATAAATCCAATTACCAATCCGAATCCCGTCTTTAGTCACTGATACATGTGACAATACTCGTATGTTGGTTGTGTTGTCTTGCATTGTTGATGTTTGTGTGACGGTGCCTGGCAAGGGATCTTTGAACAATGGAATATGGCTGGTGTAAGAAGCTGATGCCTCAGCCTCACCTAATGAAAAGATATAGAGTATGTGGAGCTTTACCTCCGTTTTATGTCTGTATAGCATGGAGATTTGTCACAGGGATGATTTTACTTTTTATCTCATAACATTTAAAGAAACTTTAAAAAGAATATACTACTATAGAATATTTTTTTATATTACTACATCTGATATGTTATTATGAGCGATAGTCAGTAAATAGGTCACAAATGGATATAAAAAGTAAAATATATTATATTTGAACCTGAAAAAAATATTTCTCCATATATCCTCCACCAACATTGATACATTTGTCACACTGCTTTACCAGTGCGTCAAAACCCGCAGCATAGAAGTCTTTTGGTTGTGATCTCATCCTCTTCCGCACTCTTGTTTCAACCTCTCCATCATCAGCGAAAACTGTGCCACTAGGATGGATCTTAACTGACCAAACAGAGAGAAGTCACAATGGGCCAAGTCTGGGCTGTAAGGCGAATGTTCGAGAAGTTCCCAATTTAGTTCTTGAATTCTCTCCTGGGTTGCTCGGGCTGTATGGGCTCTGGCATTGTCATAATGATGCAATACTGCTCTTATCAGTCAGTCTGGATGTTTTCTGCGAATTGCATCCCAAAGCTTCAACAGTACTTCACAGTACAATGCAGAGTTCACATTTTCATGACGCTTCTGAAAATGGGCTGGCTAACAGTACTCCCTGAGAATCCCAAAACACGGTAAGCATAACCCTCCCAGCTGATGGCATATCCATAACATTAAACTTTTGGTTGAAGGTGAATTGGAACGTTTCCATTGCATTGAAGCAATTTTTTATTAGGATTTGTAGTGGTGCACCCATGAATCATCCCCAGTAACAATCCTGTTAAGCATATCTTCTCCTTCATCTGCATATCGTAAGAGATGTTGCAAGGACAGATCCTTTTGGTTCATTTTTTCTCGATCCATCAGTTTTATGGGCACCCACCCTGCTCACACTTCCCGAAACTTAAAACGATCATACATTATGTTGAGTGCTAACTCATGGGAACACCCTAGCATAATTGCCACACTGCCAATCATTATTCTCCTGTCAGCCAGAACCGACTTTTCCACCCTCTGAACTGTTGCTTCTATTAACATCTCAACGGGGCAACCTGGGTGGGCATAATGTGCGACTTTCAAACGGCTTTCAGAAAAATTCTTGACCCAGTTGTGAAAATCTTTACACGGCAAATACTTCCCACTGTAAACAGCAAACATTTCTTTATAAATATCCTTTGCATTGAGTCCTTTTGCCTACAAAAAAGTACAACAGAACCCTGCTCTTCTGTAGTATATTCCTGAAGCACAGTCGCTATTTTTACTACTGAAACCAGCTCCTGAACCTGCGCATGTTCATCTGTTCCCTAGACTTTCATGAAGATGGACTATGCTGCTATCTAGTGACACAAATAGGAAACTTATTATATCCATTACAGCTGTTTTACTTTCATTCATGGCCTTTTTACTGACTCTCCCTCGTAGGATATGAAAATCTGTTACTACTTGCCACTGTAGTAGTTTTTATAGAAATCCCTTGATAATCATCTCTCTTAAGTTTTGGAGGCAGAAGCTCTCCAGAAGACCATTGAAGAAGGGGTGTGAATGTAAGACGTAGCTCAGGCCCGATCTTATATATTTGCTGCAGTAGGACTTGGCTCACATCAGATCCTTGATGTGCTAAGGACACTTGACTATCCACTGGAAAATATAGTGACTCCAGAACTGTGATCAATGAATTCTCTCCAGGTATTAGACCATTTCCGGAGTAGTTGGTCATTGCCAGTAGGAGCCAGTGGTGTTGAATTTTCAGATACTTGTTTCTGCCAGCCTGTGATTAGACATTTTAATGAGGAACTTTTAATATATTTCTCATCCTAAACACAACTTTTGAAATATTCATTAAAGCTAGTTCACATTTCTTTCATGGATTTGGATATTAAATTGTGACCGCTAAATTAAACTTCTAATCACCCCCCAACCAAAGAAGAATGAAAGGCAAAGGAAAAGGGATAGAATCCACTTCCCTATAATAAAGTTAATTTTGGTGGGGGCACGCGGTAACATAGTTGGTTGAGGCAAGCAGGAATCTTCCGTGGGGGTAAAGGACGGCCGGCGCGTAAGGCTGACAACCTTCTATAAGCCGACTGTCTAGAAAATGTGGGAACCTGAACATCTCACAACTCTCTGGGCCTCCACGGCCTGTTACAGGGACACCTTTACTTTTACTTTTTTACTTACATAAAAATATATTTTCTTTTTTCTAAGTTTAGAAGCTGAGTGAAATCTGAAAATATCTAGCTCCAACTAATTTACCCTACTACATGTATTGGTTGCTGCTAGTCCGTCGGCTCCATATTTTAGGTACCCTCTAACTATACTGAAAATTCAACACTATGCATTAATATTTCTGGAGTGAGCTATTGGAAACAAACATCTTTGTACAATTATTTTCGTATTAATATACCATCGTCACAAAATGTTATTTCTTCTAAATATTTTTATATTTTACTAAATTTCCTCCATTTTAATCTAATGAGATTTGAGATGTAGGTGTGAAATAATTGCAAAAGAGAGCACATCAGCTACGAACCCAATCCAGTTTCATGGGTTTGGCATTCCTCTGGTCATTAAATTGCAATCTCTGTAATGTGCACAGAGTTCAGGTCTGGTTACATTTCTAAATACCTTAAAGAGGTGAAATTACTTCATTTCCATTGTCACTAAAAACTCGTTTTATATTTGTATTCTTTACCTTTTTAGTTACTCTTCAGTTTATCAGGTACCGAGGGCCGACCTCGTTGGCTCAACGGGGCTGATAGCACGCACCAGTACCAGTAGGGTATGGGGATAGTAGAAATTAAAGGGGGACGCACAATGGACCAATAACTGGTCTAAGTGCATGGGGAAATCCACCCCCTCTAACAATAATAATAATAATAATAATAATAATACTCTTCAATTTCGGTTCCAAAAAAGAAAAATCAATTTTTACCTGGTTTGTTTGGGGCAAATTCGTGTATGCGCACATTTCTATATAAATAGTTTACATGTTATGGCTTCATGTCTTTATGTGTGGCAATATTAACATGTGTGAGGAGCCGGGATAGCTCAGTCGGTATAGGGACGGTCTAAGGCTGGGTGGCCGGGATTCGATTCCCTGCAGGAATAAGATATTTTCTCCTCTACAGTGCCCGGGCAGGCTCTGAGATACACCCAGCATCCTATTGAATGGGTACAATGGGTAAAGTGGTCGGGTCATGAAGCTGACCACTCACCTCCGTCTAGTTCTGAGGTCAAGAATGATGGAGCTGTACCTCCATGGTGGTGGAGGTGCTTGATTAATCGATTACAGGAACAATTTTACTTTTAGCTTTAACTGACCTTACTACAAACATCTGTGTCTAAATTGCTTTACATTCGTAACAGTATATTGATTATTCAGTTCCACAGCCTGCGTATCTTGTTGACATACACTATATGTGACTCTTTTATAAGCTTGTGAAGTTTTCAATTCTACCATCCGGAGTATGATGAGTCGAACATTGGAGATCTGTTATAGCATATAGACTTAGCAGCTTACTTCTGCTAAGAAGAGAATGCTGCCCTCACACTGAAGGTCTAGAATCACAGCAGTGTGACTGTACTCAGTCCTGAGAAGTGACGAAATGTCTGCATCTTCTGCGGGATCTTGCAATTTCGCTACAACATTCTTCTGGGACAAGTACTTGGCCATTAATACCTGGTCTTAACATAAAACAACACACAGGGGAAGTAAGGAAACAAATTTCTAATGTGAAGTGAGTTACACTAAAATAGTCACAAAAATATCACAGAAGCTGAAATCGTGAACTAATATAGAACAGAGGATCTGTCGGTCTTTGCTGATAGCTAGAGAATACAGCTCAATTTCTGTCTCTTCGATCACGGTCGCCGTTATGAACAACTAGAAAACTGGATATTGCCGCATGATGGGGAAAATGGGAGTACAGAATCTTCATTTTTTTTGTGGCATGTTGGGAGAAATTTTGTAAATTGTACAGGCGCTGCATTTCGGAGTGATTTCATAGTAAACTGGCAGTTCTGAATGATTTGATTTTAGATATCCTTTATCCTTGTTACTCGTATAATATATTTCTCACAAAACCGTTTTCGAAATAAGCGATTTTCAAACAATTCCATTCGTATGAAAGAGGAACAAATGTTTTTTCAATGTCTGAAAATTGAAGCCAAGAGCAAAGTCATAAATTCCCGACCCTATTCGAGTTGCAGTATCTATGCTACGGGTAGGGCAGAACGTTAGTGCATAAATTTTCAAGAAAAAAAAATGCCGTGTCAAATTTCAGTCTAAAGAGAATAAATAGATTCTCCTAATTTTATAAGGAACTTAAATCATTAGAATAAATCAGTCTTCTGGGATGTGCCTTCGTGTAGATATTGTGTTAACCGACGATTCGGAGGAACGTATCGCCTCCATCTTCAGAGTAGAAGAAAAAAGAAGAAAATGCCACTCGACATTAGTCTGTTAGAAACTGCTCACGTTGGTTCCTCTCTCGCAAATTTTCTTCTTTTTTCTCCTACCCTGAAAGTGGAGGCGATACGTTCCTCCGAAACGTCGGTTAACACAATATATATACACGGCGCAACATCCCAAAAGACGGCATTCTTCATAGTCACCGCCGTGAAAACCTCAAATCTTACACTCAAATCATTAGTTAGAATGCATAATGAAAATGAGTTTGTATTAGGAATGTTCATAAGTAAAATAAAAATAAATAATAGAAGAAAACCAAATGTGGAAAAAACTATATAACATATTTTATCTGGTTACATCGGAACTACATGCAGGATCTATTGCTAACAAAAATACCTCGTCTCCGCATTTGGAATCTACTGCCATCTGGATCTGTTACCCTGCATTATTGTGGACCAAATTTCGCCGTAGTGTGATCAGCTCTCATGCTTCGCATCTGGGGGACCCAAGCTTCAAATCTCGGCTTTCCTTCCTACTTCTCAGTCCATCCAGAAAAATGCTTAGAGAATAACTTAAAATTTGGCAACAACGTTTCCTTCCACATTCCTTTCGATCCATTATTCACTGAACATTCTACCATTCTACTTTAAAAGAAACCCATATAGCTGTAAAATCAGAACCCATTTTTCAGATTAAGGAAAGTGTGAATGGTTTAAATGCCTGTGGAGAGATAACGGAGAAGCTTATACCAACCAAATCCGTGGCCTATAGTCCGCAAGCGAACTATACCGACCGAGCGACCGCCTCTTGTCGGCGAAGTTAGTGCCAACTTTAGCTGATAGAATATGCCACGTGGTCAGCGCAACGAATCCCCACGGCCGTTAATTTCGGTTTTCCAGACCGGAGCTGCTGTTTCCTTGAAAGATCTCCTCAATTATCCTCTGGTAGCACCAGGAATCGAACCTGGGACCTCTGGATCTGTAGCCAGGAACTCTGGCCACTAGACCACAGAGACGGTCAGTGGAGCAGCTTATACTGCGTTAAAATTTCAGCCGACTTAAGATCCGATATTGTTATTGGCACTTAAAATCTTTATGTGGGAAGCTAGAATACGTCTCAATGTAAGTGCACAAATATCTTTTATTTTTCTTCCTAATTAAATTAACAAGTACTGCTTATTCTTAAGGGACAGCCTATGTGGTCTAGTGGTCAGAGTTCCTGGCTACCACATTTTCTGAGAAGTAGTGAGTCTGCAACGGGGTTCACTCAGCCTCGTGATGATAATTGAGGAGCTAATTCAAGGAGATAGCGGCTCCGGTCTAGAAAACCTAAATTAACGGCCATGGGGATTTGTTGCGCTGACCACGCGACATCCACTTTCCGCTAAAAGTTGGCACTAACTTCGCCAACAAACTGCGGTCACTCGGTCGGAATAGTTCGCTTGCGCACTAGAACCACGGAGTCTGTATACTCTTATGTCATTAGATATACTTTGCCTTTTTAACGAAGGTTTCAGTAGATCCGATTATACGAATTAGAACAACAGGAGAACTGGTGGATAATGAATTGGAAAACCTACCTTGGGCTAATTCTGGTTACTATCCCGGCATTCACAAGGAAGAACCGAAGGAGGCCAACTAAACATCAGCCAGGATACATAGATTCCGGACCGAGACATGAACCGTGGACCTCTCAAATACGAAGAAGGAGTGCTACCACCAGATCTCGACATTAGATCAATAATGACGACGAGAAAAACAACAATAAGAACAACAACATTGTAATGTTTTGAAAAGCTTTGGACATTATTTATGAACTTTGGACATATAGATTATGATTCTGAGTGTTTAGACCTTGACTATTATAATAAGAAATCGAAGTTTCAGTTTACCGAATTACGGCTGCTGTTTAAAAGCTTTATGTATAATTATAAAGGCTGCAACTGGTCGAATGAAGAAATAGACCACAGGTTTAAAGTTGTAGGCGATAGCCTGACTTTAAAACCTCCCCTGTCAAAGTATAAAACAAAATTTTTAAACTTTATGTTACCTGAAAAATTCCAACAGTTGACAACAACAGAAGAAGAAACGTCATTCTGCAGTATGAATGACGTAATGAGAGACAATATGATCTGCGGAACAGGCATCTCAGATACAGTTATTACAGTTCCAGGGCCAGAAAGAGGTATTATCACTATAGTACCACTGTTCCTACATGTAATAATAAAACATAGTTCTACATCTCAGATGTAGGACAAAGTGACAAACTCTTTTATAGGGTAACTCTTCTTCAATCTCTTCTGAAAAATTCATAACTAACACTGACAGTCATCAGAGTCTGCTTCACTCTAAGAAAGAGGTATTGAAGAGAATTCTTTGATCTTTCTTCAGAGGAATTTTAATGACTGAAATCCAGACTGAAGTTTTAAAAAACTGAGTTCAAGGAAGATTCATATCAACTTGTCCATGAACTTGACAATTTTAAATTATTAAAAGGAACAGAAAATCAATAAGATAATTTTAAGTAAAATCAGAATATCAGATTAGCTAATATTAAATTAATATATCTTTTGTAAGATCAGACACTTGTTACTCTACAGACGAAAATAAATAAATTAATAAAAAGCACTTATATTGAATACAACATGTTTTAATTCATATATCATATACGTATGCAATTAAATAATAAAAAATTATATAAATCGGCATGTTCTAGAATGTATGTGGTTTAATATTTCTGAAAAGTTAAGACATCCCAAATAAGTATACCCTATAATTTAGAGTAACCGATATATAGTTTTTCATGCCAGTGTATAACACACGAAATGCAAAGCTGCGTTATCTTAGCACAATATATATTCTAATTTGGATTAAGATTTTCCTTTTTTGCTTCACTTCATAGCATAGCTAGATGTGTAATTCAGGGGTTGGCAACCTTCGAACCCTGGGACGATATTTACTAATCAAGACTACACAAGGAGACACTGAGAAATATTAATTTAAATTTAAATTGATGATATTATAATATAAAAATATATAATGCTACAAGGTGCTATGCATTCCGGATAATCTAACCTAACGACAATACAACGGGTCGGAGGAAAAAGTCATAAATGAAGGGATACAAAATCAGAGCTTCCAGAACAGTCTTCATAGTCCTCCACACTTGGGCTCAACTGTAATGTTTAGAGCAGTTGTGTAAAATTTATTGAAAACTAGTATATTATTCGTAAAGTTTATTTGAAACATATAAAAGAAAAACTGTGAAATCGGAACAAACATCAGCACTGACATGTCACTGGTAACAACTATGGCATGTCTTCCACTAACTTGTTATAATCTAAGATGCAATTCGAGCTGGCTAATCGTAAAAAATTGTTAAAATATGAATCTATTACGATCTGTACTTATATATAAATTAAGGTCTCTCCATATCTCAGGCGATTAGTTGCTGGTTTCCCACCGCGGCGGTACGGGTTCAACCCCAGGTTGAGTCATATTGGATTTGTGGTAGGCAAAGTGGCGTTGGGGTAGGTTATCTCCGAGTGCTTCGGTTTCCCTTGCCAATTCTCATTCCACCGACTGCTCCACACTCATCATCCGGGGCTGGTTCAATAGACCAACTAGTGACCGACGCCCCAAGTGGACTCTGTCTTAAACCACCTCAAGAAACTAAGAAAGAAGCTGCATCTAAAGTGTTCCATATCTAAGGAAAGGTATTCAGGCGCACACCCACGTCGATACACTGCAGGAACTGGGCTTCCAGCCTTTGGAGCATATTATATGCGAACATTTCAGCATGTGCCTGCTGCCAAAAATGTTTTCATGCCTGAATAAAATATGCATTTATTACATTACGTGCTTTCACGAACTGCATATAAATTGGGGTCTTTGTCTGTAACTACTTTAATCCTTCACCAATATTATCAAACTTGAAGAAAGCAGTCTTCTGGGAAAACTGAAATGTGAATGTAAAATGATTTACATGATGATGACCATAAACGTGCTGAAACATTTTGTGAAGTAGAAACACTATAAATTTATTCAATTTATACCGGAATTGTGTTGACGGAACATACGCATGTGTTACATACTTTACAGAAAAAATTTCATAAGCTGAAATATTTTTAACTACATCAGATAATCACCTCAGCGCAAATGTTTGTTGTGTATGGCGGATCCAAGGCCACCATTTGACACCACCAATTAAGTTGTATATTATCTCAGCCACAAGAATGCCAAGGGAACTTATTATGCCGAATAAGAGGATGTAAAGCACTGGGTAGAAATCTTGAATCCGAACACTTACAAAACCTTGACTGCTGGAATCGCATTTCGGTTTCTGATAAAACCAACGTTTATATTCTCGGCCCACTAAGCCAATTTCTCTCAGCCATCGCGCCCTGAAAATAAGAAAGAAAGTATAAAATTATGCATGGGAGAAAGTTCCAGGTTTTTTTTTATCAAGGAAACACGTATCCATTAAGCCGCAGACTTAAATTTCTCTGGATGGCTTGGGGCATCATTATTTAAAAGAATCTACCTATCTAAAGAGACGGGGTAGCTCAGTCCGTATTGCGACTAGGCTATGGACTTGACGATCGAGGAGCTGGGTGTAACAGAATTTTTTCCACTCCATAACATCCAGAGTGGATCTGGGGCCCATCCAACAACCGAGGGCTATTCACAGGGGGTAAAGCGGCAAGGGCGTTAAGCTGACCACTCATCTCTATCTAATACTGATGTTAAGAACAGTGGACATATACCTCCACTCCCCCACACGTCTTCATGACGCGTTGCTTAATTAATTAAGCATGGGAATAACTTTATTTTTACCTGTTTATGTATCTGACAAACATCTCCATCCAGTCAATCTAACAACGTTCTAATTAAATGGCGTAACAGAGAATTTTGATGGGGTGGGAAAGAACAGGGGAGGAAAGAAGAATCTGGACTAGATTCAGGAACCAACAAAACATAGATTTGGAAGAAAACCATGAAGCACCTTAGTCATTAAAATCTCCACCGGCAGAAATCTGAACCAGGTGCGACCTGATTACAGGTCCAAATTTCTACTTTAGAGATTAACTGCACTTCTGCCCTGTTTCTTGGCATCTTCCGCCTATAGGGCAGTTTCAATTGCACTTGTTGACAAATGCGCACCCGGTCGCCATGGTCGAGTTGAAGGTGACCGACGGACTGTACATTTCTAGTCTCAGCCTAATGACTGGGGCGAATGCAGTTTGTTGAGCGACCACAACTCTTTCTTCCGGATCCCTACCTCTGGACACATGAATCTGGGTGTGTATTCCTGTTACAGTAACTAAGTAAGTAAAGGTATCCCTGTAACAGGCCATGGAGGTCCATACGGTTGTGAGATGTTGAGGTCCCCACATTATCTAGACAATCGGCTCATAGATGGTGGCAAGGCTGTCAGCCTTACACGCCGGCCGCCCTTTATACCCCAAGAATATTCCTGGTACACATTTCTGTTATAGGCGGAGTCGATCCCAGGGCCATAGTGAGGCTGGAAGGATTTGGTCAATTGAAAAAATCCAATGACCTCATCGGGACTTGAACCCGAGACCTTCCGGCTTGTAGCATAATGCCTCAACCAACTACGCTACCGCGTGCCCCCATCCAGCACAGACAAGAAAGTTTTACTAGACGCGGCTCTATCGCACACGAAACCGACTGTTATTAAGTACCAACGTTTTGATACCACTAACACAAACACCAGACGCTAGAGCAGCTCAGTTCAGTTCACCTTATTATAATCTATTATAATCAGCAGTCTGGCGTAGCGGGAAAATAATATGCATTTGAAAGGGGTCAGGTTTCATCCTCAACTTTCTTATCGACTTTCCTGACTGGCGTTTTTCTAGATTTTCTGCGGTATGCCTACGCGAATATTGGTCATATCATCCATTTTAGTAAGTCATGTAAGTAGCAGTCTCCGTAGTCTAGAGGTAACGTTCCCACCTCATGACTCGTAGTACGCGGGTTCAAATACCCGGCGGAGGTCGTCGAATTTTTAAGGGCGGAAAAATTCAGGGAACAAGTCCTCCGGGAGGGACTTTAAGCTGTGTGTCCCGTGTCGTAACTTTACGGCACGTAAAAGAACCTCATATCCCCAAAGGGGATCACTGAGCCAAATTCCAGGACGTTTCCCGCCCAACAATAATCTCTAAGACCTCCGATAGATGGGGGAAACATTATAGACACCGCTAAGCAAGTGGCCGAACTCGCTTGCTCGGCGGGACTGATGGTACGCACCATTTATCGGTAGGGTAAAGAGACTGGTAGAATATCATAGAGGGAAGCACAATAGATCAAACTGGTCGCGGTGCATGGGGAAAACCCACCCTCTCTAAATAACTAACTAACTAAGTCATGTAACTGCGCTATCGGTTTCGAGACTACGTAGCTGGGGTTGTAGCATGTCTAAAGAACTGAAAACGATATCGATGGAGATGATCGTGGCCCAGTTAGTACATTCCGCCTCCACTGTGGCATAACAAAGCGCTCAGAGCAGCCTCATCCGTGCATTTTCTTCATCATATATATCATGTGGACTGAAATATGACTGAATACAGACCTCTACAGTCAGAAGTCGGCAACTAATTTATTTCAGAACCTTCAAATTCCTTCTCACAATTCATGTCGAATTTTCCGTCTCATTTCATGCTATATAACAAATAAAAATAAACACCATATTTAAATAATCAATTAAATTATGAAAATTAATCTGCCCTACTCTGCTATACAGTGTTCTTACCTCTGTGTGATATGTTCCTTGTAGGGAGACCCCTTACGAACAGGAAATGCGAGTTTATCTGTAGAATACATTTTAATTTCTTTGAGCCTGCATTTATCATATTCTTCAAAAGTATCACTCATAACTTTATAAGCACCTGCATCTCCGTGGAAGGCATTGAGCCCTTCGCGTATCATTTCAACTCCTACTTCCTGTGTGGTGAATGCTTCTTTGTATGGCCGCACGTAGAGTTTCTCTTTGAAAAGTCGTTGTATAATAGGATCCGTTGTGTCCTACAAGATAAATACATGCCTATAACATGTAGTAATTTCAGAAGTAAGAGATTGCAGAGGCATAACATAATATAACAAAAGAAAACGAGCAGCGAAATTTGACTTGGACCCACCAGTAGCAAATTTCATCTGAATCCATTCGGTATTTCAAAAATTAAAGACACAGGCGGAGAGGGCACATATAATATTCAATTATGCATTTATTATATAAAATTCATACAAATAAAACAGGAAAATTAAAATCAAAACTTCACTTTCCGGTATACATATTTTCGAGACATGTTCCTTACATTTTACATATATGATCAGATTTGATATTACCAATAGAAATGTACTGTTTTAAAGCTAATCTCAGTACAGATAACACAAGCTAGTTAATCAGAAACTGTGGGTAGTTACTTAAATATCTACCTAATTGAAATATCCGCATGTTTCAAATAACAACTGCAGAGGTTAAGGAGGTATATAATTTATGGCATATATCATATATGTTAAGTGAGGTTTTGGAAAATCGATATTTTCATATCGAATTTCACTTAAACTGAGATTTGCGTTGGACCGACATGAATTAAAATTAAATTTGCATCAAAACCTTCAGCGTAGTTCCATAATTTTTAATTTTATAGAAATTAACTGAGTAGTTTCGAAGATGAAATATGCAGACGGTCGGATAGGCATGATTTATCCATTATCCAAACATTTTATGAACGTTGGGAAAGGAAATCATAACAAATGAATTAAAAATGGAATCTGCTACTTCAAAAATCTGAACACGAGACCGTTAGTACCCACGTTTACGTAGTTTGTGTTGTAGCTGATGTCTTCCATACTCAAATGAAACCCACTGTCCATCAACTCGGTTAGTGTGTTGATTGCATCGCTGGAAGTCTGGAGGAGGGATACAATGATAGCTGAATATGACGTGAGTACGAAGACAGAGAACATTAAAAGACACAAGAAAATTATCCTCGAAGAAACATTCTCTGGTGGATTTGATAAACCTAAAATGAAGAAACAAGTGCTATAAATAATGACATACTATGAAGCATTTTTCCTGCTAAAAAGGAAATTTAAACATTTAAAATATTTGGTGAAGACTATAAAAATATTCTCCCTGTTGAAGAGGCCGAAAAGGAAAAATTTGTAAGGATGATTTAGAATTATAAAATTAAATATTAGTCACAAACTTGCAAAATATAAATTCCAGCAAGAAACTTCGAAGTGCTACTTAGGGTTGTAACAATTTCTTTAATTTAAGAACTGCTTTTAGTTGAAAATCTGTTTATGGCAATCTCACGCGTACACATTCTCGTTGAACAAAAAGGAAAAATATTCCAAAAGATCCCTTTCCTTCATCGAGTTTTTGTAAAAATATTATCTGCTGGAACAACGAAACTGCTAATTTGTTATAGCACTATTGTGAATATACATACTACATATACACGTGTGTTACATGTAACCATGATGTCAATATATACAAACCGCCTCGCCGAGTAATGATCCCTTGCTCTATTAACAGCAACGAAAGAGCGATTGTCCTAGATCGTCCTTGCATTACTAAACCGGTCATGATTGCCTAGAAAACTGGCAACAAATAGATAAACAAAGAAAACATATCGGGACTCTTCGTGTACACGAAAGAAAGCAGTCTTCTGGGATGTGGTGCCGTGTAGATATTGTGTTAACCGACGTTTCATGGGAGTGTATCGCCTCCATCTTCAGGGTAGAAGAAAAGAAGAAATTCGCGAGCGAACCAGCGTGAGTCTAACAGTACGTTAGACTGTCTGTTAGCGTGCTAACCGTCTGTTTGCACCTTCTCGCGCTGGTTCGCTCGCGGATTTTTTCTTTTCTTCTACCCTGAAGATGGAGGTAATACGTTCCTCCGAAATGTCGGTTAACACAATACCTACACGGCGCCACATCGCAGAAAACTGCTTTCTTCATAGTCACCGCATAAAAACCTCAAATCTTCAAGTACACCTTTAAGTTCTGCACATGGACACGCCACATTTTCCCTTTCTCATGCGGGTTTGAGGAACGGTGCAAAATGACACACTCAGCAGTGAGAAGTTTCTTTTTTATTGCTAGTGGGTTGGGACTAAGTCCCTTGTACTGCGGCCACTTCTGGCCTATTGTACCAGCCCCAGATGATAGGTGAGGGTGATTGTGGAGCAATTGGTGGAATGAAGATTAGCAGGGGAAACCGAAGTACTTGGAGAAAACCTGCCCCATCCCCACTTTGTCCACCACAAATCCCACCTGACTAGACCCCGGGATCGAAACCGGGCAGCCGCGGTGGGAAGCCAGCGACTAACCACTTGAGCTATGGCGAGGCCCAGTGAGAAGTTAACTACAGATGGTGACTTCACTTGCATCCTAAGTCTGAATGTATATGGGCGAGCAGGATTCACGTGATTATTCGAGTCCTGGGGTCCGAGAAGTGAAATAAGAACACTAAGAGCTTTAGAGAAAATTGGCAAGGGACATAGGGGAACAGAGAAGGGAGGAATTATAAGTAGAAGGGAGAAAACTATACAACTTGAAACTTCTGATTAAGGAGTTCTTACTAGCACCGATAGATCAGCGAGGTTCATTATTTAGGAAAAGTATCTCGGAGTGGGGAAAAAGTGAAGAGGAAAGAGTCTTTGATATAGAAACTTGAAGAGAACCCATTCCCTTGGGACAGCGAATGAGGAATAGAGGAATAACTGTGAAGTTGGTCTGAAGGACATAACTGATTAATTTCTTACTTGGATTGAATTTCGTATAACTGGTGTTTAATATCCGTGTCTTTCACCCGAGCGTTGGTTATGAAAAATGGCAGGATGTTTTGTGGAATTTGTATTCTGTCACATAATACACAAAATCCCATCTCAGTTGGTACCCATCACAACATTACCTTGTTCACAAACAATGCCAATAGAGTTCAATATGGCTTCGCTCCACTCTGTTGGTCCCCCAATCTTCGACTTATTTGCTTTTCTATATAAACGATTTGACAATTCCTGGCCAAATGTTAAGATTACTATTGTAAGAGTAAATGTAATCCAAACCGTTTCGCTAAATGGCAAAAAGTATATAATGGACACTTCAGACAAAGAAGGTTTCAGGAACATAAATGCACCCCTGAAAAGAACCAGAGAAACATTGTGAGAAACGGGAAGTACTTGAATTACATATATTAGTAGAAGTGAAATTACAGATGGTACTCTTACCTGAATGTGACTATTTCACCAGCATAGTCTACCATATCCATGCGAGTTTCTTTAATCAGAAGTCCAGCAGCTCCGATCTCTACTTCACCACGTTGCATAAGACCCACAATGCCTGTATAATTATTTGTTTCATTCACTGGGAAACCCCAAGTGTCTGCCATAGTCAAATTCATTCTGTAGAGAAAATACAAGACAACCTAAATAACTTCACCCCTGCGGTATACGAATATCTAAAGTCTGACGTCAGAAGACATATCCGGTGCATTAACAAAATGGCGCTCGCGTATAAGTATCACGCCATGAAGAGGTATGGAGGATGAAGATTCGTGCATTGCTCACTTCGGCATTAGATGGAAGTATTGGCAAGCTACAGAGGCCCTAGAGCTGGTCTAGACTTGATGCTGAAAAGAAACATCCTCTTGTACCGGCAATTAGGGTGTGTCGTTTTTCACACTAAAATTATATTCACACTTGCGTACTGGTACAGAAAAGTCTTCATTTATAATAATTCTATCTAACTAACTCCATGGAGCTGAGCCCTTCTTGTGAAGGCACCAGTTGTGCAGCTACACAAGAATTATATATAATAATTGTTATTATTATATGTAGTGTATATAATATTAATGCCGGTCACGGTAGCCGAGCGGTCTAAAGCATGCACTGTCTTCGCTCGCTAGGAAGCCTGGGTCGTGGGTTCGAATCCCACTCAGGGAATGGATGTTTGTGTGCGTTTTTCTGTGTTTGTCTACAGGTAGAGGCCTTGCGACGAGCTGATCACTCGCCCAAGGAGTCCTACCGTATGTGTAAGATCTAGTAAACCGAAGTGAAACGGAGAGTTTCATGGAGGTAGGCCTAGGCCCAAATTGGAGCTGTAGCGCCACAGGGAAAAAATATAATATTAATAATAATTATAATTTTAACACATTTGCTTCGAGAGATAAGTGCATGTCTATAATGTACTGCTGAAAAAGAACTGTTAACTAAGGAAGCGCTATCTTCATTATCACTNTAGAAAAAATAATTTTCTTGGAATATTATTACTATTAGTATACTACTAGTATTACTAATTATGAATATAATTTTTTTTAAATGAAGTGTGATTTCGAATATTTCGAATATAAGCCGCACCCCAGTTTTCCTCTTGAATTTTTGGCAAAAAATGTGCGGCCTATTCATGCGTAAATACGGTATATTCCCCAGTGACAGTGTGGCCCAGTTATACCCCCGGGCAGCAAATGTTCTTTCCGTCTCCTTCCACGGGAGTCGCAGGGCTACGGTAGAATTGTTCTAATCTGTCTCCACACGGGGAAATGAGATCTTATCCCTGGAGAGAACTTTCGTACAAGCAGAATAGTTTAGTATTCTTCGGGAATGGTGACTAAAATTGTTCCGTCATTGAAAAACCTGTGCAATCAACCGTGGGAAAACTGAACTCTTTATTAGAAATGTATTTCATTTGCATGCATTTGTAACGAAAGGAAACATGAATGGAGGAGCTCTTTTCCGAGTAGTAACAGAATCAAGACTTGAAAATCTCGCTAATCTGACACGTCTTGTGGTAACTAGGCCACCCACTCGCGCTCTTGACGTTAGACAGAAATCTGCATGCTTTCCATTCTCCTACCAGGACACTTCAATGTTAGAATAATTAGGATAATAGGCCTCTTCGTGTAATCGCTCAGATTTTATTGTAATAAGTCATGAATTCAATTTGTAGTAATCTGTATCCCCGTAAATACGTGTAACATTGTAGCGATAATCCTTTACATCGTATAGGAATGATTCCTGTCGCGCTAACTCAAAAGTTTAGGGTCGAAACTGGACTATCTCCTATTGCGCTGCTCCATCTGACTGGCGAAGAATGGCATGTGAACCTTTGTGCTCCAGACAAAGCGAGACAAGACTTGTGTTTGCCTGTGACTTATGCCGTTGGGTCGTCGGCATTTAGATCTAATAACATAGTTCAAAGCAGCCAGGCTGGACTGCTCTGGTCTGCTTCGTTGTGATTGCACCCCTATAGATGAACACGTGCTTAGTTTGCCTATACTGTGCAACACCAAAGACGTAAGAGTAACTCTTTATTCCTAGCGTCGCCGACATGAACGCTCCAGCAGCAATTATTCTACAGGCTATGTGAAGAGCTTGCCGGTCACGGTAGCCAAGTGGTCTAAGGCATGCACTGTCTTCGCTCGCTCGGAAGCCGAGATCGTGAGTTCGAATCCTACTCAGGGCATGGATGTTTAGTGTTTGTATATGTGCGTTTTTCTGTGTCTGTGTACAGGTAGAGCCCTTGCGACGAGCTGATCACCCCCCCAAGGAGTCCTACCGAATGTTTAAGATCTAGTAAACCGAAGTGAAACGGAGAGTTTCCTGGAGGTAGGCCTAGGCCCAAATTGGGGCTGTAGCGCCACAGGAAAAAAATGTGAAGAGCTTACCTGAAGTTAAGCATCTCCGAAACATAGGCCATCAGCGCGTAATTATTCTTACTTAATGTATTCAAATGCTTGTGACTCATGTCGAAAAAGTGTTCCCACGAATCTCCTACAACCTACAAATAAAAGTTTAATTGATCATTACAAATCTCATATCGATGCTAAACATTCTTTTTCCATTCGCTGATTTAATATCAGTCTTATTTAGGTCGTCATGCAGTAAAATTGCTTGGAAATACTGGATGTTACAGTAAAAGAAGTTCACTTTTTCCTTGTTATTTCATTTTATTTCCGAAAGTGACAAGAAGAAGAAACTGATGGAGAAGCTGTATATCAATAAATTATTTTCATACCATAATTTGAACTAAGTTCCTTATTCCTCAAATATCGCTTAGAATATAAAAAGATCTCTCAATCCTAAGTAACATGACAAATGATTCAGGAAGTTTGGAGGAACGATAAGTTAGGAACTACTAATCATTCAAAATTGGCTACAAATATTGCTTAACATTTGATCTCCGCTAACATGAATTCTTGCAAAAACAAACCACATGAGTGTTTCATAGTGGCTAGAGGCAAATCAGCGGTTGACTGCTTCGTTAACTGTTCAGAGGAAAAAGAGGGGTAATCCTATTTCCTCTATCCCTTCCGGGTTGCTGAACGCTTCGAAGAGAACTAGGACTCCATTGTTTGGAGTTAGAAATAGTTCTCTTTCTACTGTACAGATCTTCTTCAGGAAGAGAAATGTGAAAAAAGGAATATGAATTGAACTACGATTTTAACTTAGTGCATGTTATGGAAGCAAGCTCCAATTGTTTTTTTAAGACTTCAACATCATCTGAGAGAATCGTGAAACGAAAAGTGTTTTTGTTCTGACTCTCTTCTGTACAATAGTGCAATTAGTATAATGAAACTTGTAGACAATTCTAATTCTGACAGTCTGTGTACTAGGCAAAAGTGCTACGTTGTGCCAAAGGCTTTCTCGATGTCGAAGAATACCGCAGCAGTCGACATATTGTTGATCCGTCAGTCTCATACATTGAAAGGCATCACACTCGAAATCCTAACTAACTTGCATTTAGCAAGTTCATTTCTTCAACTTGTCTTTTGATTGCTCTCAGAATTACTTTCTTTGACGCTTACCCGTAGCGGATAAGAGGATAACCTGACGTAAATTTTGAAGGATTTTTGGGGTCCTTGCCCGGTTTCGACAGAGTTATGGTTGTTGCTTCCTTCCAAGGTTGTGGAAAATGACAAGGCAGAAGACAGTGGTTAAATATGCGACTGACTCATGACTGTTAAATTGATGCTGATTCTCGCCAGCACAGTCGTGCAACTCCGTTCGTCACAATGTATGTCTGAAAGCCCTAAGTCAGAGTCAGAGTCAGAGTCAGTGTCAGTGTCAGAAATACAGTTAATTTATAACTGGCGGTTTATTATTATTATTATTTGTTTGTTTGTTTACTTGTCTGCATTAAAGTGTTTTTCTCCAGTGCTTACCTGTAATTTGCCTTTGACTTTATGTTATGATTGTCCATAATGTAATTACTTGTATCTACACTGTGCTCTGTCTGTAATTGGCCTTGCGGCTGTTGACTCGGAACATAAACAATAAAGACCTGAATTGAATTATAATAAGCTGCCTTGATTTGCATTTTTTTTTTCGTTTTGTTTTCTTACTCGTGCTCACTTTGAAATTGGCCTCTGGACTGTTAAGTTTAAACGTAAATACACGCAAATAAGAATATTATTATTATTATTATGCTTACAATAACAGCTGTGCTTATCTGTACTCCGCCATAGTTATCTCTCCGAGGTCCCTGGGACCACTCTTGTCCTGGACTCCAGTCACGTGTTAACGTGACGGTCAGTGGTTCCCCCTTCACAAGTCTGTAAATGTCTTGCAGCAGGAATCGGTTAGGTCCTGGACGGGTCACAGTGACGCTACTATCTAGTGGCAGATCCAGTTGCTCCAGGGCACTGATCAGCGGGTCCTCACTTGAAACAAGTCCATCTCCAACTCCATTTGATGACAACAGTAACCAGTGGTGCAAACTGCTGAAGTGTTTCTTGTTGGATGCCTAGGAACAGTAAAACAGTTTCGAACAGGAGTGAAAATGTGTGGACTCTAATTCTGAGTAAGACTGAATGTATTTTACGGGTTCACTTCCTTGTTACTTTGAGTCCCTCATTAGTCTCAACGTTAACACATATTTCTGACATTATTGTTGTTTAATAATGCAGATCATATTGGATGGAACAGATAAGAAATGTATGCAAAATTTTGGTGGGTGAACCCAAAGTAAAAATATAACTTGGTTCACATAAGTGTTGATTGAAGGATAATATTAAAATAGATCTTAAGGGAATTTGAAGCGAAGACGTGAGCCGGATTAGTCTGGCTCACTGTGAAGTTCAGTGGTGATGTTTTGTGAAGACGATTATGACCCCAACATGTTCGCATACCATGTCATAAAGCCAATGACCGTAGAAACATTGCATTGCAAGGTAAAATAAATAATTATACTTTGTCTTTGTTAAATGCAGATCATATCATTTCACCAAAGCACTTCACATGGAAGCCATCTATCAGACTGTGAAGGACACTATGCAAATATTTGTATGTACCTGTATGTATGCATATACATATATACGTGCATATGTACAGTACTTATATCTCTCCAGTCATGCATTATATCATTTCCAGTAAGTATAAATATTAGAGATCTAAATAAGAAATAAAATTTGTGACGATGGTACATTTGTACGAATATTATATTTCTGGACATTGTCCATCGTCCTGTTTTTGTGTAAAACACTTTCCTGTTTATTTTTAAAAAACACGGCGTTTCGGAGACTGTGGTCTGTCTCCGTCTTCAGGTAAATCCTTAATCACCGGACCTATCTCCGGAGACAGGGACTAGCTCTATCGATTGGGCCCAACTTAGTGAGTTTTGCCTGAAGACGGAGAAAACCCCCAGTCTCCGAAACGTTGTGTTTTTAAAAATAAGCAGGACGGGTTTCAATTAAAGACAAGACGATGGATAATGTCCATAAACACAATACATAACTGTATTGGAGGTCTACTCCAATATTTGAAATCATTTGGAGCATGAAAGACATGCTTCTTGGAAAAAATGTTTTTTTAATACTACGAACATCATGATTTATGATAAAGTGACCTTACCTCTGTCATAAACTGAATACTGTCTTCACATGTAGTATCCACAATTGCGGCCAACTTGTAATATTCAGTTTTCATTAAGAAGTCCATAGCAATATTCTGAGATGGTAAGACTAGTGATACTGGGATTCCTTGGTTAGAAAAAAACTTGGAGATCAAAATCGCATCTAAAAACAAGACATCGAAGGCCTATAGACACATAACCACAAATATCATCCTACATAATATATCAATAAACTTAAATAATTTTTGCTTCGTGTAGTGCGAACGCCTAATAATTCTAATCCCATGTTAAGCTTGTTGTTAGGCGAACGAAATTTGAAAATTAATTTGATAAATATAATGGAAGAAATATCTCGGTAATCTCTTCGTTAGGTAGAGGCTGTTCCTACTAGGATGCTGTGTCAATCACTCTCATATAAATCTGAACACCACTTATAGTACCCTCACACAATAAAACAAGAAGATGTGGGAGAAACCCATGACACCTATGTTTTCTTATTCTTACATTTTTGCGCAGAGACTAGCAGCTTTAGTATAATTACAAATATGTCTGCTATAATCATTGTTAGAATAAACCCCGCTTCCCGAAATCTTCCAGTGATAATTTTAAGAATTGTGCATAGGTTTGCACATACTGTAAATGAGAAATATTTCTTGAACAATCTTACGATAACCCCCCATTCTAAATGTAACTTTCCCAGCTATAGTGCTTTGTTAATTGCAGTAATTAATGTAAAATTGGATATCGATTTTACACAGACACAATACTTTTATTCTATAAAAATAATACCTTAACAGAAATTGCATATACTCGTATGTAAATAGGACAAATATCAGGAACCTACATTGCGTGTGTCTAGTGGAATAATCAGTTTATATGGGACAGTTATATGGATGGGTATTTTAGTATTTTTTTTCCATAAAATTTTAGGATTTTAGGTTCTCATAGTACTGGTTGCTAAAATTTCTATCTTACGATATAACGCCATGTAGTGAAGTTACAATAAACAGATTTTTCTGTGGAACATATCTCCTATTTTTTTCTATGGCTGAAGAGTATGCCAAGTATGAAACCAACATGAAGCAGGCCAGCAAGAGGAGCTTTAGTTTCCTGTGGTTGAGTGAGACTGAGTCCACTTGGTACGTCAGCTAATAACTGGTCTATTGTACCAACCCCGGACGGTAGATTATGAGTGTGGAGCAGTCGGTTGAATGAAAATTGGCAGGGGAAACCGAAGTATTCGGAGGAAACCTGCCCAAGTTCCATTTCGTCCACTACAAATCCCACATGTGCTGACATGGGCTCGAACCAGGCCCCCCGCGGTAGGAAGCCGGCGACTAACCGCCTGAGCTACTGCATGGACAAACAGACCATTTCTTAACCGCAACCTTATGCCTACAGCCCAAGCATTCGACTCCTCCCTCACTCTCCTCGGCTCCCTGTCTACCGCCCATAATTCTCTTCGTGTTCCCACATCTGCATAAGAGCACATTTTAAGGGGTAAAAATTAGTTACTCTTGTCTTGTCACCTTTTGTTTCGCCCTGGATCTCAGAGACAGCCAGTGGGAACTGATGTGTTGGCGTCCAAGTTCCCGGATGTATCTTCCTAGGCCACTTGTTCTGCTTGCGGCCAGCTTCAATCTCGTTTCTTGCATGACTTACTACTCTATCCTGAAGATGAAGGTGACATGTTCCTCCGGACTACAAGAGGTTGCTTCCCAAGGAAGCAAATTATATTCAAATTCTTTTTCGATATCTTCGTTTCATAATTTATGCCACCACACACGTTAACTGATCTTAGAAAATTCTATTCACATCCCCTTTTCAGCTGACTCACTTTTCACAACAATGCAACAAATGTGGTACAGCTGTAATCTCACTCCACCCACTATGGGATCGAGCGAGCGTCATCATCACGGTGGGACATATAGGCCACTAAGTCATCATTACAAATGACTAATTCTGTTTTCAACGTACTTCCAATATTCGTATGCCTTTCCTAAATTCAGACGTAATTACACAGGACTTTTCTTATATACGGATGTGTACACATGCTATGACGTGCCCTGGTTCGTAGGGACACTTTATTACGAAACCTAAGTTGCGAGTCCTTTCGGGATTTCTTTTCATATATCCTACCGAAACACCACATGTAGCATGAAAAGCGTGCACTTTATTTGCTATATCATTATCTGGCTCGAAGTAATGTTGCAGCCATCATATGCAGTAGGCAGCGAACAACTTAGTATGTCACTGCATTTTGTGTTACAACGAAATTCGCACTG